TATGCCTGAACTGTTAATCTCTATACATTCTTCGAGTAATTCTGGAATATGCTCAGACATTAGTTGTTTAACTTGGAACCGATCTGAAATGAAAAGAACCAAGTTACCTTGAAAATAATATTCACTCAAAACAAAAATGGTTCAAAAGGTCAATCCAGTCTATAGCTTGCTTATAAAACACAATTCGGTCCATAGCAGTAAAAGAAAAATCTTTCATCATTAACATCAACCACCGTGCCAATATTCTAACACTCAGATGCTCAGATTAGATGAAATATGGCACTGTTTACAGACTGAGGCGAAGACACAATATGCAAACATATGGGCAATATAAAAAAGTGAAGACAAAGCCATATCACAAAAACAAAGTTTTAATTGTGTGTAATAAACATTATATAAATGAAATTTGGAATACCTATCAGTTTTTGAGATATATCTTGAGAAAGGTCATTGAGCAGAAACCTTGATTCCATTCCCGTGAATAATTTCAAACTCTCTGCTTCGCACCAGAATACAGTCTCTTCTTCAGCATCCAATATTTGAAAATCACCATTAGCTAATGGCAATATCTTCAGACCTTGCAGTTTTTCGATATCATTAGATATGAAATATTCTAGTAGTTTCATCTTCTGGTTGATGTCCATCAAGTCAAATATACCGTCATGATTAATCAAAAAGGAATGTAAACATGACGAATCAGATACTTCAATCCGGCCATGTGACTTTAAAGATTCCACAAAAACATCTGGAAGACAAGCTACATTCGTTTTCTTTAATAAATATACATCTTCTATAACCTTTAAAATAGTATCTGGATATTCTTCCTTTACCAACACAATAGCTTCTTCAGGTTTAATCCATTTTCCACCAGAAGTCTTGGTAAAGATGATATTTTTCTTGTAGAGTTGTTTAAAAAGTGGTTTGATAAATATCTTCCAGTTTTCAGTAATCAATTCGGGTTTAGGTAACAATTTATATATTGTATTCGTGTCAATACCAGCTTTAGTCAAATATGTTAGCAATTCTGAATATACCAAGGGCAAGATTTCCGTAGCTAAAATTTTGTTCCATTCTACAGAATTTTCCGAGTGACCGTTCCTCTTTTCTTCTTCTGATGACATCCATTTAATATGATGACGATCTTGGCTCAAAGCAAAGAACCCATTGATATGAACTGGCAAGCCAGTAGGGCTAGTGCGTTCTAACGGTAGTGGTAAAAAGCAATATATGTGTCCTTTAAACTGTTCATCACAATTTGATAAGCATCCTGCCACACTGACATATGGACTATAAGACCATTCTTCATCATCTATTAATCTCTGTAGACCATCACTTACAGATCCTCCATGATAATGATTTACCACTATCCAATCTTTTGTATTTTTTTCTTCTGATAACCATTTCTTCCCTTCACATTTAATAGAAAGTTTCATATAATGGAAAAAATATTCATTAGCCAATTTTCCATTCAATTCCTCAACTTGGAGTAAAAAATCTCCTCTCTGCTCACGAATATGATGAAGGTCCTCTTCTTTCTTGGCAGATATCTGTACTCGATAAATCAAATCATTCTCTGATTCTTCAGACACTTCTATAAATTCAATTTTCTTTAAAAACAATAGAATAGATGGTGCCAAATCTTTTAATCCACGAAATATGTCTTGAATTTTCTCATATGTATAAGTATCACGGGACAGTTCCGAAGGTTCTGTTCGCAATGGGAACCAAAACAATGTACCCTGGTATCTGTCTTTGAAACAGAGCTTTGAAAATCCAAACTTATCGCCTATCAATTTTAGCATTGCCTCCTGGGAATCGCTGTCGATCTTGCGAAGCTTTCTTTTAAATACCACCTTTGATACACTGGCTAATGGGTTCATCACCATTACCTTGTCTCCACTTATTATCAATGGAAAATCTGAAAAAAAAACAATGACAGCAATAAAAAAAGTTCAAATGACTAAACGTCAAGACAGGTATGTGGATGTGAGGTCTATGTTCAGGTAAATTGTGAGGTTAGAGGTGTAAGTTCAGGTAAAGTGTGAGAATGTGAGGTCTATGTTCAGGTAAAGTGTGAGGATATGAGGTGTATGTTCAGATAAAGTGTGAGGACAGTGAGTCGAGAGAAAAACTGAGCACTTAAGTACCTGTTAGGTGGAAAACAGATTTAAATCCTAATCCAAATCTACCAACTTTCAAAGGTTCGTTTTCTTTTTGACTACACTGTATGGCAGCAATACCTCTCCAATCTTTATCAGTAAATATACCATTGTTGTAAGCACATAGAGCAGGTGCCTAGAAAGTAAACATTCATGGGCAATCATGGACGAGAGGTCAGTAAGATAAAAAAAAAACAGAGTACAGACTATTCTTAATTGTTTTTGCCCATGCCAACAGATTCACCTCCAGGACAACAAAGGAATGTAACTTTGTCGGACTAGAAGGGGAGCAACTCTAATTAAAAAGAGGCATAAATCAGTCCAGAATGTATACAAAATTAAATTAGGTTGAAAAATTGTCATCATTTATTGTTATTGTTAATTTCTTGATTACCTGCATAGCAATTTTAATTGGTGTTTCTTTCCATGTCTTTATTGAATGTTTAATTTCTTCGTGTTTTTTACCAGTGTATAGAAACTTAACTTCTGTAGCTCCACCATCTTCAGCATTTTGTATCAGTTCCTATTCATAATTAAAGATGGTCATTTAAATAATATTGCTTATCAGCTGGTGGTCCTCAGTCCTCAATTTTCACCTTTCAAAATCAAAAGCCCGGCCTAGATGGATGAAGATATTTCAACACAGTAGTAACAATACAAGTATATCAATGTAAAACTTACCTTAATAATCTGTCCATCTGAATATTGTTCTAGTAGACGTTTCAATTGATCTATGATTGGAGGCAATTTAATTTCACTGAAATCTCCATCCGATGTTTCATCTGATTCTAAATGATAAGAAGCGTGAAATAAAGCGCGATGTAGGCAATATCAACCAAGAAAAAATTGGAAAATATTCATTACAGATTTTGACAGTCTAATTAAACAAACTTCTGGTAATCTGATAAACATCGCTAAACATCGCTAAACATTGCAGTGCTGGAGAGGATAGAAAATTTGATTAAAGCTTGCTTAAAGCAGGCGTCATTGAGTAAGGTCAAAAGATTTATTTGACGAACGTTCAAGACAGTTTTCATTAGACTCTAACTGAAGTGGCTATATTAAAAATTAAAGCTAAAATAATAAAAATAAGAGCGAAAGTTTGGTCTAATTCATTTTAATAAGACTGAGATTTTGACTTGCATTGTATTTTCTGTTTGCATAAAACATCATGTTTAATGTCTATTGATAAATAACATATTTCACAACAATTCTGAAAATAAATTGATCTCTATGTTGAATATATCATGTTCGACGAGAGGTATAAACAAGTGACATACCCATGGTTGTTGTTTTTTTCAATGAAAGCTACCAGGATAAATCTTGGTACACTGAAACATAACGATTGTAGCCTTTGTTAATAATCAATGATCACAATGATGTTATATAGTATTTTAGCAAATTTTACTTTCGGTTTTGACGAGACAGGCATAGGCTGCCGAGTTAAGTGTAGGCACACTCATGTACTGGAACCGTAAGTGGCGACTAACCGACTCCAGACTGGAGGCAGGCTCGAATAAACTTCTAAGGACAATATTCGAACCTTCGTTTACTAGTTCATTGCCGTTAACCTACTTCTAAATCATACAAACTTCCTTCTTGCTTAAATGTTGAAAAATATTGGAATAACCTTTAAAGATTGAAAAATATTGGAATAGTTAATGACCCACCACCTCCGCACCTTGATTTCCAAAATGTAAACGCAGTGATAACGAGACAGTCCACACTTAAATGACTTCACAATACACATAGACATAGTTAGGGCAATCTGACCTCAGGAAACCTCCATTGCCCCAGGGACCAGATATATGTGCTAATCGTCCCATTTCATAATAAAATTTGTTAAACATGATTTTTTTCTTTTTTTGGTAAATATAGCTATAAGTAATCGTATTAAGGATACTTGTTTTTATAGAAGCACCGGCCTAGGTCACAAGTAGAGACTCAGCATTGGAATGCATCAATTTGATAGGAAATTACCTACTTATATTTGAATCCAGAGCATTTCAGAGACATACTCTCAACATGTTTTAAACTCTGTTTTACAATAGAGATTTTTGCCAGGACAGTGGCATTAGCATGCTTTTTTTTTCAATTTCCAACTGTCGAGGTATCTTTAACGTGCACATCCTGTATCACGGGCCTCGGTTTATTGTCCTATCCAAACGATTTTTCTAGACGGCGGAGTAAGGAGTATTATATTTTTCAAATGTATCACATAAATTATGATGTTTAATATTTTAATTATGAAGTTGAAATAATTTCTTGTCGAGACATGAGTCTACAACAAAAACATTTAAATTGACGTAGGGCCTACGAACGTTTTACAAGATAGAAGATATAAATATAGCCTAAATAATTTCATATAGCTGTATGAATGGGACCTGTTATATAAAATAATTCAACTTCCTACCTTTCTCCACTGCTTACATTATCGTTAATAGAATATAACTTGATAACCTATTCAACAGATCTTTTTCTCAATTCTGATGAGTTAACTGATAAGTTCTTACTGTTAGTCAGTGTGCATAAATTCTAGGAAATAGGACTTCAGTAAAATGAAAGTAAAAGTAGAAAGTAGAAGCGTGTTCATTGGATGAACTGACCTTTGATTTGTGTTAACCACGCCAGTGTTTAATAGTAGCTTTGAATCGATAATTTATCACAACATGCAACTGAGCTTAATGTAGTTCTTTAATCGTTATTCAGATAATAATAAAATAGGCCTACTAATAATAATAATGATGATGATGATGTTGATTATATTGATGGTTATCATTATGATGATGATATTGATGATTATCATGATGACGCTATAATTATACACAGAATTGTGTCAAGACAAAACAGGACATGAGACACATTCAATAATTTGGACGAAAATGCTCTCATGGCTAATATTTACTGGTTTTGTTAATTAAAGATTTAAATTTTCCGAGAATAAATTGATCCCTAAAACTTTGTAATTTAGGCCTACTAAAGATAAATTTCGAAAATTAACCTTGAAATCATGGTGCATTCTCAATTACATTTAAATAAATATGTCACTGTTATTTCGGTATTATAAACATATCTAAACGATTAAATTTCAACATTATAACTGTGTGTGAGCCTCCATCATTTCATCTCAAAATTATATCTTATCATATTGCTACGGGGGTTAAAAGCTAAGTGTGAACCTGTATTGGGCGGCGACCAAATGTGTTTTGTCATTTCCTCACTAATTAGACGTTTATATATCATTTTGGTATTATCATTTTAAACATATTATTTTCGACATATCATTTTGGTATTATCATTTTCGACATATCATTTTCATTTCTCTAAGCAATATGCTAATGAGGTCTAAAAGCGTGGCTTCCAAAAAAAAATTTTCACACACGCTAATACCTCCCAAGGAAAGATCTCGGAATAACAGCTCATCGTCATACATTTTCAGCAAAAAAAACCCCAAACAACAGTAAAGCTCTGCTCTAGAGGTGAGTATACTATAATGTTCTGCATATAATGTTCAAGAGTGGCAAGAGACGACACGTCTACAACAGTACTACACTGGCAAATTCTTAAAGCTATTTACCACGGAAACTTTGCATTAGTGTGTGTGAAAACAGTTTTTCTGGAAGCCAAGCCTTTTGACCTCATTTGCATATTGCTAAGAGAAATGTTGAAAATGATATGTCGAAAATGATAATACCAAAATGATATGTTTAAAATGATATGTAGAAAATGATATGTTTAAAATGATAATACAAAAATGATATGTTTAAAATGATAATACAAAAATGATATGTAAACGTGTAGGCTAATTAGTGAGGAAATGACAAAACACATTTGTTTTATTAAAATTTACTTAAGCAATATGACAAAGTTGACAGTATCATAATAAGTATTTTGACATTCTGAACATTTCAACAATGGGTTAGACAAATCTTATTTAGACCCAAAAACCCTTCCATACAAATTAGGCCTATACTTGATTTTATAACTTATCATAATGCGGTTCTCAGTAAACAGAAACTCAAAACGTCGGATGTCGCTCCTCGCCAGTTTCTCATTAAATCTTTAACCCCCCTTATAGTTCTTTACTCTTCGTGGTATCCCTTATCATTGTAATATAATGTTCAGATGAAAAGATAAGATTCATATAATTGTGGCGGCTTGTAAAGTGAAAGTAGAAATAAAGATAGCTTGTCAGACAGGGAAAACATACGCCCATACAGCAGCTTTGTTAAATTTTTTGATTCAATAATGAGCAGAATGAATCATGATGATTAATCTGTCAAATTTCTATTCGATACCCAGAAAATGCTCACTGCAAAAGTAATCAACTCCTTGCCCAAAACAATTCCAATGATCAGAACAAGGTTCAATCAAATGAGTCTATGGTCAATGTATAACGTTTTCATCTTCTACCTTGGCCCACTTACTAGTTTCGTGGCCAACGATTTGATTGAACTGTAGGCCTACAGCCAATCAGAGTTCTCGATTTCATGACTAAGTCTTCAAGTCTTTCTATTGAGGGCTCGGGTTGGCTGTACAATTTAATCGCATTGATGCACTCACAAACTCAGGTGAAACAAGAAAGTGTGTCAATGCAGTCAAGGTATCAGATGAAGAAGTAATACCTTGACTATTTTGAATGTGACCTAAGCTAACCACAATACTTATGACCCAGATTATTCATTCAACTTTACTCATAGCATAGCAACGCTTTCATTTTATTTTCAAATCAAGAGGTCAAAATAATACAAACTAATTGGCATTATGTGCATCACCTCTCACAATCACCCATCTCCCCTTTCAGAAAACTGCTCAGTTTAGCATATTTTGTGAGTTTTTAAATCTGTTGCCTTGGCGCCTATCAATATTTCCAGGAGAGAGAGAGAGAGAGAGAGATCGAGAGTTGGGTTGGATGGGGTTGGGGGCAGATGTCCCTCAATTTTTCTATGTAAGGACGCCCATGCTTTCACTCATTATACATTTTCAATCAGTTCCTTAAGCAACGTTACATGATACTGATCATACCGTTGCTTAAGATACATGACCAGGAATGCGTATTAGAACTCCTTTTCTTACTCTTTCAGGTATTCTATATCATTGTCATCTATGTTCAGACGAAAAGGTAAGATTCGTGGAATTGTAAAGTGAAAGTAGAAAGAGACATTCTTTGAAAAGATTGAATGGTTTTGATATAGATCTATAAAGCGTTTCTTGTTATCTACTTGCCAACTCGCTAATATGAATTATTTTCTACAGTCACGGGTAGGCCTATTGCATAGACATGTCAGAGCGTCTGCACGATACTTGTGACCAAAACCTTTTAACCATTTATAAAGCCTAACAACCATGCACAGCATTTCGATTTTCGATGGATATCTACGAGTGCGAAGCTAATTATCATGTCCAACGGAACTTATGGCTAACAGGCGGACCACGGAAATTTAGAATATAACGTTTAAAATGTTAACGAATAAAAAATGAAACCGTACATTTCTTAGCTACAAACTGTGCACTGTGGCAATCTTTCTTTTAAAACAGCTAAATGTGTCAAAATGTCCCTTACAAAAATAAACCGTACAGTAAAATTTTTAACCATACAACATTAAATACCGTACAGTATTTAAAAAGTAGGCCTACTCATCCCCAACTCTTCAAGGCGAATCCCACATTTTGCGTAGGCTACAGGCTTTCCAATTTGGTACTGTCCGAAATAAGGTCCGATATATTTTGGCAAGGACTAGGCCTATTCTAATGATTAGAAGACAAAGTAGTTTGCCTTACATACAGATCAGCTTGAATTTCTTTTTATTGTTATTTTATCAATAACCTGCGCTCTCATTCAAGGCCATGCATTCATTCATATTGTGTTAAAATGGAAGTTCGTGATAGAAGTAGAACATTAAATATTAAAATGAATAAGAACACATTATGGATATACTACTCCTTTCCTTAATTTCTGCAGCGTTTCAATTTACATACGTGAATATTTATTTTATGCTTGATAAAGATTCCTGTATGTGAATTGAAACGTTGCAGAAATTATAGAAAGGATAAGTATATCCATAAATCCTGACCGACCCCTTGACCCGCACACAACTTTAACGTGAGAGCGAAAGAGGGGGCATAACTGTTTGAAAATGTAGAAACTTATTACTTCCGGTCGATGATTTTTATTTGTCTTTGGCATAATATGTCTTTGTTTATGTTCTTCTCATAAACCTATACTGGATTTATGTTAATTTGACTAAATACTAGCTAGTTTATTCACTTTTCGTCAGTAATATATCAATAAATTTCAGGTACCTAAATTTATTTTGATAGGAATGGTTATACCAGACTGTCGGGTAAATCGACTCTCCATTGACAGTACCACGACTGGATATTCAAGAATTGAACGCCTGCGCAAGAATGAATGCGCAGTATGACGAGCTAGACAAAATTATCGTCTTTCATAAACTCTGTTTGTAACTCATTATATTTGACTAATAACATAGTGAGTATTGGTTTTAAGCGTGACGCGTAACTTACCGGCACTCTTAATGCATTTTTGTAACTTAAACTTTGCGAAATATAACCACGGGAAAGCTACAACATGTTATTTTTAATGGTGTTCATTTTGCATTCTTTGTTCATTTTTTTGTCATCTGGGAAGTTTCTACTTTTACAATATCGCTGTTGTTGGCTTGCTTCAAATTCATCAGTTTGAGATATATGACTGGATTAAGTAACAAAGCTGTTTTCCCATTCCGGTAATCTTTTTTGTCTTAAGGATCAGGCTGCTTTCGCCTGTTATTGAATTTTGAGAAGAAAGCGACAGTCTCATGATGAGAAGGCATAGTCTTGTCTTAGTTAATGTCTGGAATCTAGTTCTTACCTTTTTTAGAAGTGTAGGCCTAGTGGAAAACCGCCTTAAAAATAATGATGCTGTTTCATAATCATTTGGTTCAAATAATTGCAAGATCCTTTATGTGCGTTAATTCTTTAAGGATCTACAGGCAGTCGATCAAACATATTTTTCGAATTCAGGCATGATTGAAAACAAGGACTAAACCTGTCTAGATGTTTTGAATCAGACTACTGGTATCATTAGGATATATATGTGTTTTTTCTTATTTCAGAATAGTAGAAAAGTGACTGAAAAGTAGTAGAAGCCATCATGGCTTCTGAGGATTCAAGTATGATGAATCAAAATCAGAATAATCAGGCCAGTTCTGGTCAAATGCCTGCTTATACTCAAAATGTAAGTCGAACAAAGTATTCAAATTAATATAGTGTCCAACTAGCAAGCACTGACTTGACTATGTGTTTTTCATACAGACCATAGAGCATCTCTTAAGTTCTAAAGTTGCTCAAGATATTTTATGTGTGCTATTATGCATTATGCATAACATTATATAACATAATATATATTGAAGACTGTCTTTAAATTCATTATTTATACAGAGCATTTCAAGAATGCAATATGTAAGGTTACTGTTATAATTGTTTCCTATTTATTTTCAGCCAATGAACAAAATAGAAGATAAAAATATGTCTGACGATCAAAGATATACTCACATGGGAAATAGGGGTCGTCCTGGGATGTCTGGACAGGGAATGAACCCCCAACAAAATATGCCTAGTGGACCAATGCAAGGCATGCCAATGCATAATATGCCAGGTTCTCATAATATGGGTTCCAACAATCAACAAGGAATGCAACAAGGCCCACAATCTGGAATGCAAGGTGGTCCAAGTAGTGGTATGCCTGGAGGGCCTTCCCCCGGAATGCCTGGTGTCCCTTCACCTGGAATGAGAGGAGTTCCTTCCCCTGGTATGAGAGCTGTTCCATCTCCAGTCATGAGAACTGGACCATCTCCTGGAATTCAAGGTCAAAACATGCCATCTGGTCCGCAATCAGGTTTGTATTTTAACATGATATGTAACTTTATATCTACTTCTTATCTTGGAATAGTTTAAGCAATGATTATCTGATATCTGTCCCAGATCACTAGATGTGATGTATTTCTTTAATTGTAGGAATGCATGGAGGCCCTTCACCACAAGGTATGCAGCCAGGGATGACGGGAAATAACAGTGGAAACCCAGGAATGAGCAGTGGACCTTCAATGGGAATGCAAGGTCAGTCACAATCAATGCCTGGCATGCAACCTACAAATAATATGGGCGTTCATAATATGTCATCTGGTCCTATCATGGGACCTGGTATGAACAATCCTAATATGCCTCCTGGTGGAATGAATCCGGGAATGAATGGACCACCAGTAATGAATATGGGTCCAGGCACAGGTGGACCTAATACTACTATTGGACCTAACATGCCTCCTAACAATATGAATGATCCTAATTCTAATATGCCTCAAGGTGGACCAAGTGGAATGGGAATGAATACGATGAATCCTAGTGGTATGAATAATGGTCCACCAACTAGTCTCCCACCCTCAACTGGTGTACCAAATGTACAAAGTGCTGCTATGGGACCACCTAATCAATCTATTGATGGTACTCAAGGTATGTAACACATCATTCACTTAAGATAAAGACTCAAAACAAGCCAAATTGACTTCCAACTATCATAATATTAGCCTGTTTTATTCTCTTGAATTATGCTCCAAGTTCTTCTTTCATGATTCACACTAGGAGTCAGCATTTGATTTAGATGGACACATGTAAAAATGTTATTTGTATCATACAGGTGGGATGCCAAGAACTACATCCTTCGCTACTCCACAGTTACATCAACTACGAGCACAGATCATGGCTTATAAACTAATCTCAAGAAATCAACCTATCCCAGAATCTTTGAGATTAGCTGTAGAAGGAAAGAGATCCTTAGGTCCATTTCCTAGACAAGGTGAGTATTCTACAAGTATTTAAAGAACTTCAAGTTATTTAATTACACAATTGGATATGTTTCCAGTTTCCAAAAATCATAAGAAGATTTTAGTGTCCCAGTTGACTGAGACTGATGGGTCAATCACTGAAGTTTAAGTCTAATTTATCAGCCAATCAGATTACTGTATTGCTTTAAATTTGGGTATTATCTTACTTGTGAAACAGGGCTCAGAAATATGCTATATGGTTGTGTGTTTACTTTATATAGGTGACATGCATCAACAGATGAGACTGGGACCGAATCAAGGACCTCAAGGACATCCTCAGATGCAAACAATGGGGAGACCCCCTCAATCTTTGGATGGATCTAGTACTACAGATACAACCCAACCTACTGAAGGAGATGGTACAAAACCACCAACATCCGGCACACCTCAACCCCCTTCAAATCAACCCCCACCACCCCCGTCAGTACAAGCTATGATGGCTCTTCAACAGAAACAGAACCGTGTGGCTCCTGTAGAAAAGCCTAAAGGTCTTGACCCTCTTGAACTTCTAAATGAAAGAGAAAACAGGTAAACTTAACTAGACTTTTAATTTTCTGGAATAAAAAAATTCAAAGTTTGACAAATAACTGTAGTGAATACCAGCCATTTTTGTGTTTATATGATGCTGAGGTTCATTAATTATCATCGTTTAGAATTGTATGCAACTAGCCTGCCTATAAATTGGATTGGGATGTGGAGTGTGATTTTCACAAATTTTATGGTTTGGCCAGTTACTGTTCATAAGATTGACTTCAGCTTAAAACTCTGAGTAACAAGTAACATTCATTTTTGTTGTAGTATTTCTATATTATATTATGTCTGTCTAATAAATGTTTGGAATATGTTTTTCAGGGTTTCGGCAAGGATCAGTCAGCGTATTCAAGAATTATCTAATTTACCAGCCACTATGTCTGATGATATTAAAGTTAATGCTATGATAGAATTGAGAGCTTTAAGACTACTGAATTATCAGAGAACTGTAGGTTAACATTTTATGTTTTCTTTGACATAGCTTTAAAAGAAGAAGAATCTACTGTCTAATTTATTTAAGTTATATAAAAGCTGTCACCACTTTTTTCGGGGACTTCCTGGTCATAGACCTTAGTGAGCAAATGAAATCTGAATATAGTCAATAACTGAAATTGTTTATGGTTCACAAATACTTAATTTAATTTAGATTGATTTAATGTTTCACTTAATTAATTATTTATCATGAAATTCCAATAGAATTCCACTCGTAATCAGTCAAGAGTCGGTCAACAATCTAGGGTTAGATTTACCTCTTTCCTCCTTAAGGTTGTAATATCTTTGGATTTGGTGTTGATTTATTTGCTTCAAATGGGGTTATATTTTATAGCTAAGAGCAGAAGTTGTAGCCTGTATGAGAAGAGACACAACCTTAGAAACAGCATTAAATACCAAGGCTTATAAACGCAACAAACGGCAATCATTACGTGAATCAAGGGTTACAGAAAAACTAGAAAAACAACAGAAGGTTGAACATGAGAGAAAGAGAAGGCAAAAACATCAGGTATTGAATATCAACAATCATTTTGTGTTCCACTGAAAATGAGATTTCCGTAAATCTTTATGAATAATCCCTCAGTAAACTTAAAGACTGTTTAAACAATGGAATGTATGACACATATGGCAAAAGTAACAAGTTTTACAAAAAATTAGTAATTAACACAATTAGTTAATGTACAGATCTGAAGGTTATATAAATATATCAGTAGATAATAAATATGAATGGTAAGCTACTCAACAAATAATAATATTATGAATGTTATTATTTTTAGTGTGACCCAATTGTGATCATGTTAATTTTTAGGAATATTTGAATGCAGTAATGCAGCATGCTAAAGACTTTAAAGAATTCCATCGTAATGTACAAGCTAAGATTGGTAAAGTTAATAAAGCTGTTACAACTTATCATACTAATACTGAAAGAGAACAGAAAAAGGAACAAGAAAGAATTGAGAAAGAACGTATGAGACGTTTGATGGTAAGTTTAAATTGTGTGGATAATCTTGTCTGGACAAAAAGTTATCGGTATATCATGATAATTACCGTATATCATGATATGGCACTACTTCAGTATTTTAAAATGTTGCGATTTTACTAACAATATAAAATTCTATACCGTTATTTATCATCATTCTGGTGCGTCTCCTTTTGTTTGCTAAGAGTAACAATTACACTTGAAATGATTCAAAACTTGGGAAGTAATCTTTATTGTCATTTGATCATTCCAGCTTAGAAGCTATTTTGTCATATGTATAGAACATAAAACACTATACACTGTGTAATTTCTTCGGAACATCATGGGGGAATTGTTATAGTTTGAATTTCAATTTATTTACTACTTGTTTTTTATGTTTGCAATAGGCTGAAGATGAAGAGGGCTATAGAAAGTTGATTGATCAGAAGAAAGATCATCGTTTGGCCTATCTTTTGGATCAAACTGATGAATATATCTCTAATATTACCAAGTTAGTTGTTTCACACAAAGAAGATTTGAGAAAGAAAAAGAAGGAAATGAGAGTCAAGAAGAAGAAAAAGACACCAAAGGTAAGACACAGATTTTTTGGTGTCAAAAGGAAGGAAAAATCATTTGATACTTTTAATGCATGAAAACTGATGATTAGAGAAACGAATTAGACAAAATTTTTTTTAATCGGGTTGTATCGCAGGCCTAAACTGAATTTAAAAAGGGACTGAAAAGTGCAACTTGTATCATTCATCTGTTTTTCTAAGACATTTATTTCAAATGTAATGTTCAATCACTTGCAGCTTGAGGAAGGGGCTGAAGCCCAGCCAGTAGAGGTAAGTTATCTGCCATATATGTAGGCAGCCAAAATAACCAGATCTTAGTTTCCTGTTCTAATATATTTTACTATATTTATGCTCATTTGTTACCATCTTTCAGCTTGTATACTTTACTATTGACAGAAAGTGCTTTTTATTGAGTTGAATTTTTGAAATTGATAGCTTGAATATTGTTTGAATTGTTTTATTAGATTATTTATATTAGTTTTTATTGTTTTTAAATAATTTAAATGGAGCTTAATATTTGATTTGTTATTACAGCATAAGTCTTAATCTTATCAATTTTATTGTTTTTTGTGTTAGAGAATTCTTTAATTCGCAACTTATGATGTTTTTGAATATTTTTACTTTTTAGTATCCTTTTATTTGGAACTTGAACTTTACCATGCTGCACTTAGTTGCTCATTTTATATACATTAGTGTAGATAGTGCTCTTTTTTAACGCTTGAATTAATCACTTTTATTGTACATTATGCTTGATGTAGCTTTAGGTACTCACTGAATGTAGAGTGTACAGTCTCACTATTAGTAGATTTAAATCAATTGGATTTAACTCCTTGATAAATGGAATGAAAATCATTCACATTATATGATAGGTGGTCCCAATAATCTAAATAATACCTACCCGGGTATATTTAAACAGAACCTAAAAAACATGTGTTATTACTCAGAGTTACACGCTAAGCGATCTTCAGACAGCTGACCTATTTCAGCATGCATCTGTACTTCCTATTTCTATAACGCTCTACAAATAATGTATTGAGCACTATTTTAACAGTGAGAATTTTTTATTATTGTTTATATTCTCGTATATAATTCCCTGTATACTTTACACAGATTTTGATAATTTCTGATACACAGAATGATTTACTACTTGTGGTCTGTTTAATGTAGCATGGCTATAAGATTGTTTACTTATTATTATTTACAGCAACCAACAGACGAATCATCTAACCTGAGTAATCCTGAGAAACGTGTAACAGTGGTCCATACAGCTACTGGTAATATTCTATCTGGGGATGATGCACCACTAGCTAGAGATTTAGATGAATGGATGGAACGTAATCCAGGGTATATTTATATTTAATTGATATCAGTGCTAGTTAAGATTGACAGAAAGCAAACCACAAAATTGTGCCATTGTACCAGGTTTGCATGGTTTACTGTATTTCAGATGGCAACTTGTTTAATACATGTGAACATAATAATAGATTAGTTTTTAGTATCTGATAGGGTCAGACAGGCCATGTCCTATCTAAATAGTCAATCAGGTTGTATATTGCAAGATGAATGAAATAAATACTAAATAATATACATTTGAAGAGATACGGATGTGACATACTTTATTTCCCATGGTATCATTTAATGCTGTATGCTACTTGAGTTAAATAGGAATAATGAAGCTAGTAAGATATTGTATTTAATACCAATAAGATGATATAAGAACACATCAAATTCAGTGAGATATTTGGGGAGTATTGTAAGCAAGGAATTTACCAGTCAGTGCGTTGGTTCAATACTGAATTTCTCTTTGCTGTCAAAGAAAAACAGACCATTTTAAGTGTATGACTGTTATTGATATTATTATTGATATATTTATTATAGTTATGAAGTACAAGATGATGAAGATGATGATGAAGAAGAAGAAGAATCAGAAGAAGTAAGTTTCTCTCCATTGATTGAACCTGAATTTATCATAATCCAGATTAAACAAGGCACCAAGGCAGATGGCGAGATTACCTTTCACACAGGTTTCTTTAAGATTGTCAGGTCAGGATCTCAGCGATGCTCTGGGAGACTATATACGTAGTTGAAATAACCTTGGATTAAAAAATCCCAAATTATGTAAATCCTAGAGAAAAGTATATAGTTCCATATTAGACACTTTCTTATTTAAATACAATTTTTTAAAATTCTAGAATGAGAGTGATGATGAACCAAAAATGCCCAAGATAGTCAAGTAAGTATATCTATTAAAAGACTGATCAAGAGTACTGTTTTATCAGCTATAATAACTGTTATTATAGTTGATTTGGTCGCATGGATTGTACATTTACATTTTGGCTATTCCAACCAAACTGGGTGTTTTTTTAGTATGTCTTATGCAAATTGTAAGCCTTTAAGATGACAGCAACAAGAAGTACTTGACTGTACTTGAATGAAATTGATAGCCATAATTATATATTTCCTCAATATTGCGCGTGATTCCATATACCCACTGTTTTATGTTATCCAAGCTGATTATTTTTTACTGATAATTATAGACCAGCAAGAGATGATGATGAATACAATGTAGACAGTGAATCATTGAACTATTATGGTATAGCCCATACCATTAGAGAAAAGGTTACAGAACAACCTTCTATTATGGTTTATGGTAACCTCAAAGAATACCAGGTAATTTTTACGCTACTGGTCATTGCAATAAATAAGATGAGAGCTACTGATGCCGGTTTAAAAACAGTTGCTTCGATCAGAATGTGTATGAAAATATTCAGCAACACATTATGTTCTGGATAAGAATTCATTCAGCATCACATTATGTTCAAGATAAGAATTAGATTCATTCAGCATCACATTATGTTCAAGATAAGAATTAGATTCATTCAGCATCACATTATGTTCAAGATAAGAATTAGATTCATTCAGCATCACATTATGTTCAAGATAAGAATTAGATTCATTCAGCATCACATTATGTTCAAGATAAGAATTAGATTCATTCAGCATCACATTATGTTCAAGATAAGAATTAGATTCATTCAGCATCACATTACGTTCAGGATAATATTCAGATTCATTCAGCATCACATTACGTTCAGATAAGAATTAGATTCATTCAGCATCACATTATGTCCAGGATAATATTCAGATTCATTCAGCATCACATTATGTTCAAGATAAGAATTAGATTCATTCAGCATCACATTATGTTCAGGATAAGATTTGGATTGACATATAAAGCTACAGAATAGGTGGCATCATGCATAACATCTGATTTTCTGTAGACTGTCCAACAGCACTGGTTTTTTTGCAATGTTATCAAAATTAACCCCTATTAGTAAATAGTTTAACTGATGTATTTTAGATTGCTGGATTAGAATGGTGTGTATCACTATATAATAACAATCTAAATGGTATATTGGCTGATGAGATGGGCTTAGGTAAAACTATCCAGACCATAGCTTTGATTACATATTTGATGGAGAAGAAAAGAGTCAATGGACCATATCTTATTATAGTACCATTGTCGTAAGTTGTTTACTCTACTATCAATTGTATTGATGTGTGTATTATCCTTGTATCTCTTAGAATCATTTATGGACTCTTGCCATTAGAGCAAGTGGAAGGATACATACAATTGCGGGCTTAATATTCCCAACATCTGGCACTCTATATCTAAAAGATTGCTTTTGTACCGCAGAAGCCAAAGTACTAAAGCTTGAATGGCTGTGACTGATTACTATATTTACATGTGCCATAGTTTAGTCAGAGTTGTCACACTTTGAAATGCTGAAAGAGTAATTCAGGACATACAAAACAACAAATTACAATTAATAAAAAAATAAAATGAAATTAACCAACTTCATACAGTAAACAACCAGGTTCAGCCAATAAGTCACAAAACCCTGTCGGGCAGTGGTGGTTAATCAGTCAACAATAATTAATCGCCTGTTGGGAATGCTTCCAGTTCAAGGAGATCGTTGTCCTTCAAACTCATAACCTAAAAATAAGTTTTACAATTCTTTCAGAACGTTATCCAATTGGTTGATGGAGTTTGATAGATGGGCACCGTCAGTAGTTAAAATAGCCTATAAAGGTTGTCCTATGACTAGAAGATGTTTATCTGGAACTGTTAAATCAGGCAAATTTAACGTTTTACTGACCACTTATGAATATATTATCAAAGACAAGGCTGTGCTTTCTAAGGTAGGTTTAAATGGTATTTATTGCTGTCCATAGGTTCATTTGATATTGACAATTAATGATACAGTCTTTGAATGGCATTTAGCAATTGTGAGTACGATATATAGTGATTGTTGTTCCATGAAGCTGTGTCTATAAATTAATGATACATTGCAGCATGGTTTATCAATTTGAATCCACATGGCTAATAAAATTAATTTAGTTTTTAGGTGTCATTTTTTCATCTTTTTATTCATACTTTTAAGCCAGTTTCTTTATTATACACTATCATCCCAAGTTTTGATATAAGAAATTAAATCCTATTTCCAAAGCTTTACTGATGATGGTTTTTAAATACCAAACATGATTCTTCAATACAAGAAGATCTCTATATGATGAGAAATTTGTCAACCTAAGATTAGTTATTAGGCAGCATCTTTCATAATAATTTAATGTATTACAGCTACGTTGGAAGTACATGATAATAGATGAAGGCCATCGAATGAAGAATCATCATTGTAAATTAACATGTATATTAAATAGCTATTATGAATGTCCTCATAGACTCTTACTGACTGGAACACCCTTACAGGTATAATTTATTTTACTGATCGATATGTTACTCAAGGGCATAACTCTGATAATGGTGAAGACGAGCCAAATCGTTTAATATTTATTTAATATTTATTTCTATATCGCTCTACAATTGATGTATTGAGCACTATTTTTACAGCGAAAATATTTTTTCGTCTTATTTCATCATTTATATTTTTACCAATCACATTTTACGTTCAGTTTATGTCAAGCTGCTTTACAAGGAAGTATATCTATTGTCTAACCTTGATATTTTCTTTCAACAGAATAAATTACCTGAATTATGGGCTTTATTAAACTTTTTACTGCCATCTATATTTAAATCTGTCAGTACATTTGAACAGTGGTTTAATGCTCCATTTGCTTCTACTGGAGAAAAGGTTTGTTAACAGTTTACTTCATTTAAATCCCCCTTAGAGTATTAATACTCTATTTCATTTCGAGATTTATGTAGGAGAGGCTGGTATTTGACTTGTAGCAACTCTCAAAATAACAATGACATCAAATTCTAACATGCCTTCGAACTTAACCCACTTTTTTTATCAAATTATTTTTTTTATTAAGTGTATACTTCTTCATTAAGAATATCTCAATCACATGACACTTTGATTGACAGCTAGTGTTATTTATCTCTATTTTCTTTGAAATCATCTAATGAGGGGCGTTTTAAATCAGTTGGTAATAGCATTCAGTATAGGACTGTGTTGAACTTTTAACTGGTGCTATTGATATAGTGCTTATATAGGAACTTGTTTGTCAATCTAATATCTAATTATTTACTGTTCTTTTTTTGTTTTAGGTTGAATTGAATCAAGAAGAAACATTGTTGATTATCAGACGTTTACATAAAGTCTTACGTCCATTCTTATTGAGAAGATTAAAGAAAGAAGTCGAGTCTCAGTTACCTGATAAGGTTTGTTTATAAATTCATTGTGGGCCAATACTTCACTATTATTAGTACTATGACTACATCATTTGGATTTAAATTTTAAATCATTAATTTAATGGTCAATTTTGTCACTACAATCATATGAGTCAATAAGTAATATAATTATTATGTTTTATGTCACTGTTAAAGTTAGAATATTTCTGGGAATATTTCTCAAAATATAATACAATAAGAATTGGTTTTGATTATGATTATGGAAATTTACATTGAGAATACCACTCTTACCACTAGATATATCATAAGATTTTTTTGACACAGGGCCCAATTGATCAGTTATAAATGATGACATATCTAATCTATATTGGTTTATTTTAGGTTGAATATGTTATAAAGTGTGAAATGTCTGCTCTTCAAAGATTATTATATAAACACATGCAACATAAAGGAGTTGTTCTCACTGATGGCTCAGAGAAAGATAAAAAGGTAATTATATGTATTTGATATAAGAGTAAGTCCATAAAAGGTGAGTAATCCTGCAGCCTTGTTGAAAATATTTTATTATGCAGTTGAGATGTACCAGAATTACTTTTATCAAACAACAGGTCTGGTCACAGGTTCATAACACAGGTTCATAAAAACAATATGATAGGTTATGATAAGTATGCAAATGACTCAATTTAGTAATCATATGAACTATCTTATTAAAATTCTTTTTTTTTTTACAGTGGAATTAGATTTGTAGACATGTAGTGAAACACAAGCTTTTTTCTGTAGACAACTTGGGATTAAATGATATTTTTGTTTGTTTTTTAGGGTAAGGGTGGTACCAAGACACTCATGAATACCATCATGCAGTTGCGTAAAATCTGTAACCATCCCTTTATATTTCAACATATTGAAGAAGCTTTTGCTGAACATATTGGCATACAGGGTGGTATAATTAATGGGTAGGTCATATTAATTTCATAAAATCTAGTTGAAACTCAAAGATGGTGGAATTCTGTCAAATCTCTTTAGTTTTTGAACAATTTGCTTCTGGACTCTAGGATGATTAAGTTTGGTAATTAAATCACTATAGAACCCTGTATACCGGTAATGTACTGAGATAGATACATTGTCTTCAACATCTTGATTAGTTAGTTCTGTGCATTTGGGATTCATGGAATTGAGAAAACAAGGTTCAGAACATATCCAGTTCGGCTTCGTTAGGTTCAGTCTAGAATTTAACAGATGGAACCTGTTCAGAACTAATTTCAGTAAGGGGAAGAAAATATGACAAGATTATCAATTCAACAATTTGAAATATTTTACATTTCAGACCAGAAATTTATAGAGCATCAGGAAAGTTTGAATTATTAGATAGAATCTTACCTAAATTACGGGCACAGAAACATCGTGTTTTAATGTTCTGTCAGATGACAGCCTTAATGAGTATTCTAGAAGATTTCTTTGTGGCAAGAGGTAAGCTTACTGTTACTATCAAATATTCTCTATCTGACTCTAAATTCTGGTTAAGTGTGGATACTTTTCTGTTTAATCCCTGGACTTATTAGTTTCATTTGACTCATTTGGACAAAAATTTTATCAAATATTTGCCAACTGGTTCTGAATTTCGGCTCAGTGTGAAAACTTTACTGTTGACCCTCGGGTTTCATTTGATGTCCTGTATTTGCAAACGATTATTAGAGAGGAAATGAATGAATTGAGATCTCATTGTAATTTACTATATCATTTGTATATTTGCAGGGTTCCGATATCTAAGATTAGATGGTATGACAAAGAGTGATGATAGAGGACATTTATTAGAGTTATTTAACAGTCCTAATTCTCCCTATTCAATCTTCTTACTATCAACAAGAGCTGGTGGATTAGGCTTAAATTTACAGACAGCTGATACTGTTGTTATCTTTGATTCTGATTGGAATCCTCATCAGGTAGGTGTCATTAATCTTCATGAATGTGCCAGTTGAATAAGTTGTAAATTGTCCGCTTACACTCTTACATGAGTCCAGTGTTTATTACCAGTATGGATCATAAGTAAGCTTAACCAGTGAAAGTCTATATAATGTCGTTGGTGGGTGTCTTAATGACCAGTCTTTAAAACTGCTTTTGACAACTTACATCAGTATCGTTTCGGAATGGTGGCAATAGGATACAGATAGCTGTCATTAAAATACCATACATTGATACTGTACTGTAGGATGTATAGTGTACCCACCAACCAATTCCTTAAGGAAAGTTATTGTTTCTTTGTTCATACATGGATCATAGTTCATGAGAAGTAATGATATTTCAGGATTTACAAGCTCAAGATCGTGCTCATCGTATTGGACAAGAGAAAGAGGTACGAGTATTAAGATTGATGACAGTGAATTCCGTGGAAGAGAGAATTCTGGCAAAGGCTAGATATAAGTTAAATGTTGATGAGAAAGTTATTCAAGCTGGTATGTTTGACCAGAAATCTACAGGTATGGAAAGACGTCATTTCCTCAACTCACTTTTGACACAAGATGATGAAAATGAAGAGGTGAGATTCTAAATCTATAAATACTCATTTTGAGTAGATATTAAAGGGACATGTTTGCCATCCATTTGACCAATTGTACTTAAGTCTCAGAAATGTGTGTCCAGAATTATCGGAGTTTGAAAGTTAAAAAGATGACTCGTCTTTTCTTGAGACTCTGTCATATATAGAAAAGACATATATAGAAATAAAAAGAGAATTTCATAATTTGAGGTAATTCTGAAGGAATTACGCGACTTTCAGACATTTCTAGTACTTCTGAAGACTATTTCCTTACATTCAAGACAAAAATCAACCCCCGACAATGGCAAACCTGTCCCGTTAATGAAGTAATATGTAGGGCACAGTGTTCATGAGTTAACTGAGCTGAAGAACGAAGAAAAACATGCTATAAATTACTTATAACATGTTTGACAGATGGAAGAGAGACCTTCTCATTGTGCAATAAATATATTTGAGTCAAATGCTTATTTATTGAAAGTTTCTTTGTTAAACAGTAAAATTATTTTCAATTTTTTTCAACAATTTTGTCAGTTTATGTGAAGAGAAATTTGTATTTGACACAGAGTCCTGTAGTAGTGTTAAACTTTTGTTTAGATTTATGTTAGTCAGCAAAATATATGGAATGTTTTGTTTCCAATATATAATAATATATCTTATTTATAACAGGAAGAAGATGAAGTGCCAGATGATGAAACTGTTAATCAAATGATAGCTAGATCAGAAGAAGAATTTGAAATTTATCAGGTAACTTGATATTCACTTTGATAGTAGGGGTTGAAAGCTAACAATGGACTGACTCTCTGTAGCAATCTTCTTACCTCGAGGAACATTTGAATATACAGTTTGATAGTAATGATCTTTTGCAAAAATTTCCCAATATATTCTCTATTCATATGACAATATTTCTTCTGTTTATGGTCTATGTTCTGTTCTGTTGTAGAAAATGGACATAGAAAGAAGAAGAACAGAATCTAGAGAAGGACATCGTAAACCAAGATTAATAGAAGAAACTGAGTTACCATCATGGATGGTGAAAGATGTATCAGAAGTTGATAGATTGACATGTGAGGAAGAAGAAGATAAATTATTTGGACGTGGATCAAGATCAAAGAAAGAAGTTGATTATTCTGATGCTCTCACTGAAAAACAATGGTTAAGGGTAGGTACTCAATGTTGTAGGTGCAGAAGTGAGGACAGTTTACCCAATGTTTTGTTGATTTTACTTGATTTATAACACAATTTCTGAAGAAAATTGCCTTTGATAATGACATCAAATTCTAAGAAAAATAATTTTGTCAAACTTTTATTCAGTTATACCTTAAAATAAACATAGAACATGGTTGTGACTTGAGGCCACTCTTTTGATTCAAGCTGCACAAAATATTTACTTAAATTGTTAATTAAGTTTACTCCATATTTGATGTTTGTATTTAAGGCCATTGAAGATGGTAGTTTAGATGATATTGAAGATTCTCCTCCAGCTAAATCGCGTAAACCCAGAAAACGTAAAGGTGAAGGTAAAGATGCTGATACGCCTAAAAAACGACGTGGAAGACCTCCTGTAGAAAAACTAGCTCCAAATCCACCCAAACTTACTAAATTAATGAAGAAAATTCTAGATGTTGTTACTAAATATAAAGACAAGTAAGTTTTAGTCCGGGATGGTACATGCCATGAATATCTTTGCAAATACACAAGCATCCTAGTGATGTGTTCAGTGTACATTGCCAGAAGAAAGTGACTCATACTTGAGCACTGACTGCTGCTCAGTTAGTAAGATCACTGAAAAAAAAAATGTTAAACTCGGGTTCTAAGCTAGGTTGTGGTGCTAAAGACTTGTGACTTTTAATAAATCAATCGTAATTCATTATTTCACCTGACCCAGGATTAATTGTCATCCTTGTCAAGTACGATTTTTTAATTTTAATGATGGTAATCAAATTCAATCAGAAAACATAACAGTCCAATTTGAGTGGACCAGCTTGTGACTAATATTTCTTATTGTATATTTGTAGTGATGGTAGAGTGCTAAGTGATATGTTTTTAACATTACCACCAAAGAAAGAATTACCTGAATACTATGAAATCATCTGTAAACCTATTGACTTCAAGAAAATTAGAGTAAGTCTTTAAATTCTGTTAATTTCAATACCCTACAGATCAATTTAACACAAGTGTGATGTGTGCGACGGTAAGAGAAATAAAATTTTGACAAGGCCAATATTATAACTTGCCTCTTTTGAATATAAATTTTGTATTTTTTTTCAGGCTAAGATAAAGGATCATAAGTTTCGCTCTGTAGATGATTTAGAAGAAGATGTGATGTTATTATGTTCTAATGCACAGAGTTTTAATCTAGAAGGTTCTATGGTAAGTTCTTGACCGTAAGTTTTGAGGTTGTCATAGAATTTAATGCCAACAGCGAAATCGAAACAAATACGGAAATTTTGTTTCTTATTAAAATTTCTAGACTTACCATCTTTTAAGTATTTAATTGTGTTTCATTATAGATATATGAAGATTCAATTGTACTACAGTCTGTATTTACCAACGCAAGAGAGCGGCTAGAGAAAGAATTCAATATGGCTTCCACTGCTGGTACAAGTGAAGAAAGTGGGTCTGAAGAAGAAGAGGAGGAGGAAGAAGAGAGACCAGTGAAAAAATCACGTAAAAGTGAAACCAGTAAAAAGAAAAGTACACCAGAAGCCTCAGATGTAAGCATTGAATCCCATTTGTTTTAATGACTGAAACTTGCTGTCTTAAAAGTTGAACAAACCATTTGTTTATCCTACAATTATGGACAAAACTTCAAGAATATTTGAATATTTCAATGTTAAAATTTAGTAACACAAATGAAGTCTTCCTTGCTCTTACTTTTATGTTATTTGATATCAGAACAAACATCATGAATATTAATATATGATCAATAACAAATTACAGATGTATAGCTTTACTACTGAATTAAAGGCCATGGTTGGCCATTTTAAAGACAGAATTTGGATCTTGAATGGTCTTCAGAAGCACTGTACGAAAATAGAACAATTCCTTCAAATATACTCTTTCAGTTTCTACTTCTGTATATCTTTTCTATATATATATGAAAGTCTCAAGAAAAGACATGTCGTAGTTTTAACTTTCAAACGAGGAAAATTCTAGACACACGATTACTGATTAATTTAGCTAAAAACTTCCCATTTCTGAGAATAAGGTATGATTTATCAAACAGGTAGTGAACCTGTCCTTTTCAGAAACATTCTGTTTTGTGAGGAATATCTGTTATTATTAATATCTATTACAGGAGAGGTCTAGTGGAAGTCGTAAAAGATTAACAAGGACAGCGAAAGTTAAACCTGTTATATCAGATGATGACTCTGATGAAAGTGTAAGTACTCTTTATAAAAACATGAAGATAACAGAAATTCTAAGGACTAAGTCATAATGTTTTCACTTAAACAGTAATAGTGCCTTTATTTAATTTCAAACAACAAAATGCATCAACAAATTTAAGAACATAATATGTAGATCAACTCGACCAAGAGCATTGACATCAATTACATAGCGAAACTGATGATATAATGGTCAATAATATTATTATATGTATTTAATACATCAATTATATTTTCAGGTATAAATTGAAGAAAGATGTTGTAAATAGAAGTTAGTAGTTGTAGAAACATGTACTTCTCCTTATTTTAATCTATCTAGATCTTTATTCACTTTGACTCATTATTACAACCAGTCACCTGTTTTTATATATTAAAAATCAAACGGCATTTATAGAATAATTGTCAATACTTCGTTAAGTAGTGTAGTTTGTGAATTTTTTTTCAGAAATATCATTTATTCCATGTTCATTTGATATTGTACTTCATTTTATGAATCATTCTTTCACATTAAATATTAGGAATTTCAAAACTCTAGTCTTGCATAATTTAAAATTTATTAATGAATAAAATCTGGCATTTCGTTTAAAAGACTTCTTTTGCGGAAGTCTTGAATCATAACCTAGTATTTATTCTGATCACAATTTCAGTTTTCACATGTATTTATTTACTGACTACAGGGAAACAAAAGTCCATAGAATGAGCGAAAGTAGACACTGTCGGAACTTTCATTCATGGGAAAGCCTCAAATTTCACAAGAGAATATTTTTTTCTGCTATATTTGTGTGGTGCTAATTCAATTTCACATTAATAGTTTCATGAATTCATTGGCTTAATATTTGAATCATCAATGTTTGTGCATTGCTAGTGCTTCAGTTGCAATTATATATCCTATGGCTGTTGAATTAAATATAATATACCATTACATTGTTTCTAGTTTTTATTTTCAATGAGTTTATGTAAAATACATACAAAAGATGAGCTGTTATATAAATTTGAAATAGTTCCTGTATGGGTCTATGATATATGACCACTTTCAGTCAAAGATATTGAATGATTTCATAATTCCTTGAATATTTCTAAACACATATTCAGTTAACTTCTTTGGATTCCAAGATTTATTTGACACAAGTATATAATGAACAAAATGCTAGTTCAATGCAATGAAACACATAAGACCAAATGCCCCTTGATCGATCCAATCATCCCATGTAACATTCTGCATCCTTTGTAGATAGGGGTATACATATTCACAAACGGAAGTGTGCGAATGAAGGCTTTGTATCACATCAGTGATTGGTCATTAAATTTTTACATTTGACAGACATTGAATGACACATAATGGCTAACCTATACTTGATGATCCACGGAGGATATTGATCCTCAAACATTTGAGTTGTCATGTCATGAAAACAGAGCCAGATCAACAGCTCTGGTGTTAAACCGAATTTATTACCAAAAAAGAAGTATTTCCAAATTACCATATACCATGGAGCAGATTTTTTTCACCTAAAAAATGTCTAATGAATTATTTTCTCAGTATTTCATTAATATTACACAAAACAATTAACTAGAAACTACAGATCATGTTTTAGTTGCTGATAAAGTTTCTGGATTGATCGTAAAGAAATCATCAGTGGGATCTAAATCATACGAAGAATTAGTTGGTTTTCGTGCCTCATGTCCTCTCTTAGCTTCAACTTTCATTAAATATTTAGCAGCTAAAGTCTTCTTTAATATTCTTCGGTGCTGAAATAAACATTCAATATGTCAGTTTGATAGAGAATGACCTGAATTTAGATAGGACTAACTACATCTGACCAAATTCTATAAGAATTAATCATTCCTTGGCAATAAGTTAAAACATTACTGAAGGTATTTTAAGCTGCCTTCTACATTGTCATTATAATAAGCTTTCAAACTGAAACTAATGCAAACTTTAAATTGGCATAATTTTAATAGTAAGTATTTTATATTAAATAGTAAAAATACTGATATGATTGCTATAGGCATCTGAAAGAAATAATCTTTTAAGAAAGAATTAAACGTTCTACCTCATTGGGTGATGTATAATGTGGATTAATATATAATGTTGGTCCTCCAAAACTTCCCTCAAATATTCTAATAGGATTTAGAACAAATCTTGGACCTGAGGAGAGAAAAATTGTAGAATATAACAGCAAAGTAGACAAAGCAATGTAATCTTCATACAGTCCAGATTTCTTAACAGTCTAATTAAAACAAGACCAAACTTTCGTTCTGTTTCTTTAATAGCTTTCTTTAAATAGGCACTTCAGGTGGGTTGAACGTTTGTCAGATCGACCTCATGATACTGCGTCACAAAATGCCAGCGCTGGAGGAGATAGGAATTTGACAAACGTTCAAGAGCTGTAGTTAAACCCTAATTGAAGTTACTTAATCAAAAATAAAAGCTACAAAAAATGAAAGTAGATCTCGTTTTAATTGGGCTGGATTTCTGAAATGATAAATACTAATCTCACTTTCTATTAGTCTTCAAAGACTGGACTAAATTACCAACATAGCTTTATACACATTAACCAAATACAAGTCAAATGGACCAATCTAAAATCACAATTCGTGGCCTCTGAATAAAAGTACAGCTGGACCCATTCAAGTATTTGATGCTTATACAACTGTACATTCTTCTTTATTTCACTCCACTACATAGTACAGCTTACAATTAGTTAGATATACACACAATTTAAAATGATATCATACCTATTTCAGCAAGCGAGGCATCTTCTTCTAGAATTTGATAATTTCGGAACCAGATTCTATTATCCATGACAGAAAAACTAAATACATGGTCAAAAAATGGCTGACTTTTAGGGTGATGGTTTGGAACCCCAAATGTCTGTAAAAAAAAGAATGACTTACAATTAAAGAACATCAAAAAAAAAATTTTGAGTTGATATTACCAGCATATTAAATATTTCTCTTAATATTGTTCATAATAATTTCAAGTCTTATGAATTCTTACCAAATAACAGTTTATCACTTGTCTGAACATCGCAATCGCACATCGAGTTTCGGTTTTAATATTTCAAAAATCAGTATAGGTGGAAAATAAATATTACCTGTACAAATAATTCTTTTAAAAGTTTCCAATGGTCGTCTTCTTCAAATTCCTGCAAAGAGAAATTTAAACTTTAAACAGAACTACTGAAGCAGAGCTTTAATTAAAAATTAAATACACTGGCTTAAAGAATATTTACGTTCTAAAAAAACTGCTTTTCAAACACCAGATTATCAAAATTAAATCCAATTTACCTTGCTAAATGAGAGTAATGGTCTGGATGCTTTTAAACAATTTCCAGTCATTTTTAACTCTGACATAGTATGTACTGAAAAATAATACAATAATTTCATACTTGTAAAAGACTTGAATATTGGGTGGCCTGGTAAAATAAATAACACTTTTCATTACAGGCTTAAGTTTCAAAGCTCAGCTTATATTATTCTGGGTCACTGGACGACATACAAAATCTAATAACAAGTCCTGCTAAAGTAAATCTTTGAAAAATCTTACCATTTTCCACTAAAAATTTAGCTGATGGTCCCCTTGGTACATTTGCTACCCTGAAGTTAAAATATAGATGTGATTACTGACTGAATGATTATCATTACCTGAATTCTTCAGGAAAACTATAATATTGCTGTAAGCTATGGTCAATATTAACTTATAAGACTTATGAAATTCAATTTGGAAAGGTACATGTTGATTTTCTCCTGATGATGATCACCTAAATCATGCAAAAAAATCTCTTACCACATGTATAAATCCATCTTCTTTTTGGCTTCAAAATATATACATTTATTGCAATTTTTCATCTCACACATCTGAAATAGTTATACAGAAAACTGGAATTGGAATTTCTCCTGAAAAAACTCTCATCTAAAGCTAAATGTTAAAAACTTTTACTGGCAGAATTTGAAATATTTCAAAATTTACCTCATTTATAACAAATAATTTGTCTTTTGTGTCCATTTTAGATTCTGAAATAAACAAAAATATTCTCATTACACAGTGAAACATTTCTTTAAAACAGAATTTTCCTAATAAGCAAACAAAATTTCATCAAAAATCATTCATAACTGTAGCTACCCCCACAGTGTAGATTAATGAACAGACAGAAAACTTGACCATACTATAACGTCATTATCAAATGTTCCAGAGCCATATGAGTCAAAGGAAATTTGAAACAGTGATGGCATAATCTAATCAAGATTTTCTCATTTTCAGGAACCATGTAACATTCACAAGGCCGGGGAAAATAGGGATGGTGTAAATAGGGGCCTGCAATCTTGAAACACATAAAGGCAAGAAAAGAATTCTAATAAGGGTTGAAAGTGTACTGAAAAAGATACATAGACTAGAAAAGAACTAATCATAAGGATTCCTTACCTGACTTAGACTGAGGAAGGAGCGAACGTAAATCTAACATTAAATGGCGTGATCTATAACCAATGCCTCGAGATGATAAAACTAATACTCGCTGTTTATTAATCCACTTTTTCTGTAAATTAATTATTATCATTTTTTAAGAACAACTTTCAGACTGAAAACATATTCTAAAATTCTATTTTGTCACTTGTGTGTATTTTCATTAACCCGAAGTCAATCCTAAGACTCTTAGTAGGGTAGGTCTTCTTTTTTTTTTCTTCTTGACTTTAGTTCAGAGGAGTGGATATTTTAAAAATAATTAGAGACATTATATCATAATCAGACATAACTAAGTAAAGTCACTCTCATTCAGTGAGTAGGTTGTATAGTAATATATAACTGCAATTATATATTGTTGTTATAACCACTCTCACATAAGCTGCAGATTAAGACTAATCTTCTGAAGATCTAAAATAAGGACAAATTAAATGTAGTCTGAATCCAATAATACAGACCCACAACCACGTGCGAGTTGACATATCTTTTTAAACACTTCAAGAAATATATTTGAATCATAAATAACAATGCAAGTACCTGTCGTGGAACTGGTTCATCTGAGCTAACCACAGGTGGCAAAATGACATCTTCCTTTGGTTTTTTGCCTTCGGAAACATCTTTATTATTTGTATCTCGAACATGTTTACGTTTTCCCATTTTGAGTTTCTGCGGAACTTTAATCCGTATGAAAAAAGAAATCCGTTTATCTTAAATTAGCTTTAAAAATATTTTTTGATCAATTTATTAAGGATTTACTTAGATTTTTCATAAAATAACTTTTTGTAAAGAGCAAATCAAAATGATATTCCTTTCTATCAATTAATTAAAGGTGATGTGCAACATTAGAAAAATTCAATGACCTTAAAGTTAAAAGAATTCCAAACTTTATTACATTCATTCCGTATTTCTCAGCAAAGATACAGTGGTTTAGTGTTTGATTTGAGATTGGGGAATTTTTGAACATCTTAAATATTTTTTCTTGCCTCATCATTTTGGAATTTTACCGGACATCAATTGAAATCATCTCTGCAGAAAAAATTCTATTTTTAGAATTGTTAGCTTAAACTCGGAAATTTCGATATTTTCGTTTGTTAAACCTTTATAATTCCCATTTAAAGGGTCGGAAACAGATGAATCACACCGGCGTAGTTGGGGGAGGTGGAAAGGGAGACGGTCCAGATATTGTCGCCTCTAAACCTCCTTTGAGAGAACCAAAAGATGCCACTCTTTTTCGCTTGGTAAATGTCAATGGTGTTCCCAACGCAGGTGCGTGTCCATAATGTTACATATCAATCATAACATACTATGCTATAGCTCAAGAAGCTTTTGCTAAGTAAACACCACTTCCAAGGCAAATCAGAGCAATTTCCATTTTACTGCCATTTCACTCGTCTTGTAATTACTAATAAACTCTGGCCACAATAGTGACTATTTGAGTCCCAGATCTGTCCACAAATGTACATTTTTACAATTACAGAATGGCATTTCTCCAAATATTTCTGTATGAATTTAACTAAAAGCTTCAAAATAGTACTTGGCTGTCTAAGATTATATGTTTTGGTTGATGAAAATCCTATGAATAATTTCTAATTCGAAATATAATTTCAGAGGGGAATTTTCAATTTGAAATGTGGGTTAATTTGACAGTTAAATTTGCAGTGGTAAAATTTCTAGTTCTAAACCTTATACTCCTATGGAACCAAAGACATTCTATAGCATGCTATTCAAAATTTGTGAAATGAGAATTAAGAAAAATCTAGGCAGTCAGTGAGTAATGCACAACAGTTCAATGTATTTATCGAAGCACATTATCTGCTGGCTGACTGTGACAGTTTGCTAGATACTTATTACAATGTTATTGCAGGAAGTGGTGATTCTCTGACTTCTAATCTCTCAGCTGCAGCAACTTCATTCGTTCCATCATCATTTTCAAGACCAAATGTAAGTTATTAACATTAACTCATTAGTATTTGGTTTTGCTTTTACATAATCATTTTGTTGGTAGTTTAATGACATCTGACATATCACATTTTGATGTATACGCTCATAAGCTTTTTTTTTTTAAAGATTCTACTCTGAGATCTGACATTTTTCAACATAAGCAGTTTTTTCCAATTTGATATAACTGTAATGAAAATAGAAAGTTTGGACCATACATCTTCCTCTTTCAACACTAGCTTTATTTAGCAAAGATAGACTACCGTAAGAAACTTATTCTGGCCCATTTGATGATACCATGAATAAATGGTTTTAAGGGATTTTTAGTTCTGTTTAGTAGCATTTTAGAACCTTTTCTTTCTTTCTTAGAATACATTAAATGCAAGTGCCCCTGCTTTTGTTCCAAGGTCAGTGCAAAATCCAGGTTACCAGGTATGATATTTATTTTCAATCCTATAAATCTTACAAGGTTTTTTTCATTTGAATTTAGTTTTTAAAGATTTTATTTTGCTTGGGATATTAATCTTTGAAACCATCTTTCTCATTGATTGACAAGAAAAACTCTTCAAATTCCTTTGTGAGTGAAGGATTTTTTGGGTTATTTTTTATTGGGGGGGGGGGGGGGGGAATGAAAGTGTTACAATTCATAGAGCTGTCACTATTTAATATTTAATCATAAGCTAGACTTGAAGAATATTATATGAGTATTTCTTTGAACAGCGTATCAAAATTGTGAAAACAAGCTTTAGCTGAATGCCAAGGAGCATAAAAAATCCAACCGATTTACTCAAAGAAAGATATCAATTATATTTACAATAATCATTAATCAATTGATGCAAGAAGATTTGAAAGGGGTGCAGTCATACTCATTCAATGACTAATTATTTCTTTGTAGATTTTAAGTACTACAGTTGCGCATGGTACATACAAAAGGAGTCTGAGCTTAAAGAGTTCTATTACAGATCTCTATATTGAAATAATCTGTATGTTATATTGAATAATACCATTGAACTATATTTCAGACTGAGCCTACACTTTTACCTGAGTTGACTTCATATAATTATGTAATGTTAGAGTTTGATCAAATGATAGAAATATTGATATCACAACCTGGTAATATGGAAGAGTATATGAAGAGAAGTTTATCACATTTACTTCCTGTTGAATCTACTGATATATTAGATAGTATGGTACATAAACTCTATTTTACGGTATGTATAGAGACATTCTAGTTAAAAAAAAATTACAATTTAGTTTCCTTTTTTTTCTAATATTTTTCGTTTCCTGTGTAATCCAACAAATTTTATATAGCAGTCGCATTCTTGGTTATTTATGGCTGATCAAGTGTATCATGTACTACCCATTTCCTGATAACAATGACAAAATTCTCCCTTTTTCTAGTGTATAAATGAACCCAACTTTCGCTATACAGGAGCTCGAATATGTCAGTATTTTAACTCAAATGAAAGTTTGAAATCTCATCCAGTTTTTAAGAATTTTAGAACTACTCTGTTAACCAGGTTTGTATTTATGTGTATTTTGTTAGCATTTGCTTTGTATTTGTCAGTTGAAGACATGAAACATAAGCCTGATAAATTTGAATTGTTTCAAAATGCAGTCAATAGAAAATGCCATTTAAATGGGTTTTTTTGCAAGAAACCTTGCTATGGCAATAAATAGAGAAAACCTATGAAAAAGAAAAACAAAAGCATCCATATTTTAAAGAAGAAAAGAGCTAAGGATTTCAGGGAAAGTTTAGATAGACAGCTTGTCTTCACAATTAAAATATTTTTCTTGATGAATTTGAATACTGGTTGGCAGCATTTGAAATGATCAGTTACTCAAATTTAGAATTGAAATATTTCTAAACACATAAATCATTTAGGTTTTCCAGATATTTGCTTTTAGATAAAATGGTAATCAGCCCTCCAAATGTTAAATTTATAAAAATAAGAAAAAAGAATCAGTATCTCGTTTTTTTTCGAATTTTTTTGCTTAATATAGATGTAAAAAAGATTATGATGCAAGGGAGAGCCACCTACAATCCAACAATGAACAACTAATACAAGGTTTAGCAATGTTTATGTCAGAATTATTTCTTAATTTAGAGGTGAGTTATTTAGTCTTATTAACACTCATAAATGGCTGATATTGATAGCAGAATATTTCTCCATGTTTTTGACGTAAAATGTTTAAGTGGTAATGTGCATGAGAAGCGGACAGCAGAAAAAGTCCTAGCTAACCGAGAATGAGAGTGAACTGATGATACTTGGTAGCATGGCTGCTGCAGTGTTAAAGGGACAGATTTGCTATTTTCTGAGATTGATTTGAGTCTTGAATATAAATAGTTTTCACTAGTATAAGAACTGCACGATCACGTAATCCCTTCAAAAATTCCTCAGAGCCGCGGTGGCTCAGTGAGTTAGACACTTTCTTGCTAACCTGAAGGTCCAGGGTTCAATCCCGGCATAGGTTGAGATCATACCTTCGAAATTTTCAACCTGGTTTCCCCCTGTCATTGATGCAGGCAAGAGGGGCTGACATGGAAAGAGCAGTAGTTGTTCAGATGGAACAATAAACCGAGGCCCCGTGTGCTACAGGCTGTGCACGTTAAAGATCCCTCGACAGTTAGAAATTGAAAAAGAGCTGGCTAATGCCGCTGTCCTGGCAAAATTTCCCTCATTGCACCCTGCATGGCACTGCCCGTCTTCATTAGCCTACATGGTGCAGAAAAGTAGGACATAAAATTCCATTCATATCTCTTTCTATTTCCATATATGTCTTTGCTATATATGGCATTGTTTCAAAAAAAGACGAGTCATCTTTATAATTTTAAAGATGGTGAAGGCTCAAATTTCTTTGGTGAGCTGTGAACACTATTACTGATTAGCTCAGCTAAAAAAAAAATCCCAGTTCTGAAACTAAGGTCAAACGAATGGCAAACATGTCCCTTTAATTTGATGACTATCATTCATCTTATAGGTGATACAACCTGATGGAAGAATGGCGAAATTTGATATTTTAGCTTCATCATTAAAAGATATTGTATTAAGTTTATTAAATTATCCCACTGATAAAAATATTAAATGTTGTGTACAAATGTTAAAGGTAAGTTTCCCTTTGTAGTGTGATTAACATACCATAGTAGCATTTATCTTCTGCAATCCATCCTTCGACATGTATTTTATTGAGACATTCTTTTAGTTCTTTGACTGGTCATTGCGATATTTTGATAGATTTGAGATTTATTTAAAATCCGTTTATGAAAGGATTGTGCCTTGATTTGCACCATTCCAATTTTCAGTTAGAGCAAGCATCATTTAATGACATCACTCTTTCAGCTCCTGTTCATTATCCATGAGCCTTTTTGATTCTCACTGTATATTTCCTCTGCAATTGGAAAATATAGCCAGACTGAATAAAAACTATAATGGTCCAAAAATTTTATGCAAGGAAACGATGTGCCTTATTAACCTCATTATCTGCCCAAAATTTTAAAATTACCCCCTTGGGAGTGATTACTTCCAGATTTAATGAAATTGCAAGAACCATAATTGTCTGAAAATTGAAATGGTGCAAATGGATGCTATCCACATACAAAATTCAATGAAAGATTAGAAAACATGTTTAAAATCCTTTTAAAAAAGATTCACCTTACATACATTTTAGCTTTCTGGTTCCTCAATAGAAGACTCACTTATAAGAAATGGAAATTCACTTGATGATGTCATTAACTGTCTTGCTTCCCTTCAGAATTCAGCCAATATATCAGAGTAAGTGTTTATTGATATGCCATATGGAGAAAAGTTTTAATAGACTAAAATACCAAGAAAATCTATGGGGTTCAGTAGGACATTCGGTTAATGCGTTCGCTACGTGATATCATTTGCTTAGTTACAAATGGTGATCACAGGTTCTTATCTTGGTCAACTTGTTGCCAAGAAAGGATCTTAAGTTGTGAACCTTAGTTGTTATCTTTGTAAAATATGGTTTTTCCCTTTTTCTTTTCAAGTATGCTAGAGAAGAAACATAGCTAGAGGATACTAATACAGTGACTGGAACATTGAAGAATTTTAATCTTACTTTATAATTTTGAATATCTTTTCTAATTTCAGAAATTCTAAGTTTATGATAAAATCGGTTTTAGATTTACGTTGTAATAATTGGGGTCGCAGTGATTCTGTATCATCTGCAGAGAGTTTATCAACAGATTTCAATAATCTTAGTGTAACATATGAGGTTAGTACATTACTAGTTTGTCTGATATTGATTCAGGTGATTTGTTGAAATATAGTCCATCATAAAAACACATGGTGAAACAATTAAAAATGAAAATATGAATTTTTTGATGTTTTTTTCATATTTTCTCCATTTTCTGTATAACTGTCGATGATTCTACTTTAATAGTTTATCAAGAGTGAAGGCATTTTTCAAACTGGACATAACTATGCAATTTGATTGTTATCTATCAAAAAAGCTATTATATGAAAAATATATCTATATAAAAATATTAAAACAGAACCTGAAACATGATACTCAAATAATTAAATGTTAAATGATTGATATTGTTATTCCAGAACGAGCCAATATATTATGATGTAAAAGGTCAAGAAATAAGCCGCAGTGAAGCTGGTTGTCCAGATGATAGTTTAGGTTCAGCTGCTTATCTTTTTAATGAGGAGGAAGATGATTTCCTCAACCAAGCTGAGGCCTATTTTAACCCTGATACCTACGCACCATGGTCTAACGATAACTTCATTGGATCTGAAGATTTGTCAGGTTCAGAAGATTACACTGTTACAGAAATTGTAGATCAGCAGCTTACAAATGAGGTTATTGATGCTTATGAAGCGTTTCTTCAAGAATGCCAGGATAAAAAATCATGATTATAAAACATTTAAAAATTTCCTAAAGGCTGTGAATTAAAAAAAATAAAATGTGTAAAATATGAGGTGAAAGCATTGACAGTGCTGTATAATGGCTGGGATGAATGAATCAAAGTATTATTAAAATAGAAATTCAGTTTGTATTTTAGCAAATAAATGTAAGAGCCTAAATGAACTATAGTCTCAAACAAGAAAGAGGAAAAAAATGAAGGAAATTGCTTGCATGTTGCATGAATTTATTTTATCTGGTATAGACGATTTTTCGAATTTCAATTTGCCTTATAAGTGAATGCATCTGATGCCATATGTACAATTTGTTTACATTTGTTTACAAATGTACTAGTCAACAATTTTATAGTATCGTAAATTACATTCTAGTCTACCCTATTCCTCAGAGCAGCATACAATTAGTGAAAATAAAGGCTGGTTTAATTATTAACCAACATCCTTGAAGATAATATGCTAACTTTAACTGGCCAGTATTCTAAACCATTTGTTTTATGAGACTATGGCATAAAAACCAAAGTAGACATTTTCACATCTTGACCAAAATAATAAAAATATTTTTATGTCCATATCAATCATTTCCATGTTTTAAAATGAAATAATTCAAAGACTAGTTATTTTGCTCAATTTCAAATGTAATCCATTATGTACACCTTTTCATGATGTATTTTATATTTTCTCAATATTCACTGTTTTAATCATCCCAATTTAAACAATTCTACACAGATTTAGATTGGTATAGGCCAAAACAATAAACATATGTATGTGTATAGTTTATACTAAAGGATCATTTAATCTAAAGCTATAAACAGAATGTCCATAATTTGTTATACATTGGAGCCACGTTCATCCGGTTGCCGATAATCTGGAAACCCTGACATTTGCACGCTTTTTACTGGGAACGGAATATTAACTATGTAAAATGACCTGTTAATCTGTCGATTCTGTTTCTGCACAGCTGTGCTCTGGAAATTTTATCTGTAATTGTATCTACTGTACTGTTAGCTGAGTCTACTCAGCCTTTGTTGGTTAATAGTAATTGTAATATTTTAGGGATATTTTCTTCAGCTAATGCTAATTAATGCAATAATAAGAAAAATTCTGATGCCACTGCTAGTTCTTCTGAAAGTCTGTCTGCTGTCGGCTTCTAACCCCTATCATCTATTAAAGATGACTTACCAAAGTTCATAGAAAATCCTTTATGATGTTTTTAACAATTTACTACGCCTTGGATTAAAAAAAAAATGTTGAATAAAAAATTACATTTATTTTTTATGACATCTTTAAGTGCTCTTGTAAAATGAATTTATTAATAATTATGCTTTGGTAAAGTGCTAATAAATGTTTTTGTAAATTTGATATATTATGGTCTAAGTATATTTACTTTATTTTGTATAGATGTACTGATATCTAGATTTTATGATGTTTAACACACAGCCTTTGATTAAACAAAAAAAAAAGGTGATAGTTTTAGTGAAAAACAGTTTACAGATCACTGAAAAAAATTTCAATGAATTTATGTAAAAAACTGTCCATTAAATTAATGTCATAGGTTTCGGTTCAAATACTGTGAAATGCAGTTAAAATTTCAGTGAAATACAGTTAAATTTCATTACAATTTCAGTGAAATACAGTTAAATTCAGTTACAATTTCAGTGAAATACAATTTCAGTGAAATACAATTTCAGTGAAATACAATTTCAAGAAAACTGACAGTAAATAGTTTTTTTTTTAAATGAGTTTTGGTGAAATACTCCTGACTATCATTGTATGAAAAGTTATTACACAGTTGAATCTCCAACTGGATATTATTACATATATCTACTTTTATAATACATGCCATCTTGTCATGCTTCCATCATCATGATATTTTAATTTTTACATCATTGTGAATGTCATCAAACATTTTTCAATTTTGAATCTTCCATTTCTCTAAAGAAATAAGGGACATAAACAATGATGAATTGTATTGGGATTTGGATTTCATTTAAAAGTAATCCTGCCATTTTCAGACAAACGGACATGTCAGGCAAATATGGCCAAATCAACAGGCCTGATATTTGTTGTGGCATAGAATGCTAAGGGGTTATAATAGTATCTAATGCCTCAGACAGTACTTTTGAGAGTTACTTGATTGATGCTGATATCAATGACTTTTCGTATTATTTTTGTGCAACTGCACTGGGTGACTATAATTGATTGTGATCAATTTGCTTAGTATGTATATGAATAAACCCCTAATTTGTTTACAAGAATATTCATAAAATACTCAGAATCAGATTCAATATCATGGTGTTGGCTTTTTTATAAAGAAATGTGAATTTAAAGGGAAAGTGACGTCTATTTTTTTGCTTTTTCAGCTACTTGTAGCATATTTAGACAGCAATATCCCTTTAGATTAGCAAACTGTCTATTTTGTATATTTCATATATAAGATCACATACTTTTTACTATAACATTTAAATTTAGATTTTCTCCATATTCTTTCATCACAATGTATGAATAAAATAAAATACCAAAAACACGCAAAATTTGCCATTGTTATTTACCAGACTACACACCTAAAAGTTTCTAAACAGGAGTACATAAACAGCCAGATCTGCATCAGCACTTCAACATTTTGCTAGTAATATTTATATTGCTGGTAAATGCCAATGCAGAGGACCAAAGCTACTGAAGATTCACAATTTTTATGCACAAGACAGAAGTTTTGACTGTTAATCATTGAAACTCATAGATACTTTTAGATCCAACAAAGCAGATTTCGATGATCAAAATGGTACATTCCCTGGATCTGTTATGTCTTCGTTCTTATCACAAATTCTTTCACAAGCTTCTTATTACACCTTTTGATTGGTATTTTTTATGGTAATTTGCCCTTTCACTAGGCTACAAATTTGACCTTGAACAAACCAAGTATCTTAATGTCAGTGTTAGGGTGTATTGAGACGAGTCTCAATGAAAGCACTGGCCTTGTCAGTGTAATGATTCATTCTGAAAGAAATGCATCCCCTGATATCTGAATAATTTATAAAAGACTATAAGATCTCATGCCATATACCAGTAAGAGGAAGATCACCTTTTAGTTTGATTATTACAGAGATTAATGACCAATGAAATGAGCAATGGATTGATAAATGAAAATAACTATGAAAGAGATAGATGAAATGAGAAAGTGGTGTATTGCGTCCTTGTAACACGTTCAGGACCATTTATGCCAAAAAGAGGGGATGGAAGAGGGTTCACAAACGTTTAATTTTTTTTTTTAGTTTTTCAAGGACATCATGACCTTGAGAATTATGTCAAATGTATGTAAGAGACTAAAGGGCAAGTTTTTGTCAATGGCACTTCGGATTAAATTTCTTTGTAGAGAGAAGTGTTAACCGTTATATAAGACATTGGACACTGAGCATCTTTAGCCAGTGCGCGTGCTACTGGGTTATTTCAAAAAGTTTTCAAATTGGAGTCAAAGGTCGTCATTTGATGTGGGAAAATTACATTAATCACAAAATAAACCTTTTAACACCTTTTTGAAATGTAAAAATCATTAAGATGATAAATTCTGTAAATACAGCAAAGATGTTTGGTTTGATACTATGTCAAACCTCATTGATTACTCAACACAAACAAAACCTAGACACCCAAACAATAAAATGAGATCGTCCATTTCGCCGGTAAACTTGACTGTATCGTCGAAAGAAGTTAGTTAGGTTTCAATCATGGCGAGACAGGGATATTTTCCCATCTTTGCCTTTTTATGTTATATATCTTTTTATACGAACTTAAATGCTCAAGTTTTAACCCCACCATATTTTAATTTGGCTCAGACGAGGAATATCGAAGCTTCAGCAACTTGTGGAGAAGATGTCGCCGGACCGGAATTGTTTTGCAGACTGACTGGAGCAACAAGTGACCATTTACGAAATGATGAAAAAGATCGGGAATTGATTCGAGGACAGCTCTGTGATCACTGTAATACAGAGGTTTCTGAATTGACACATTCTGACAGGTAAAAATAAACTTTTCTACAACTTCTACTACAAGTACCATAAGCATTTATAGTTCATACAAAGGCCATACTCATTTTTTTCAGATATTATATCATCTTACACTTTCATAGCATTTTTTGGTTTGGTGAAATTACATTTAAACTGCACAACGCTTCTCCTTAGAGCCTCACTAATCGCAAAATATGCTTTTACACATAATGCCCTTTGGGATTAGTGATGCTATCGAACACTTAGTTTGAATGGAATTGCAGAAACCACAGATTGAAGATTGATTGAAAATTGGAATGGCTCAAATTGATGCTATCAGTGTTCCTGATACACTTAAAATTTGTTGAAAACCTCTTTACAATCCCTTTAAAATAAGTGAGCAATCTAATTTTGTTGTAATATTCTAAGCATTAAAGGATTGGTCAATTCCTATACATTTTCATTGTTTGATATTTAAGACTATTTATGTGCTGATATAAGCATTAAATTTGCACCAAGTATTGAACTCTCAGAAGTTTGTCAACTTTTATCAGCCCAAAGATAGATCATGTTACATGGTAACCATAGCGATACAGTAAGAAACCAGAACTTCTAATCAAATGGTTGCTCTAAATTCTTTTAAAATTAGGCCAACATCCTACTTCAAGCTGTGAGAATTTCTCACTGAGAAACTTGTACTAGCATTAACTTCTAGTGGTCAAACTGAGTGCGATCACATGTCTTATTATTAATGAAAATTTATCATAGATCAAGCATATTTCTATTCATTTTGCTTTTGTTATTGAAGTTTTATTAACCTGCTATTTCTACAAATTTATAAAAACATTGTTAGTTAGGTGATGAATAGAATTTCAATTAAAGAATATTTCTTGCAATTTTCTCTCACACCTTGAATCCAAAGGTTATGATTGACTGCCTAATTGATAATACATTGCATAAATATGACTTGAGTTTGTCTAGAGTGTCTCATATGATGTTTAGTTTAGTAAGCATTTAGAGTGTGGATCAAATTTGTTTGATGTGGGAAAAGATTTTGAATGCAGGCCCTGGTGTGAACAATTTTGTTTATTTTAAATGGTACCCATTTGGTCAAGACAGTGGTCAGTTTAATTCATTTCCTTTTGGTCATTTGATCCCATCTCTTCTATAAATTTGATAGAAAACATCTGTGAACTGACGGACTTTGAGTTCTACTCAAAGAACACAGATGTTTTGCTTCTTTGAATCTATGACGGGATGTTATTAGGATCATATAAATCATATTAGAATATCTAAGATATATATTTTCAAGTACTAAACCAAGCATTTTTAGGATTATAGGAGATTTTGGTGGAGGTACTGGCTTTGTAAAAACAGGAATTGTGCGTATTCAGACTGTGATCTGAACCAAATAGATTTTTATTGATAATGAAATGTCGATTTTTCCAAAGAATATCAGAGAGCGAAAGAGTCATCTTTGTTTTAACTGCTCTTTATATGGTATTCAAGAACAATTTTTTTTAAAATTACACAATGATACAATGTAAATTGTTTTATATTGCTTTCGCCTACTAGAAAGGATTAGAATGATAGTACTAAGAAAGTTTTGTGAATGATTTACTGCTTTAAAAGTCATTATTACTTTTTCAGTGGTAATTTAATACTCAAATAATTTATATAATGTAGTCTAAGTAGAAATGATATACCTAGTTATCAAAAGACTTGGACATAAAGAAGTGGACTATTTACTGACTTATCTATGCGACATAACACTTGGCATATAACATTAGGTCATAGGATAATGTAATTTAAGAGTTATCTGGAGCCAAGATAATGGTGTTTATAAAATATTTAGACATCAAGTCTCTATTAGTTAATCTTTAGGAGAGTGTAAAACTTATACAGTCAATTTGGTGTACTTATTTTCACAAATAGAATTTATTTTAAATGAATTAAAATTTATTCTTTCTATTGTTAGTCGTAATCCATTAGCAATGAGAATAACAGCTACCACGGTTTAGAGAGATGATTACTGTTAAAACTGAAATTTTCCAATCTATTTGTACCAACTATCTGAACCTCAAAACATCATCAATACCTATTAGATAGCACAATTCAGATTTTGCAAACAGAAGCGGTAACTAATAAAAATTCATACAAGCAAGACAATTCAGTCAATCAAAAATCTTGTCCAAAGAATGGCAAAATCAGGCATAAAAGTTGCATAGTAGTGGACTTCTTCAAAGTACCATCAGGTATTTTGGAAAGAGTAAGCATGGTCTGCTTTTGAGCAGCACCCCCCACAACCATAATGGTCAAAATGATGTGATACATCCAGATATTCCAGTTACACTTAAATAGGCCGGAAAACATTTTCAAGTCCTGTAATTTCAAAATTGTTTCTTGTCATTTGACAAAGGAATTTTTAGATGACTATATCCCCATCATACAATCTCCACAGTTAAAAATCAGTGAGAAATGGTGTTATCAGTACATCTTGTTGTCAATGTTATATTATTGTAATATTATAATCTGACACTTGAAACTCGATACATCCAAATTTACCTCCTATTTTGAATAACATGCAATTATTTGGGGTGTATGTCTTTCTGAGTTGAAAAGGAAAAGTTAGATTGAGAACAGAATTCACTACTCAAAAAAGTTTAAAATGAACAGAAAGATTTGTTTGTTATAAATTGTAGTCTAGTCATTAAATTTGAAACTTGTAGAATATTTGAATACCACAGCTGATGATTTATCTATTTACTTTGCCAATCTTGTGTGTGGGGGTGAATAAAATAGTATAAGTATTATCAGCGATATGATCTTAAAGGGACTGTGTGTGTTTTTTTTTTAATTCAGAAATTCGTGCTTGATTTGAGAACTATACGGACTAAAAAATAAAAATTTATTCCTCAAATGCCTCAAATCTCAAATAATATAATTGTCTTTTGTTCAATGATTTTCATTTTGGCTAAGTGTGTATTTTAACAAATATAAATTAATGCAGGGTTTTTGCAAATTGTCTTGAAAAGACCTGTTTATGCACTAAACAATCTTTAACAGTTATTATGTACTTTATGTCGTCTATTTATAAAAAGTGTTTCTTAATTTGAACATTAAGTACCCTCAATTTGTTTGTATATTCCCATATGATAAGAATCTAAGAGAGGAAACAGTACAATATTATACAGGGTAGGAGAGGAAAAGGAAATAACTTATTATAGTATAAACCAATTTTCTTATACATATAAAATGTCATAAATATAGCTGAAATATTTTTGTACCTCCAAAATGCTTATTTTGTTTGAAAAAACCCCCACATATTCTGAGTGATTTCAGTGTAAAATATAGAGTGAAGCCTTAATGCAATATAAAATAGTAGACATATCCCCTTATATTATTTGATGTGAAACATCCAGTTATATTTGATTGAAATAGATGATTTGTGAGAAAGTTAATGTGAATGTTTTAATATAATTGACCACTTAGGTGTAAAGTAAAGTAGCACTTGATTGACTGGAATGATATACATGTATATCTGTAATCTTGTCTCACCATTGGGGACATCACTCTCTGAATGTAGTAGGAACATCACACTCTGAATGTAGTGGGAACATCACTCTCTGGATGTAGCGGGAACATCACTCTGTATGTAGTGGGAACACCACTCTCTGGATGTAGCGGGAACATCGCTCTCTGGATGTAGTGGGTACATCACTCTCTGGATGTAGTGGGAACATCACTCTCAGGATGAAGTGGGAACGTCACTCTCTGTATGTAGTGGGAACATCACTCTCTGGATGTAGCGGGAACATCACTCTCTGGATGTAGTGGGAACATCACTCTCTGGATAAAGTGGGAACGTCACTCTCTGTATGTAGTTGGAACATCACTTTATGGATGTAGTGGGAACATCACTCTCTGGATGTAATGAGACAATCACTCTCTGGATGTAGTGTGAACATCACTCTCCGGATGTAATGAGACAATCACTCTCTGGATGTAGTGTGAACATCACTCTCTGGACTTAGTGGGAACATCACTCTGGATGTATTTTGAGCATCACTAACATGTTGTACCGTTATATTTTTACTACAAGTATAGTAATTGACTTGTCAAACAGTTGAAAGTAATATCAGTTAGAAATAAGTCAAGGTGTGATGAGAAGGTAAATACACGATCAATTGACATTAACAATAGACTGTGGAGGGTAGGTGATACTTGAGACAATTAGTATTGACAAATAGCTCTATTGTGTCTGGCTGTTTAGACTACTGGTCACTCTGTTAATAAAGATACGGTTTCTTAAATTACAGGCATATCACAACATATAAAAAGTCACTGAATAGAATTAATGTAAAGCCTAGGAATAAGAAATTAATATGATTTGTTAACAGAAAATGCCCAAATTATTATTATATAGAAGTCACAAAAATTTAAATCTTTCTCACAATAGTTGCATTTTTTGGACAACTCTATTGAACTATTTGACAATGACAGCTACATTTTTGTATGCCTTTCTTGTGTTTGCTACATACATATGCCAATTAAACATGTGAACTCTATGAGAATGCTGAAATGAGTTACATGAGGTGCTCCAGAAAGGTGAGCATTTATTGGTATTTGTAAAGCACCTTCTGAAACATTACATGAGGGACAGTATTGTTTATCACCACCAACAGAATCATTGATTGATATGCCATATCAATGATATGGTGTGATAAACAAATTCTCAGGCTATAAATGATAAAAAAAAAAAAAATTCACAAATTTGGCGTAAGGAAAGATGTCTTCACATTGATGAAATTACAATCCTTCACTGCACCTGCACCTTTAAAGGGATTGTAAAGAGGATATCTTAATTTTTTATGTCTATCGGGGACACTGATAGCATCAATTTTCACCAGTCCAATTTTCAATCAGACGTCTGTGGTTTCTGCAATCCCACTAATACTAAGTTTTTGATGACGTCACCAATTGCAAAATATGCCCTTCGTGATTAGTGAAGTCATCAATAACACTTAGTTTTAGTGGAATTGCAGATGTTGATGAAATTTGTAATGTAATTGGTACTATCATTGTCCCCAATACACATATAGAAAACCTCTTTACAATCCCTTTAAGCTAATTTGACTGTTCACATGGTCAGTTAATTGTGAGATGGTACTCTAAGCTGGTCATACAAATCTTGACCTTTAGTTTGAGTACACTCTATTAGTATAAACATGCTTTACTATTTAGTTTTTACTCCATTAAATATCAACTATTAACCGCAAGTCATACAGGATATTGAGCTCATGTAGATATTTCTATGTCTTTACAATAGGGGGTGTTATGGCTCATTCACTGTACATGCATGCATTGACGCAGGTCAAAGAAGCTTCAAGTAAATTAGAAAATGAAAGGTATAGAGTTTTGCACCCAACTGGGCTCATGAAGACTGGCAGAACTAAAAAAACAGAGGTCTCAAGAAATAATAAAGCAGACTTATGCCCCTATCCTAGTAACATTTGCCTCATTGCACACTGTCATCATAGAAGCACTGTAAAATTAAGCTATCTTTTTAAAATAAAAATTTAAGATGAGCCCTACAAAAACAAAATATAATTCAAAGACACCTAAGAAATGGGAAAATTCTGTTTGTAATACCATTGTATTGAAAATGCATGTTACTATGTTATATTATATTTTATAATGAGTAATTACGGTAAAGGAAATGATCTTCATGTGAACCTCATTAACTCAAGTTCATTGAGAAGATTTCTGTAAAAGTTTACATTAAGTAAAGAATTAAGTGATATGTTAAGTAAGGTTTATATGAACATCTAAAAGATAAACCATGTATATGACTATTATACTTTACTTTCTTATTTCCTTGTTTTAATGTAACAAGTCCACAACAGTTAAAACTTTAATAAACGTTAGTATTAGTCTTAGTAGTATACTACTAATTAATTTCAAATAACAGAAACAGCTGATAGATGGTCAAAAACTTTTGTAGTTTACATACCTCAGATTTTATTCATGTACCGTAATACTTTATTGAAATGTTGGGTTTAGATCTAACCTACTCTTCCTTGAATGATGTCATATTTGAGTCTTGTTGTCTAGCGAAGTCTAGACCTTTTACATGCAATAGTTTTCTTTTGTTTCCGTGCAAGTTCATGAAAAGTCATTTTTTAGAAACTATTTCAAGACAAAGACATGTAAAGAATGTGTTAAAAAAATCTTGCACAAGTACCTTTGAAACAATAAATTTTGTGTCATACTACAGAGTAGTGGTCTTTAGTGTACTTCAATTAAGATATAGTACACCTTCATTTTAATATTTTGTTTATTTTTAAACAGCACCTTCATGTTGAGTTGGACTTTAAACTTGTAACTATGACCTTTTGTTAATGTCAATATTAGGTAATGTTGTAGTTATAGGACTATTTGAACCACAATTGCCATCAAGTCTGTATCTTATTAACCTATTATGATGAAACAGTGAACACTAGTCAACACTTATTACTTCATACTCTGTTATCACCAGAATATTGAATTTGAAGGGATATTAGTCTATATTTCTGTTTAGGACTTTTAGGTCTATATTTTGGGGACATTTCGCTTATTTTTTTCTGACTGCAATCCTAAGAAAATCATGTTTATTCCTTGGTGGTCTTGCAACGTCCCTTGTTTCAGAAAAATTTGATTCTGTTTATTTTTGAATACTGTCATACAATTAAAAAAAAAGTAGTAGCCTGTCCCCCATTTCACAAAAAACTTTACCAAATCTGATATTTTCTTGCATAAAATAAAATTTCTTTATCATGTTATCATTTCAGGAATTTCACGTAGCCTATGTTTTCATCAAGATGGCCAACTCACCTAGACCTGGTGTATGGGCTTTACTAAGATCTACAGATTTTGGTGATTCGTGGAAACCATGGCAATATTTTGCTGATACGCCCAGTGATTGTATGGAATTCTTTAAAACTCCAGCAGACCAGAGAATTCAGTACGATGATCAGGTTCTCTGTACCACTGAATTCTCCAAAGTTGTACCTTTAGAAAACGGCGAGGTGAGCAGCCATCTTTTATTTTCATAAATTATATATATGATACATTATATTATGATGTCCTTTACAGCTTAGCCCAGCTCAATCATCTGTTGTCCTTTTGCAGGAACCAGTGATTCTCCTTTACTATATTTCTCAATTGCATCAGACTATGAAGGGATCAAATCCACATAATATTAGATCAATGCACACTGTAAATGATTGTAGCTACTTTCCATCAGTAAGCTCACAAATTGCAAAGTTATGTGTTAAAAGTTAACTATGTTATTGTTGATGTATTGCTCATTTCAGATTGTTATCTCTTTGGTAAATGAGAGACCCAATGCCAAGAATTTCTCTTACGCCTACAACTTACAGAATTGGACCAAGGCCACCAATATTCGACTACAGTTTATTAGAACTAAAACTTTATTAGGTCATTTGATTGGTGTGGCTAGAGAAGATCCTACAGTCACCAGAAGGGTAAGAATTCAATTTCAATTCCCAATGTTGTTGGACTTCGTCAGATCTAGCCTGATAAATCAGGTCCTACTCTGACGTGATATATGGATAGAATTAGGCATTTTTACCTAAAATGAAAAGAGATTGCAGACAGATCAAGTGGTTGTTTTCACCAAATTTGACCAAGTCATTCTTGAAATATTTGGAAATGCTAAGACATAAATTGAATAGAGTGAAAGTGGAAAGTTTGTATTGTCTTTGCCTTCGCCTTCAGATGTAATGATTGTTTACTTCTTGATATATTTTAGTATTACTATAGTATTAAAGATATATCTATTGGTGGAAGATGTGTTTGTAATGGTCATGCTGAAACTTGTGATACCCCAGATGTGGATGATGAAACTAAATTATTGTGTACATGTCAACATAATACTTGTGGTGATCAATGTGACACGTGTTGTCCAGGATTCTTACAGAAAGCCTGGCGCAGAGCTTTGGTTGATCAACCTTTTACTTGTGAACGTGAGTACATGTATAGTTATTTCTCATTCAGATGATAGCATTGAGTTGGTACTACCAGATCATAATCAAACGTAATTTAACAGCATTTAGGGTCTTTTTTAAAATTTCTTATCACCTTAACGCTGAAACATGCCCACTTTTTTTTCCTTAAGCCTTTGACAAAGCCACTTTGATAGTCACTGCTTTCTTGACACATTTCTTTTGCTATGGAATGTCTTCATTGACCTGAAAGATGCAGAATAGTAGGACTATTTAAACTTTTCCTGTCCGATCAGGTTACATTTAACACCTCATTCTCCTGCATTGTCTCTACTAACTGTTATATATTAATGAAATCTTTCCTTACAGCGTGTGAATGTTATGGACATACTACAGAGTGTATTTATAATGAAACAGTAGCTAATGAAGGGAAAAGTATTGATATCCATGGTAATTATGATGGTGGTGGTGTTTGTCAAAATTGTCAGGTAATATTGCTAATACATTTCATACCTTCTCAGTTTTCTTTTAGATATTTCCAAAGTTTTTCCAAGGGCAATAAATCGATGCATAATAATTCCTATATATTCCAGAATAATTGTGTAGGGATGAAGGGAGAATAGTATCTGGTGACTAAAAGTACATTTGAAAACCCTCTCAAAGGATAATTGATTTTCTTCTTACATAATATTTGATTGTCAAGTGAGTTGTATTATTTTTATAGCATAATACAATGGGTATTAATTGTGAGAAATGTGTTCCAACATTTTACAGACCGTATGGTGTTCCTAGAAATGCTACTGATGCTTGCCGAAGTAAGTAAACTACTTGTCATTTTAACTATTGACTACTGCTTGACTGAACCCCTCAAAATACAAGATGTAAGCTTAGAGTAGTGTAGACTACTCTCATAATCCAAAGAAATTTTGACAAGATTGATTTTCCTTATATCTATATAGAGTTATCAAGTTATTGCCCTCGACTTAGATAAAAGCAACAAAGAACCTCTAAAAAAGCTGTGGAGATCTAATCACTGCTGCTCTTTGCCTCAGATGCTTTTTCTAGAATCTGTCTTTCATTCCTCCTTTTGCTTTAATGTAAATTAGTCTGAAACTTATTGACTAACATAATAGCCAAGATATGTGAGGAAAACATAGCTGGCAAGCACATCATCAGGTGTTTTGAAAAGAGTAAGCATGGTCTGCTTTGCATGCAACGCTTTCTTCTGTTGAATATTCACATAGAATTGTTATACTAAGAATGAATGTGTGTTGTATTGTAGGATGTCAGTGTGATTTAAGAATATCTACTGGAGAATGTGAAGAAGGTAGTGGAAGATGTTTATGTAGAATAGAATTCGCTGGTGAAAACTGTGACAGGTACTATCCTGAATAATCAAGGGTCCTATTTAAAAGAAGTTCACTGATTTTAGCATTGTCTTCTTTTGAATGGCCAATTACTGATTTTGAATACAATTTGAGCATATTATCAGCTGTTGTGAATATTGGTAAAATTCAAATAACGTCACACATGTAGATCATTTGATTGTTTTCACTGATAGTCAAATTTCCATTCTGAGAAGTGATAAAGGTAATCAGGGCTCAGACCTTTGGGTGTACAGATGATCAAATGACATCTTCTCTTCAGCATGTGAAGTTGTCATATTTTTCTGAATTGCCTGTCTGTATATGGACTATGATATCTATTGTAGATGTAATGTGGGATATTATGACTATCCTAACTGTAAACCATGTGACTGTAATATTAATGGTACTGATGGAGATGTCTGTACTGTAGCTGTAGGTGGACAGTGTCCATGTTTACCAAACTATGTTGGTAGAAAATGTGATATGTGTGCCTTTGGTTCCTGGGATTTCCCTGAATGCAGACGTAAGTAGTAATTTTTTTATTTTCAGCATACTAGTTGTTTTCACTAGTTTATTTGATTTCATGTTTTGTAGTATTTAATTACCTGTCAAAGAAATTGAAATATCAAAGGGAATCTGTCACCCCTCCTTTTGTATTGCTGGAGAGAAACATAGGATTTTAATACTAAAAAGTGGTTCGGATAACCCTAATTCTCTTATAGCCTTAGCATTAAGAGTGATCATTCACATATCTGAGCAATATCATTAATGTTGTTCTTATCTGCTATATGTTTAGAAACATTATTAATGTTGTGTATCTGTTATGAATATAAAAAGATGATCAATTATTTAGGATAATGTTATGATATATTTCAGCCTGTGAATGTAATCCTATTGGTACTCCTAGTACTACCTGTAATGTAGAAGATGGACAATGTCAATGTTCAAGTAATTTTGGTGGACGTGTCTGTGATCGATGTGCTGATGGATTCTTTGGACATCCTTCTTGTGAATGTAAGTAGCCTTGAATGACATGCACAAGAAAATGATTTCTTTGTGTGTAGGTTGTGTACCAAAGGTTCCAAAGACATTTGAACTCAATGACTCTGCTAAAGTCAGAAAAACAAATCGTAAGGATGTAAAACTCCATTCATTTCCACTGCATGCTTGATACAAGATTGACTGTACTTGACAGTCCCTTAGTCAAACCTCAAGAACTGAAGAAATGAGCTTCACTACAATAAGTACTGTGGTAGGTGTCTCTTGTCTGAAATGCCATGCTTATTATGGCAAGTCTCATTCTATTTCAAAGAGCCATTGCCATGAAATAAAATGATGCTTTGGATATCAAAGAGTAATTGTTAGTTTTTTTTATGAATGTAAATAGATTGTGATTGTGATACATATGGTACAGAACCTGGTGTTTGTGATAAGGTTAATGGTAATTGTTTATGTAAAGCCAATTACTCTGGAGAAAGATGTGATAGATGTACTTCTGGTTACTATGGTTTCCCTAATTGTCAAGGTATGGTATAAGTATAACATGCGATTTTCTGGCAGTGCTGAAAGGACTGTAATTGTCTCCACTAAAAGTTTTCCCAGAACTTTGTCTGTGACTGAATCATTAATTACAAGTCTGTATGTGAACCCTCAAAATTCAACCAATATGAAACTTCATATGTACAATTCAAAGAGATCATTTTTTAAATGAGGAGTGTCATATATAATACTAAATATTACAAGATAAAGAGATATTGCACTCTGTCTTACAAATTAACAAAACAATTGATTGTGTTGATTATTGCTATTTTGTGTATCGTCTGGTACGAAAAAGTTTTTTGAAGAATATGACTATATTAATATTATTTCCTACTAGCTTGTCAATGTGCTGAACCTGGATCAAGAAGTCCAATCTGTCAGGTTAATGGACAATGTTCTTGTGATCGTAATTATGGTGGATTAAATTGTGATCGTTGTGCTCCTGGTTACTACAGATATCCTGATTGTATTCGTAAGTTTTTTAGAGGTTTTTTTGTAGTAATGTAAATAATTTAAGCTTGGTAAAATTTGTCACAAAAGTAGCATATTACAACCTTATTCCCCCCCCCCCCCCTATCATTGGAGATTGCATTTGGAAAAAGGAATCAAGTCATTCAATAAATTATGTCTTTGAGCTACAAGCTGCATATGTCATAGGTATCATAAATGTTGAAAATTAAAAAAGAATAGGCTGATGTTGCTTTCTTGGCAAATATTCCTCATTGTACACTACATGGCCTGTCTAAGTAAGTATTATCAAGAGCAGAGAACAGGATGTGGAATGTCATTTCAGTTATAGCTCTGAAGAGTTCTAAAGATTTGTTTATTGTATTTCAGCTTGTAATTGTGATAGGTTCGGTTCACTGGGTCTATCATGTAATCAAACTACAGGCCAGTGTAAATGTAGACAGAATTTTATGGGAACAGCTTGTGATAAGTGTGTAGAGGGATTCTACAATTATCCTATGTGTGAAGGTTCGGGTTTTAATTTTTCTCTGCTTTATTTTTTTTTTTATTAAACTTTAAGTTGAATATAGACATTTATAATAGTTATATTTGCATGGTTTAGGTTGTAGAGGGTGATTCAACTTTAAATTGATGTGGTATAGCCTACTTAATACCTAATGCTAGCTGTCAGTCCAAAAGTCATGTGATTGTGAAATTCTTAACCATTAAGTGAGACACTTAATAGATTATTTAGCCAATGCTTATTGGATGAAAAAGTTGGTTAAGCTCTGATCGACTTTGCTCATGAATGTAAATCGGAAAATTCTTTTTTGAATGTGGTTTGTGTCAACTTTAAAAGCATAAAGTCATAAACTCATCCATGTTGAGCCATTAGACTTTGATACAATGATGCATTGTAGAAAATAATAGTTAAAAAAGTAATATTTTTGTTATTGTAGAATGTAATTGTAATCCTGCTGGAGCTAAACAAATCCCAGGTTATCCACTAGGAGGTTGTGGAGAGGTCATTAAAGGTCAACTATGTGAATGTAAGGAGCGAGTTCAGGGTAGAATTTGTGATGAATGTAAACAAGGATACTACAGTCTGAACAGAAATAATCCTCTAGGTTGTGAAGGTAAGCGTACATACATGACTTTGTGTTACCACATTTGAAAACTTTGAAAGAGGTAGTTGCCGGTGACAGACTGTCAAGACCTATTGTTTTAATCTGCACCATTCTCATCACGTTTTAAAATCACAATAACAAACACCTTTTGAGTCAAAAAGCATATTTCATGGTGATGTCATAATCTGTTCCAATTATCTATGATGACCCCATTTTTACAAAAATATGTGCAGGTATTTCTTTTACAATGTTGAGCTACTATAATTAAGTTATAATGTATATTATAGAATGTCAATGCCACCTGCCAGGAACTGTGTCTGGTGATAATATTTGCGATGTTAAAACTGGACAATGTGTCTGTAAACCAGATGTCAGTGGACAGAATTGTCAGGAATGTAGAGATGGTACTTTCAATCTCCAGGAAAATAATCCATTTGGTTGTGTTGGTAAGCTGAAATATTACATTTTACAATTTTTATTACAAAAGATTTCATTGAATTAGATGCGATTGTTGAATTGTTTGTTCTCCAAACGTTTATATTCAATGTTTCATAAATACTCAATCATTAATCAAAGTATAATCAAGTGCTATCCAGACATGCATTATTTAGTTCTATCTATAACCTTCTGTTTTTGACTGTTAATATTTTGACCTGTAGATTGTAAGTGTGATCCAGGAGGCTCATCCAGTTTAATCTGTAATAAACTAACAGGAAGATGTATTTGTAAACCTCGTGTCACTGGAGAAAAATGTGATCAGTAAGTCAAGTATTTATATTAACCACAACTTCCTTTCTTTCTTTATACTGTTGAAAGGATAAAGGGCCGTTTAGCATGTATTTTTTTGAACATTGTGTATCCAATTTTAACTGGATCATCTGATAAATAAAGAAGACCACTTTCATGCGATCATAAATAGAGGTCAATAATTCACTCTGGCTTAGTTGCCCCTAAAGAGTTCAACTTGAACAAAACTGGTAGGGCGTACACACTAAATCAAAGGTTCCCTAAAGGAGCGTTATTCTTCCTTTGTTCCCGATATTGATATCATTTACTCATGTAAATTGATTTATTTCAGACCAATCCAGACCCATTTTTACCCAGACTTGCATCAGTATAAGTATGAGATAGAAGATGGTGTAACTCCAGAAGGTCAAACGATTAGATATGGTTATGATGAGAGAATATTCCCCAGCTATTCCTGGAGAGGTTATGGAATTCTTACCAGTATTCAGGTAAATTTCATAAATTCATTGATGCATTTCAAATCCTGTGACTTGTTTTCCATGAAGAATTTTGAAATCTATAGAAATTTTGAACAATTTTAGAGGGTTTTGTTAAGGTCAAGAAATCTAAGATGATCTTTAATGTTAGAAATGAGAACGTGGTATTATTGCTTATGTTATTGGTTTTCAAGGCATCATATGTTACAAGCCTTGCACGTAAACTTTGAACTCCATTTATTTCATTTCATTTAAAGTCACACAGTAACTAAAAGTGAATTTGTGTTTTATCTTATTTGAAATAAAATTCATTATTCAATTGATCTATTTCAGCCTGAAGTATTATTAGATGTAGAAATAACTAAACCTAGTTTATATAGAATGTTATATCGGTTTGTTAATCGTAATGATCAAACAGTCACAGCTACCGTAACACTGAAACCAGAATCCCCTCAACAGATAACTCAGTCTAGTCAAGTCTTATTTAAACCAACAGAAACGCCTGACTTTGTTAATGTTGGTAATGGTGGTGCTCAATCTACATTTGTATTAAATCCTGGCCGATGGTCTATATCTACTACCTCTCCTGATATACTATTCTTGGTGAGTGTTGCGTGAAAACTCTGAATATGAAAAAAAATAAAATTTAATCAAAAGTTTTCAGATTTATAAAATATGCAATTTTGATTGAGAAAACTGACAGCAAATAACACCTAAAAGCTGGCAATTCCACAACAGTCAACACCCCTTTTGATATAGTGTTGTTAAACACAGGCCTTTGAAGTTGACCACCCAATTAGTCATCATCTTGCTCATCCTGTATAGATGGCTGCACATGCTTGTTGAATGTGTTCACGACTATTGATTAATTTCTCTGTATTTTGTAGGATTATTTTGTTCTGATACCACAGTCGTATTATGAAGCTACTGTTATTCAAGATAAAGTCATCAGACCATGTGCTATACCTGCTAATGGAGAAGCGTAAGTCACCTTGAAATGTTTATACATTACTGTCCATATTCAGTCAAATTTTCATTGGACTCTAAGTTTCTTTCTTCAGAATGTTAAGTAATTTCTTGTTAGCTTCAGGGAGAAAATTGTGTTATTCTTGTATGTATTTATCCATGAAAGTGCGTGTTGCTGAGAGGTACAGTTCTGCTATTGAGAGTGTCAGTTATTGCATTACTAAAGAACATGGTGTATTGTCTTTGTAGGTGTTTGCACTATAGCTATCCTGATTTAGAAGGTTATCCTACTATCCATGGTGATCAAGGCTACAATGTTGTCGATCAACAACGCAAGAGTATTGAGGGTTATCCAGATCAACAAGTCTTAGATGAACTTGGTGTTTCAAACTTGGGACATCTAAATCCAAATCAGGTTAGAATCAGACTTTGAAAGAATTCAGATGGATGCTGATAAAAAAAATATAGTCAATACTGGATGAAATAGTAGGTTTGGTCCTAAATTTATTATAAATTCATTAGTACCGGGTATATGATTTCTTTTCAGACTTTTTTCTTCCTGGACTTAAATGTGCCATTCCCTGGGGATTATGTTTTGGTATTGAATTATTATAATCCTGAAGATAGAAGACAAGATTTAGATGTTGATATTGCGTCTGCTGATGGTCGTGCAAAAGCTATGGTTAATCTTTATAAGTGTCAATACAGGTAAGAGAATAAATATGTTCTGTAAGCTCAAATCAGAAATAGTCTTTTTTATATTCTTATTCGTACCACTGTTATTGTATGAATATTTGTATATAGTACTGTATATTTTCAGTACTGTATGTACTATTGTATGTATATTTTCAGTACTAAATGTATGTATTATTGTATGTATATTTTCAGTACTGTATGTATTATTGTATGTATATTTTCAGTACCGTGTGTCGACAAGTATTTAAAGATGTAGATGGTATGATTGGTATATTTAATATCACCTCTGGTTATGCCTCTATAACTTTACGTGGACCACCAAATATCAATATTGGTATTGTAAGTATCAGACCAGACATTCAAATGTTTTTTGCTAACCTGGAGTTTGTTGGTTTGTTTTTGTCAGATTTCTTATAGATTGTCTAAACAATTGAATAAGATTTGTATTTTGAGTGGTAGATCTCAAGTCAATTTGAATGTAAAAAGGGGAAAAATAAGGAGTAATGATACTAGTAACATAATAATCCATGATTGTATTTATATTGTAATATTTTTTTTTCAGGAATCTGTAACTGCAATACCCTTTGAAGATTGGAACCCTGGTTTTATTCAACCAAGAATTATCTGTATTAGAGTCAATGGAGTGTAAGTATTAGCCATAATTTACAAAAATTATAGACCAACTGCAGCTAATAACCTTAACTTTGTTGTAAACTAAACCACATCAATTTTCAGCTTCATTATGTCAATGATAAGTCACATTGTACAACAAAACAATAGTCCTATTCTCACCCTTTGAATGTGACAAACTTGCTTAAAAACCAATGGTATGTATTAATTTTAGTTGTGTGCCTTCAACCTACACCAATCCAGGAGGTGCTATAAGAATAGATTTTGAACAAGCTCCTAATGAAGATCGACTAGCGACTGACTATCCTACTGGTATAATAGATCCCAATATTGGACTGGTTAAACTTAATATGTCTGAGGTCAGTAAAACTTAAAGCTCTTTTTATTTGATTACTAGCAGTGATCACTGATTTTGCAAAAGCCTTACAATAGTGTTTGCCTTTAGTCTATTAAATTCAGATAACATTGACAAATCAACAAAATAGACAGTAATGCAACATCCTATTGTTTTACAGATACAAAATGTTGGTCATTGTTGGCATATGCTACATATACTTTATCTCAAATTAAATCGATTGTAAATTAAAATGGTGCAAATTGATTCTTTCAGTGTCCCCGATACACATATAAAATTTAGAAAAACCTTTAGGAGAGATAGCTAGTTTGTTGAATCAAAAACATACTTATTAGTGTTCTTTACTTTTATAAAACTCAATTGGACTTTATTGACTGTAATTGTCTATTTATTAGCCCAGTATAGAAATAGAAGGTGAAGTTGGTACAAGACGACAATTTGTATTTTTAATACAGTATTATCAGCCTAATAAAGTTGGTATGACTGTACCTATTACAGTTTATGTTAATAATCAACCAATGCACGGTATGTCTCTATATTTGTTTCTGAATTCATGTCCAAGTTATTAGATTTCGAATGAGATTATAAATGAAAATGCAAAACTTATAGTTGATATTTAATTTTTTTTTCGGGGATCCTGCCATATCTAGATTTGCACATATCCGTATCGTTAAGTTAATCCTTTTCATGATTGCTGTATATTGTGTCGAGATTAATCGATTAAAAGACTTACACATGAATTTATGATGTTATCAGTATAATGCACCATTTTTTACTCAATCTGTCTGTAATTCTTCTTGTAGGTAAATTTAATGCTAAATATTGTCCGAGTGTTACTGGTTGTCGTGGTACTGTTATATTTGATGAAACATCCAGTGAAATCTTAACGTTAAAAGATAAAAATGTCAGATTATTGGTCAATAATACAGAAGATGGAGATCTGTGGCTGGTAGGCGTTATTTTCTTGATATTCAAATTCCCACTTATATTCACAAACCCCCTTTAAACCAGGGATTTTCAATTTGGGTGTAATTTTGAAATTATTGTGTTGTAATGTGGCGCTATGTAATATAGCATAAATTTTTGTTGACAATTATAACTCAAGTTGTTCTTTTCAGTAAGACTATATTCTCCAACATAAAAAGAAAAATCACGTAATAGTAGGATTTATAGGGGGAAGGGAGGTTATGTTATCAATCAACAATCTTGAAAGGAGTAATAGAATGAAAAAGGTTGAAAACCCCTGCTTTAAAAAATGATCTGAACTTGCGTAGTGTAGTGTAGACACAAGAACTACTTGTCAAACTTCAGTAGGGATGCAGGCTGAAATTGATCCGTTAAACGAAGATGGCACATTGTGAAACTCTGAGTAACAATGTGGTTCAGTCTCTATTACTAATTCTATTTCTAAATGATCTACATAGTAATATCAGGTTTCATTACCTCACTTACCAGTCTCTGAATACAATAAATGATTTTGAGATATGTTCTATCTATGGTTGTATATTTACAGGACTATGTGTTATTTGTACCAGCTAGTAATTATAAATTAACAGATTTAGATCTTCAGCCTATTGATAAATCAGCCAACTTTCTACAAGCTTGTGTTAATGAAGGTTTTGAATTAAAGTAAGTTTCTGAATTTCCTTCCTGTTTTATTTAGGTTTTCAGAACCTGTTATTCGTATGTTAATTATGCTGATGCAGGAATTGAGCGAAAATGTGTCAAATTTATGTTGAAATTGAGGCAAATTTTCTCTGGTACATTACAATGTACTCATTAGACTTTAGTATTCAAAACAGAAAGTAGTATTTTCAAATTTTTTAATTGCCTATATCCCAAATTGTTACATTTCTTGGGTACATTTTGTTTTTTTAGCTTAGACAATGCTGAATGTCGGGATGGAGCATTTACCCTTACAACTGAGTTTAACAATGGTGCCTTGGCTTGTGATTGTAATATTGATGGATCATTAAGTTTTAATTGTGATTCATTCGGTGGGCAGTGTGAATGTCGTCCTAATGTAATTGGTAGAAAGTGTCGAGCTTGTCAACCTGGTTATTATGGCTTCCCCAGGTGTAAACGTAAGTATTTTATGGGCTGATTTGATTAGTTTTATGTTATGACTTGAACCTAAAGGCCACAGTTCACCATTTTCTGAGGTTGATTTCTGAAGTTCTAGAACTGCACGAAAATCACACACTTCCTTCAAATATACCTCAAACTCGAAATTTCACTTTGTATTTCTCTTCTATTTATGGCGTAGTCTCCAGCTAAGATGAGTCATCATTTTGATGCAGATAATTCTAGACAACTAAAATACAAATGGGCAAATGGATGGTGAATCTGTCCCTTTAAGAGTGTATATTTAGTTTCATGTATTGCTGTTTAGAGGGGTAAAAAGTTACCAAAAGGATAAAAAGTTCATTCTTAAATAGTATGGTTATTAGCTTGCCCTATGGATACTACTCTTGCAATAATGTAGGTCATTGTTTGTCTTCAGTAGTCTAATCTGAAGATAAGACATAAAATATATTTATCTTGTAGCCTGTAACTGTCCATTCGGCCTGTGTCATCCTGTTAGTGGAGAATGTACATGTCCACCGCGAGTAACTGGTGAAAGATGTGATACATGTAAACCTGAAACATATGGTTATGATGCCTTAATTGGCTGTCAGGTATGTTAATATCTTGTGAATAACAAAGAGGTTTATCTGGTATTTTCTGATCATTTTCCAACATGATTTTTAGCTAGAAATAATCATTGGGCCAAGTGCATAAATCCTACATGTTATCATAACTTCTGTGATATTTCTCATTCATACGAAAGAGATAGAAAAATTTTCCCAAGGTAAGGTTTGGGTGCACATTGTATTCGCAATTATACAATATAACACTAGAATGAATCTTTTAATATAGGAATGTGGTTGTAATCAACAAGGTGTTGTTAATGAAGATTTAAACTGTGATGATAATACTGGACAATGTCAGTAAGTATTGTTTTAAAATCATCAAAATCATGAAAATGACGAAGTGTATGGAAGACACCACTAAAATATTGTATGATCATATTGATTAAAACCTTAGTGTATACAGTGAAATAAGTATAAAGCAACATAAAACATGCTGGTTTTTTATTTAGATGTTCACCCAATATTGGAGGGCGTAAATGTGATACATGTCACAATGGATACTATCGTTTCCCAATATGCCGTGAATGTGATTGTGATAGAAGTGGTACTAAATCTGATATTTGTGATCAGAGAACATCACAATGTTTCTGTAAGGTAGGTTGTCTTATAGTTCTTAAACGAATTTCCTATTGTCTTTTACCAGACACATTGCATACATTATGGCATAGAAATTCATTTGATAAATATTGGCTTATTTTTTATGGAGTAGTGTTACTAATGATATAGCCTATAATATAATAATTTGGTATCCTCAAAGGATTTATCATTTTAGATTGTCATGGCACTTGTATAAATGTAATTTCAATCTATTAGTAATTGAACCATGTCTTGTTTGTCGTATTTAGGCAGTGATTTTTGGGATCGGATGCTAATGGCAATAATTAACAGTCATTATTTGTCTCTGAGTCATGTTATGCTTGGTGTTCTGTAATATTTTAAGATGTAATAGTTCAGAGAATAATAGTTTTCTGTTTTATCTGTGTAGGACAATGTTGCTGGTGACAGATGTGATGTTTGTGCTGATGATACATACTTTCTAGATGTAAACAATCCTGTGGGTTGTACAAAATGTTTCTGTTTTGGTACAACAACTCGATGTGATAGCTCTGGTTTATTTTGGGAAGAGGTATGATTTCTGAGCACATTTCTGATTTCCTGTAATAAGATGTGATTATATTTGTCCAAACTTGAGAACATGGGACAGTTGTATACAGTGTATTCTGTCATATCTGAGCACTCTAATATTCTGCGTAATCTGACATCTTTTTCCGGTCCTAATTGATTTCCTTCTTATCTTCTTTCAGATAAATGATATGAAAGGTTGGGGTATATCTAATACTGTAGGTACACAAGTGAGAGAAGCTGGTCAAACTATAGCTCTAGTTGACATCAGTGATAAGATAGTAGATTCTGCTGATGCTATGTACTGGATTGCTCCTTCTACATATCTTGGTAATAGGGTAAGTTAGAAAATCTTTGTTATCTTGATAGAAAGAGCCTTTGAAATTCCTAGTTATCTGACGTTATTCACACAGCTGGGATGTATAACTTTTTATCACATCATTGTTTAATTTTTAGTGGTGCTCATATTTCATATGTGTTGACTGAAGATGTAATGTATTGTGTTCTTTATTGTAGTTGACATCTTATGGTGGAAAGTTGAAGTACAATATATTATTTACTTTACCCAGAGATAACCCTGAACAATCATTAGGTTTAATAAAACCAGATATTATTCTTGTGGTAAGTATCCAACAGTCTAACATTCTCAATTGTACTTTATTTTACATTCAATATAGGACAATCAGTCAATTTCAGGAACTCAATATTCTTCTTCACTTACCTTGAACTGTTACTATATCATTGCTAGTTTTGCTCATCTTGGGTGACTTCGATTGGAGCTTGGCTCTGCCCCTTGCTATTTGGAGAGTCGAACCCAAGTTAATCCATGGCTCATTTAAGAAAATATGTTCTGCAGATCAAAAGCACAGCAGGAAAAGATTGTTTCATTGAAACTGTTTATGAAAATTGTGAAAATGTAATCCAAATGTTGATGGTTGACTATTTGTTCTATGTTTTACAGGGTAACAATATGACTATTGTTCATAACAGTGAATCACAACCAACAGCTAATATACAAACTGATATGGAACTTGCTCTCATTGAGGTAGTATTGATTATTATGACTTTACTGATCTATATCCTAATTAAATGAATGATTTTTTTGGGGTCTTATATGGTGATTTTTGTCATTTGTTTTGTTTCAAAAAGAGAAAAACTTCATATTTTATACTAGTGTGTTGTCTTTGCCTATCAAATTTCATAAATTCAAAGTTATTAACATTATGTTACAGCATAGCTTTAGACATGAGATTGGTGGTGATATGGTCACAAGGGAACAGTTTATGATGATACTAGTTAATTTACAAGCATTACATATCAGAGCTTCATATTATACTATTATTGATGAAGGAAGGTAAGATCTCCAGTCTTAATCTGCAGCATTGCTTGTCAAAAATGTTCACTTTCCTAGGCACCTTGATTAAGAGTGAATTTATTTGAAACACAGCTATATAGATTGAGCTCTTTATCAATTAAATACGTAGATATGTATTTAAAGACTTCATAATGTAGAATTTTCCCCTTAAATGTTCATTTTTTTTACTTCTGATCAAGGGTTTTAGCACACTTTATACTTCTTTAGTCCCATATTATTGGTAAACAGCCATTACCATGTATTTTATGCATATCTGAAATACTTGACAGCAGTAATAGATGAACTCTTGAAGTGTAAGATTGTTAACCGCTCTGAAATTTGAGTAAAAACAATTATGTTATCAACTGTTATCACAGTATATGGAAGACTGTAATTTGAATTGGATATATTCTAGATTAACTGATGTCATGTTACAAGTAGCCAGTTCTATAGGACAAGGTGATAGAGCTTCTAATGTAGAACAGTGTCAATGTCCACCAAATTACCAGGGTACATCTTGTGAAGTAAGTTTTGATTCCTCTTAGATTGTTGAATATATGGTCCGCTTATTTTGTTGAATATACAGGTAATTTTTTCAGCAAAAGCAACAATTTACAATATTTCATTGCCCTGTGTTCAATTCTGAAAACGTAACAAGAGATTTTATCTATAAGGGCAATTTTTTTAGTTTAAGTTTAAGTTTCTTGGAGTACAATCTATAAAGTGACAGTCTTCATGAAAACTGATGTGAATAGTTAGATAATTGAATGTTGGGCAAATAACATGTTTAACTGTTTTGGAGCTGTCTTAATGTGTAAGAAATATGTAATTTCTGTAATAATAGGTGAGATCGGCCATGATGTCATAGAGGTGGGTTTGCATATCACATGGTGCACACTATTTTACTGTGAGAGCGGTTTGTCCTACCAATTCATGCATATGTTCTATTTTAGCATTTTTAGCTGATTGCTTCTATATAATAATTGTTCTTGTAGGATTGTGCTCCAGGTCACTACAGATCATTAAATTCACCTTATCTTGGTATCTGTGTACCCTGTAATTGTAATGGTCATGCTGAATCTTGTGATCAAGTTACTGGAGAATGTTTGGTAAGTTTATTTCATTTTTATACATCCCACATTATAATGTGGTCATATATTGTATATACGAAAAACGTGTCAAAATTTGTTTGTGAACACAAAAGAGATTAGTTTTCATCCGATTTAAATGAAATTTGACGTGAATATTTATAATGATGACACCCTGTGTGCTACAGGCTGTGCATATTAAAGATCCCTCGACAGATGAAAATCAAGAATATATTCTGGTGTGTTCCCACATTCGAAGCTGAATGACGTTGCCAGTCTTCATTAGTCCAATAAGGTGCAGAAAAGTACAACATAAAACTCCATTCGTTCATTTATTTATGTATTTCATGAAGCAATATAATATGAAACTTTTCTTTCTCAGAATTGTCAAGACAATACATACGGAACTCATTGTGAGTTTTGTTTGGAAGGTCACTATGGTAACCCAGCTACAGGACGTTGTACTATTTGTTCCTGCCCATTACCAATAGAATCCAACAAGTAAGTTCTTGAGTATTTTTTTATCATAATGAGAGTCCTGTCAAAAATTTTACTAGCTATGGATGTAAAGTTACTGGTACAGTTCAAAATGTATTGGAAGTTCAAGAGGTCCTACACATCTTTACCAATGAATAACTAATTCTTGGGTTAGATCTGCACATTTGGGATTCATGGAATCAACCATAAGTTCAATTAAACAAATTCCATGTGTGCCAAAAAAAAAGTGCAGACAGAATTCAAAATGGTCTAAATAGAAATAAATAGGAAAATTTTGAATGTGACATATTCTGCTTCCGTACCGTTCGAGTGAAGGCAGAATAAGAAGAGACAAATCCTGATCAGAATTCTCCAATTAGATGCAATCTATGTTTCTATGGTATTAAACAGTATGCTTCTTTGATTTCAGTTTTGCCACATCTTGTTACATATCTGATGAAACTGGATTCACCTCCAATTGTCAATGTAGAGAAGGTTACTATGGTGATAATTGTGAAAGGTTAGTGGTGTTTTACTAAGCTTCAGATGAATTTTTACATATTGTCCAGAGGGCTTTTTGAAAGGAATTGAATAACGTCCACATACAAGAATAACACCTTGGGTTCTGTAGATTTTGGCAGCCTGTCTGGAGACACACACCATGAACATTTACTTTGTGTTTTTTTGTACACATTTATTTCAGTTTCTTCTGAAATGATAAAGCAGGTTGATTTTGAAAAGAATGTCAGCTCACCATCTTCTATTTGAAACAGATAATTGATATTTTGATTATATATTGTAGATGTGCTCCAGGATATTTTGGAGATCCACGAACAGAAGGTGGATACTGTCGACCATGTGATTGTAGTGGTAATTTAGATATGTCAGATTGGGGTGCGTGTGATCAAACAACTGGACAATGTTTAAATTGTCAGAATAATACTGGTGGTGCTCAATGTGAAATCTGTCGAGAATGGTATTATGGTGATGCTATTAACAGCAAGGATTGTGATCGTAAGTTACTAATGAAGTAATGTTGGTGATATTCTTTTGATGGTTAAGAGACTGTAGTGGTTGAGGGAGTTAGACACATGCTGGCGAACCAGAAGAGTTCAATCCCGGCATAGGTTTCCTTTGGAGTAGGAAACATGGTATACTACATCGTGATCCCATGCACTACAATTGTGAACGGTTGGAAATAGAAAAAGAGTAGGCTAATCTGTTAATTCCCCTCAATGGTATTTAAAGACTTTGATATATATACTGCTGCATATTTTTCTTCAGAAATAAGTATTGCAAGTCTGCATGTTTAAGACTTGAAATTGACATGCTGTGCTTTGAGTCTGATACATATTACTTTGACACTTATTCTGTAGCTTAACAAATTCTGTATATTTATGTATGTTTATCGTAGGTTGTAGTTGTGACTATTGTGGTTCTGAAAAATGTAATGATCAAAATGGAGTATGTGAATGTAAACCTAATGTGGTTGGTTTGAATTGTGATAAATGTGCTGTAAGTGTATTTATTCTAGAAACTATGACAAACTATTTGTGTAAGAGCTGACGATGGGTACAAACTTTCATTGTAGCGTCAAAATCTTACAACAAGTTTTATCTTTAATAGTATGCTTAAATGTATTATGTTACATCCTGTCTTTTGTGTTCAGATTATCCATTGTATTGTCCCCATGAGCTGAATGTTAGACAGGACCATGTCACCTTGGTATATTAGACCTAATTCTGATCAATGTAAAATAAAGAGTTTATTATAATTATTACTAAGCCCTATTCATAATTAAATATAAATTTCCATCCTATTTCAGCCATATTCGTATGGATTTGAAGAGTGTACTGGTTGTAGACAATGTGAATGTGGACAAGCTTCAGAATCACCACAATGTGATGTATTAACTGGACAATGTACATGTAGAGATCATGTTCTTGGTAGAAAATGTGACCAATGTCAAAATGGCTACTGGAATTATGGATCTACTGGATGTGAACGTAAGCTAGATTCTAAAATTTAATATAAATTGCTTAATAATTTGATTGAGCATGGCTCAATTAGCATTTCTTAAAGATGTTATTTTATATTAAACTTTTGGATCCTTGTTAAGTAATAATTATAACACAGTTTTCATTAGTTTACCAATTCAAATACAGAGCCTGAAACTTTAAATCAGTTAAGTCATGATAAATGCAATATGCAACATGCTATAAATTACTTAAAACATGATCAACAAAGGTTTGACAGATTGAAGAGTGGTTTTCTGGTTATGTTATAATCACGTATGTTCATCACATGCCACATTTTGTTTTAGAAGCAAGTTGGTTGTTACATTAACTTAGAAATTTGTCTAATTGGTTCAGGATTTTGTAGGTTATTGTATTAATTTCAGGATGTCCATGTATGGAAGCAGGTTCAGCTTTATCATGTGATGCTGTATCAGGGCGTTGTGAATGTCTATCTGGTGTAACAGGTGATCTATGTGATAGATGTCTAGATAGATGGGTTTTAATACCAGGTGTTGGATGTCAAGGTAACTTCGAGTTTTCTTATTGGTACCTAGTTACAATGAATTCTTATCACACAACTTCTTTCCTTGTTTTGTTTGTATGTATATTATTAATTATGGATTTCTCAATACGCTGGAGCTGGGAAATCATTTGGTATAAATTTACTTCCAATATTAAGGCTATCCAGTATCTCCTGTAAGTTATGTTTAGCAGCCTGACAAATCTGACTGGCACTTCCAGTTCCTCGGCAGAGATATACGGATGGGAGATTAACATGTATGTATATCCGTTTATCACATCAAAGAACAGATGTGGCCAGATTTGTAGGGCAATGCATTTTGTAACTAAGAATAAAAAATTAGAATAACAATGACTTATTAATATTTTTACAGAGTGTGATAACTGTGTACATATCCTGATTGATGATTTGGATCATTTTGATCGTAATGTATCTGTTGTTAGACGTCAACTTGCGTCAGTATCTGTTGGTGTAGGAGCTTTCATGAAGATTAGTCAGATTAATGATACTGTTTCACTTCTCAAGGTAAATCTTATGTTAATTTTAATTCAATCTATTTGTAGCCTAGAGGTGACTTCTACCCTTTGGTCAGACCGTCTTCATTAGCCCATGTGTTGCAGAAAAAGGATGTAAAACTCCATTCATTTCATTTACTCTTCATCCTGGAAGATTCATTATTCTTTAGTTGAAGTTAAAAATTGGAATGACTGCCTTTCCTTCAGTACCTATTGATATGACCTAACTTGTTGAGAAAACAGCAAAATTATATACATCTTCTTGATAAGTAACACTCTAATGTCTTGAACTCAATTATCTTTTCAATATACAAATGTTTATTTGTAGCCCCAAGTAAAGAGTCTATATTCTCGTACTGATGATGAGTCTCTTCCACCACTACAAGATGGTTTACGGGAGGTGTCAGCTTCAACACAGAAAACATTAGACATGGTATGTACTTGTAATATTAAAAATTGAAATATTGTTACTGATGGCGCTTAGTAGTTTGATTAATACTGACCCAATAGGATGAGAAACAGCTTATTCCATTAGTACTTGTTGAACTGAAACTTTCAAAATGTTTTTAATTGTACACTGTATGGCATTGTCAGTCTTTGTTAGCCCTGTCAGATACAGATAAGTAGGATGTAAAACTACCATTTCATTGCAATTGAAAGTGCAACTGTTTTTTCTAGGCAATGAGAACACAAGCCAATGCTGAAGCTGTAGATGAAGATACCAGATTACTTCGTGAGGAAGCTTTTAATCAGATACAACATGCTCAAGAAGCTTCAATTGCTGCTGAAGGTATGCTTAAAGAGATTGTAAAGAGGTTTTCTAAATGTTTTATGTGTATCAGGAGCACTGTTAGCATCAATTTGTGCCATTCCAATTTGTCAGAAGTTGTATTTCCTGCATTTCCATAAAAAATAAGCATTTGATAATGTCACTATCGAAAAATCTGCTTATATTTGTAAGGCTGTCAGTCTGTGACGTAATAAAATGCTATGTTTTATCAATCAAATTGAAATTGTATCCCTGATGAAAATTTGTATCATGGATGCAATTCTTTATCACAAATGAAAATTTGTATCAGTTATGTATTTACTAATAAAATTTTGTTATATTTCAGATGCTGTTGGTGAGATAGATGAAATATTAAGACGTATGTTGGGTCGTATCCAAGTATCGTATGTTGATAGTTATATAACTGATGCTGAAGATACACTTACCAGAATTGAAGCCAGAGAATTTGAGGCCCAAAATCAAACATGTGTGGCTGAAAATTCTGAATCGGAAAGAGGTAAGCTTTTTTGATACTCAGCATTTGTTTTCGTGTAGCAAAACTCCTTGCATATATTTGCTAGGTTTTATAATCATTTAAATGTGATACTAAATAATAGGCCTATGTATGCAATTAATATGATAAGATATATTCTTTTAAAAAAAATCACCATAACAGGTTTTTGAAATCTATGTACAAAATGTTTGTGCTTTATTCAGACAGAATGAAAATATTTAGTCAAAACAGCAGTATCAAGTTAAAGTATTTTTGGGTTAATAATGCAACTTATTTTTTCATTTAGTTCATAAACTAGCAGAAGAGATTGAGATGTCAGTAATGAAACAGTTTGGTAGAATAATGAATGTTAGTTCAGACTTAGCTGATGTGAAAACACGACTGTATGATCTTCAGAATAGTAGTCAATTCTCACAGACCGGTTCCAGACAAACCATAGACATATTACGAGAATTGAGAGATATTAATCTGGATGGATTAGAGGTGAGCTCTACATCCTGATTTAATTATTTTCAACCACTGCTCAGGATCTAGGAGAGCAAAGGATAGACTTACAGCGGCCGTAACTTGAAATTGATTTTCTATTGTTACAGCAGTTGACCCTCATCTTTTGTTTTATACAATAAAGAACTGTTCCAAACCCTAAAATTAAGCCTAACAAAGACCCTAAAGACGACTGCTATCTATTCAACAAATTGCAAGTCATGACAAACCCTTCCATAACACAAACAAATCATCCTGTTACTGTGCCATAACTTGATATAAATTTTCTATTGTTATGGCAGACTTGACATATCTACTGTTTTATATAGTAGACTGCCTTAATAGTTACAGTCACTTCCAACACGAAAAGAATGTGAGCACATAAAGTAGAATGTCTATCTAATTAACATGAGTGAGTTTTTTTCTATGGTTTGACTCCACTGGCCTAATAAACTTTCGAAGCTTGGAGTATTGAACCCAAAGATGTTGGATTCAAACTTGACAGGTATTCCTGTTTGTTCAATGTATTTGCACATTTGAATATTTTAGAATGGTATAGAGGGTATTCTGACAGGAAAAGACAACTCAATCAACCTACTAGATATGGCAAGAGATTTATTAGATAAGTCTAGGAAAGAGATGGATGATTCTCAAGAAGTTTTCTTGGTAAGTGATGCACAAGAAGGGAAAAGGCAAGATTCACTTTAAGTGATATTGATGCACAATTTACATAGATATACTGCGGATATCACCAACAAAGAGCATTTCAATATTCCATACATCATTTAGATTGTAGTTGATTGGGGGTATTTATGGATTCCGTCTTTTAACAATTGAATTATCAGTCAAAAAGTGAACAGTCCTTAATTTTATCTTACAGACAATTGATAGAGAATCTTCTCGACTGAAATCAGCTGTAACAGCTTTAGAAGTGTTTGTTGATAATTTAGACCGTGGATTAGATGGTATGGAATCACTCATTGGTAATGCTACCCAACATGCAAATGAACTGGCTGAGCAATCTGAACAGTTAGACAGGTGACGAAAGATCTTCATTTTATCTCTAATGCCCCTCATTGTACACTGCATGGTGTCTTCTTAAGCCCAATCAGGTGCAGAAAAATAGGACAGAAAGCTCCATCTCATTTCATTTTTAACTCAAGAGTTATTGTGTGAGAAATATTACTAAAGATTTTAGTTGGCCTACACAAAATTTCCTAGGGCAACAGTGCTCTCCTTGATTCTTTGATGTAACGAAATTCCTATATTTGTAGTATGTACACCAATACTCGTGATACAGCAGCTGAATCTGTTAATGCAGCTGAAGCTTATACTGATATAGTTGATGCTATTAATGATGCTGAAAATGCTTCCATGGTGGCTTTGGAATCTGCTAAAGCTGCTTTAGAGAAGGTAAATGGCATGTTTGATTCAAGATCTGGAAATTAATGATTAACAGAAATTTTATGTTCATATTGCAAATGTCTGACCAGAGCTTATTTTTTTTACTTTTTTCACATGATTTGTTCTTGAGGCTTGTAACTTTTGGATATCAGAAAACAGCAAGCTAGACATTTTATTCAGTAGAATACTAATGTCATGTTTGAATTTGTTATAGTCTGGTGGTGTAGGTGATACAACTGCTAAATCTCGTGAGAGAAGTGAGACTTTGTTGTCATCTGCTGATGATGCCTACTCTCAAACCCAAAGTGAATTGTCTGACCGTTTGGCTGTAGCTAGTGAACAGACAGATGAATTAATGGAACTTAATGATAAAACTTCTGCTGATTTAAATGAAGTTCATGAAATTATGGATGATCTACCAGATCGTAAGTTTAGAAATTAATAACTATCTATATTTGTATTTGTGTGTCAATTTTCATATATTTATCAACATACAATAACGAAATATTTTCACTGTTAAAATAGGGCTCAATACATGGAAATGTAGTAGATGTTTCTGTGTCTACATTCTGAGGCATTCTAATTATCAGCATACTTAGTAGGATTTACTAGCAGGGAAATGCTAGGCTTAATTTTTTTAGTTTAAGAATGACTTGATTCCAGATGTTCAATTGTGTAAAAAAGAAATCAAAACTTATTGCCCGTAGAAAACAAAAAAAAATTGATTCCATAACTGATGATTTCATCTGGTGACAAGAATCAGGACCATGACAATAGATGCAAATAGATAAAATTATGTCTATTATTATTGTAGAAGAAAATGAGAGATCCAGATCAGCTATAGTCATTGCCGAAGACTCACTGTCCAAAGCTATGGAAGCTGAGAATAAAATCAGTAGTATTGTTGATCAACTTCCTGAAGATGAACGTAAAGCTAAACAAATTCCTAATGATGCCTTCACTCGTGATAGAGATATCAGAAAAACACAGAATCAATGTATGTTGCATTAATTGAAATGGTTTCTATAGCTTTCAGTAATATGACTGGACAGTTCAATGGTGTATCCCAATAAATGATTCCTTTGCTGGTGCCATTTTTTATTCTCTTCTGCTAGTCGATAAGATGTAGGCCTAAGCATTGAATTACCGCCAAAGAATAATTAGTTCCCATAATAACTGGTATGAATTTAGATTGCATGAACACCCATTTTTTGGTAACAATTAAAATTTGCATTAAAAAATAGCAAAAATTCAAGTTGAATGGACCTGTTCCCTTTGCATGGAAGCTTTTACTAAACTCATCTGCAGACATTTCTTTATAACAAATTTACAATTGTTTCATGGATATCATGATATATTTCAGTGAACACTATTCGTAGTTTAACGCCCGACATTAAGAACCTAGTCGGATCATTAGGACAACGCTCAGCAGGATTAGCAGAAATTGGTAAAAGTGTTTTAGCTAATGTCACTCAACTGAAAGAAAGAATTGCTTTAGCTAGAGATGAGGCTAACAGGGTAAGAATTAATGTTCTTTGTGAATGTAAGGTATACATGTGTTTGGTGGATAGAATTGGAAATCAATTATAATTCAGATCTTCTGTTCTTTAAGCAGATATACTGAATAAAAGTCCTTGCATATCAACATGGACCATGTGGCAAGAAATGTCCTATTAGAGTCGAAACTGTCTATTCTTTTAATCACATCAGAGGATTACTGATAATTGATAGGTGATTGAATCTAGTTTCCAGTTTAGAGGGGTTAATTAGATTTCTATGTCAGATTGCAGTTTAGACAGGGTGCCAGTTTAATCGGGTGTTAGGTATGAACAAGGAGATGCTGGTTTATATGAGATGCGTTTCTTGTACATTTTACCTAGCAGAGAATTTTTCTCTTTTAGATTCGAGTCGGTCTTCAGTACCTTGCCAATACAACTCTTACATTACGTAATCCACCCAATATAGAACAAGCTGGTTCTCATAGTAAAGTGTCATTCTATTTCCGTACCAAGAATCTCAATGGTTTCTTACTATATCTTGGAGGTGATCAGAAATCAGGTCGACCAGAACCAGTAAGTTTTTATCTCCTAATTATTTGTTAAACCCATTACCATCGCTTAGATTAATATAATTTCCCTCGGAGCACTGTAACAAATATGAACATTTAGTATATTGTGGCTGGAACAAATTGAAATGGTTCCAGTAAGGACTTTTGGAACACCTAGCACTAAAAATCTTATGTTCTCTTTGAAACACCTGATGGTACTTCTTTTTGGAGGAGACCACTACTTAACAACTTCTGCACCTGTTTTTTTTGTTTTTTGGATGAGATTTTTGATTAATTGAATAAAGCGTTGATGATAAATATTCCTGTAATAGTATATGAAACACTGATATAGTTCATTTACAAATGACACATCCAAGTGCTCACATATGTTTTACAATTTCAGATTTCTTTCTGATGTAGGTCTAATAATAGATCATTATTGTATTTTATAGGATGACTATATAGCTTTAGAGTTATTAAATGGACAAGTTGTATTTAAATATAATCTTGGATCAGGAGCTGCTAGAATTGTCAGTCCACAGAGAGTAGATGATGGTATGTGGCACCAAGTTGTAGCTGAAAGGTAAGTAGAGCACAAAATGAAATTATTTGTTTTTAAGTTTGGGTTTAGTTTAATTGAAATACAGAGACTGTTGTACCTAATACAAGTAGGCTATATTGTACAAAGCATGACCAAAATAGATACTGTATAGATACCAGATGCACAAGAATGTATAATGTGCACCTCTTATTATCCTCCAGTATCTAGGAAAATCTCTGTTACCATAAATAATGTGCACACAAATATACGGTAAGTTAAAGTGTGAAACCATCATTTACTGATAGTTACTTTAGATAAGTAATCTGCCTTTTGGTCTTGAACTCATTGTTAATTATAAGGTCATCTTTCTTTTTATGATTCTTCTGAAATAAAAATAACAACATTGGCAATATGAAAAGTTTTTGTGGCGAAATTGACTTTTTTCTTCTTGTATTATGCATTGATCCTCAGTTCTGACATCTCAATGTATGTTCTGTAGAATTGGTAAAACTGGTTATCTAACTATAAGAACTGATAAACAAGATGATACTAAAGTGAGTGGTACATCACAAGGAACCTATACAGTATTAGAGTTAAATCCCCTGACAACAGTCATGTATGTAGGCGGTGCTCCTGATGATGCTATGGTAAGATGAACTTTCTTCTCAGCATGTTGAACTTTAGTTCTATCTGTTTAAGCAAATATTTAGATGACTATCCCTTAATGTCAAGGTAATAAGTTACTAAGAAATTTTCAAATAAAGAAACTGTATCACATTCTATGAAGATACCCTTGGAGACCTGGCAGTGCTTGTGCCAAAAGGCTCGAACCTTATATTTCCTATTTGCAGCTGCCAGAGAATCTGTTACGTACACCTTATGATGGTGTCATTGAAGAGCTAGTTTTTGATGAACAACCCATTGGATTATGGAACTTTAAAGATGGTGAAAATAATTATATGGGAGCCAACGAAAGGTATTACACATTGATTCTTATTTTGAATAACAGAATGTTGAAGAAAATGATCTCAAAATTTTTTGGTTTGATGTGCATTTAGTTATGCGATTGATTTAAGGACTTGCAACATTGTCAACTCCAAAAAGCATCATACTTTCACAAGTGATACGAAATGGACAAGCCATTGCCAGAAGATAAAACAGTGGGAAAGGAAAAAGGTGGTCGGATTAATTTTGAAATTCCTTATTTCAGAGATGTATTCAAGGCTATTACATCTAATGGATTACGATTTAATGGTAGAGGTTATGTTATATTGAGTCGTAAGGAATTAAGATTTGTACCAGCTAAATCTGTAGACGTATTGATGAAGTTTAAGACATATGCTGAGAATGGACTATTGGTGTATATGACTGATAATAAACGTGACTTCCTGTCTGTTGAGATCCGAGATGGTCAGGTGTATTTCCAGTATGATTTGGGTTATGGTCGTGCTACCCTAGTATCAGGTGAACGATACAATGATGGTAGCTGGCATAGTATACAGGCTAGTCGGGTAGAAAAAGATGGTTTACTATTAGTTGACGGCACAGAAGGTAAGTTCTTATTATTATGGTCACTTTCAGATATAGATAAATTTTCTCTTTAAAGTTCACAAATAAGATACAGAGGCAAAGAAATCATTGGTTAAGTAAAATTATTTTAATGAATTATTTTTCAGTTGCTAAAGGTCAATCTAAAGGAACTCTGAAAGAATTATCTATTATTGATGATATATTTATTGGTGGGTATAATCAACCAACTTTAAATACCAAGTAAGTAGAGCAAGAATTTTTTTTTTAATTGTCTTCAGACCCTAGGTCAACTTCGGTAGGCCTACGTTTTCAGACAGGTCCAATAAACATACTCATGTCTACAGATCTGGTGTCAACTTTGGTTCAAGCTCTGAAAGTGCTGTCATGTTCTCATACTTGTTATTTAGTAGTATTGCTTCATAACATTGATATGTTATTTCTAGAGATGTAATGACTGATGGATTTGAAGGCTGTATTAAAGATCTACAGTTTGGATCATCTTTATGGGATCTCAATAATAACAGAGCTGCTAAAGGTGTTGTTATAGGTTGTCCAGAACAGGTAATGATTCTTCTTTTTACATTCTTCTTTATCAAAATATGTGAACAAATGAAATTTTTACACCTTAATTTTGACTAGGAAAAAGCTTGTATCACATTGGTATTGAACAACTTCTGACAACGTTTGACTTCTTTGATACATTAGAAATGATTCCAGTTTATGATTAACCCTGTAACCCTACATAGGTAGAGATGGTACCTTTTCAATCAGGTGTCTTCTTGTCAACCTATTTTCTCAATTTACAGTTACACAGGATTGGTAATCTGGAAGAATCTTGATTCGATAATTGACATATTTTATATTACAGGTAGCTAGAGTGGTATCATTCAGTGCTTTAAAACCAGGATTTGTTGCTGTCTCAGCAGAAAGTATAGGAGAGAAATTTGATCTTACATTTAAAATGAAAACTTTCCAGAATGATAGTTTGGTATTATTTGCTTCTGGTGCATCAGTAAGTTTTTTCATTTTTTAAATCGTCTATCAATAGGATTTTATTTTACAAACCCGAAAAGTCTTTTTACTAACTAGTTAATCAACTTTTTAGAGTATATCAGAGGGTTTATCTATAATTGTGAGTATATCAGAAGGGTTTATGTATAATTTTAGAACAGTATATTATTCTGTGTGAGTATATATATCACAATGTATGTATTATTATATATGTATTACAGAACGGTATATTCTGTGTGAGTATATCACAATGTATGTCTCTGTGAGTATATCACTATATATTTATTATTATAATTATATGTATTATAGAACAGTATATTCTCTGTGAGTATATCAGAAGGCAAGTTAGTTGTTATTAGTGATCCTGGTAATCAGAGAACTCAGTTAGAAAGTAAATATAATAAGTATGGTGATGGTAACTGGCATTATATATCTATTATGAAAGATGGCCTCAAGTAAGTTTTATGTCATTATCTTCTTGTCATAAAATAACCTGCAACTGGAAACCTTTCTGTTACAGGCAGTGCATATTATTGTGCATTTAATAGAGTTTACAATTTGTCAGTTAGTACTTTTAAATGTGTTGTTACTGCATTTGATGGTATCTTGAAATGAAATATATAACTTTTTTTTGTAAGAATTTTTTTGATAAAGAGGGCAAATTAAAAGACAATTATTTTTGAATGGTTTTAGTTTTCAGATTTAACATGTTATTAATTGTGATATTTCAGATTGACTATCAATATAGATGATTATGAAACAGTAGAGACAGTAGCTGATGGACGTATATCAAATCTATTGACCACATCACCTCTGTATTTTGGTGATATACCATCAGATTATGATACTAGAGACCTTGATTTACCATCAACTACTAGAACAGTGGGCTGTATTGGTGATGTTACTGTTAACATGCAGTAAGTTGAATAGGCATACCTCTAGATATTTTGTTTTTTTTTAATCTTCTATCCTATCCTGATGCAGCTTTTCATGATAAAATATTATTTCACTTATGATTGATATACTTTCCTCATATGAAATGTTCATTAGCTCATACTGCTATATTGCCACTATGTTGTTTTGGATTTGGGGTTCGGTTTTGGGATTCAGATCATTTGATCATTTTGCTCATCTGATATCGTGTTGAATTTTTTTCTTATCTCATAATCATTTTGAATTTCAGATCTGTGAATTTTGCCAGTATAAAAGAGAGTGACAGACGTGGAGTTAACTTAGCTGGTTGTCCTGCATCATTTGATGGTGGTAGAGTTCCAGTAACAGCTGGTCCAGATACTAAAACCGATGTTGAAACTGGTATGTAATAGTTTTACAATATTTCTTAGATAATTGAGTGGATAACAAAGTTATATTTTCTGCAAGCTTCAACAAACCAAAGGTCACTGAGTTGTTCACATAATGTAATAAAACTATGAATATACAACACAAAGCATTTGATGCACATGCAATGGTTAATTCATATCAAAAAAGCCACTTGATCCTTCATCTCTCAGAGCTCTGTTAATGATGTTATTGGTAATTTGTAGCACTTTTTCATTAGGCTAGTTATTTAAATTTATGGAGGACATATTTATTCATAGATCTGATTAATTGAAATAATACACATATGGATTAATGATTATTTTTTTAGATTTAATTACTTTACTATCAATATTATTATAAAACTCCATTCATTTCATTTTATTATCAATATTATATATTACTAGGTATATCAATTGAGGAAAAAACAACACAACCACCTCTACAATGTGCTCTACCAGTAATACCTGATGAGAATCTCTCCACTGATGTTAGTGGTACTAGGTTTGGAGCTAAGAATGATAGCCGTGTAGAATTTGAAAAATTGCCAGCTAGATTCAGGATCAAGTAAGAATTATGAGTTCATTTTGAATAATACAGCTAGAACTATATGTAATTATGTAATTTGATTTGTTAAAAAAACACAATTTCTACCTTTGTAGATATCTTTTATCTTGAAGTGTCAAATTCAAGATGTTAATTTTTGTGGATTGAAAATATATTTTACTTTTTGCTTAATTTTGATGAATATCAAAAATATAAATTTAATTTTTTTGTAGATCTGAATTTTCTCTGGAATTTAAGACAGAAGCTGATAATGGGTTACTGTTTTATGCATCTGATCCTAAACACGTAGATTTCCTCAGTTTATCTATGATTCAAGGACAAGTTGTATATGGTTTTAATTGTGGTTCAGGAGCAGCTGATATTCGAAGTCCTCAAAAATATAATGATGGAAAATGGCATATGGTGTGTACAAGAAAAATTTTGTGTTAAGGATTCTTAACTTAAAGAATAATACTGCTTGTGATTTCTTTCATATATATGAATTTTATGTTGTGATTATTGCTTAAAGAGTTAAATTCTGGTAACCTGTGATAGGTCATTAAGTCAATGAGGTTTGCCAAGGTCCATTTTCCAGACTCTACTGAAACATAGTTATTATCCTTTTGTTATTCATAGATTCTTATCTCAGCGTTCAGTAAGAAAGCCATATTATAGTTTTCTCTTATGTAATTTTTTTGGTATGTGACAAGACAAAATGTTTTTCCAAATATAAATGAGTATTTGATATTTATTTCTTTTATAGAAGAATATTTTATTTGTGATTTTTAGGCAACGTTTGCCAGAGCTCAACGTACTGGTAGATTATTTATTGATGGTACAGAAGTTGGTCAGGGTAAATCTACAGGCGGTACAAGATCTATAAATGTTAAACCACCTTACTATGTGGGTGGTATACCTCATATTAAAGAAATGAAAAAAGCAGTACGAAATCTAAAAGTAAGTAATGTATTCTTTGGTTGAGTTTGGTTTGGTCGGGGCTAGGTTGTGTGGGTTCTTTGTGAAACTGATGAACAATACTAGCACCACTTTGTAAAAGAATGGCAAAATCAGAACTTTGTATAGTACTGGACTAGGTTGTAAGATATTAAATCATCAATCGTAAAAGATATCTGCATTCACTTAAATTTGCCAGAATGAATAAGGAACAGACTATCTTACATTTATATAATTATATAATTGGATTACATATTTGGGAATTTTTGACCTTGGTAAATTATTTGGGACATAAAGCTCTTAAAGTATGCAATTTTTATAGTACTAATTGTAATGTTACAGGAAGCTGTTTCAAGTTTTGTCGGTTGTATCAGAAATCCAACATTGAATAACAAAGATTTTGGAACACCAAGCCAAGAATATCAGACATCACCATGTTCTGATGCCATGGAATCCGGCACCTTTTTCCCTGCTGATGCCTACATGCTGCTTTGTAAGTTAATATAAAGTGTGATCTTTTTGAATACTTATGTTGATATGCAGGTATAATTGACCAGCTCTGTTTAATCTACAGTCAAACATGTGATAAATAATGTAAAGAATATATACATACTATACATTTCTTGATAATGATTAGATGTATAACTTGAATATCTCCTACAGCCTGGCCTTTCAGTGAGCAGGCAGTTGTAATCTTGGTCCTGCTAGCTAGCTTGCCTCAAACTTAGTAAACAAAAAAACTCCTGATATCTCATGGAAAGCAAAGAAATATTTTCAATATGATTAACTTAGAAGTGAAATAATTAATAGGTTATTTTTTGTTTATTATTGTTGTAGTTGACAACTTTAAGGTTGGTTTAGATAAAGAAATTTATTTGGAGATCAAACCACGAGTGACATCAGGTGTTATATTGGCTGTTCACAGCAAGGGTGGCGATTTCTTTGCTATTCAGCTGGTTAATGGGAAGGTAGGGGCTTTGCCATCTCAAGCTATTATGAACTTTGTCTACAAAAGCCACTGTTCTTGTATCATGGAAGTTTGTAAAAACAGCGATTTCATTGGATTGTACACTAGCAAAAACAGTCAATCAGAGTTCTCGAGTATTCGCTGGCGTACAATCCAATCAAAACGCTGCATTCTGTGATATAAGAAGAGTGTGACAAGTATAACAAACAAAAAAACAAACTAGACAATTGGACTGTTCGGGATATTATTACTAATCACATGCAATTAACAATATTATATTATCAATGGTAATAACTACATCAAAGATTCTATTTTGTTTTCTAAGGATATATGTGCTCAGTATTGATGTATAAACAGACATGAAAATAATCATGAATTCAATTGTTAATAGTATCAGATTTTGATATACCCGTATTTGTGAACATGACCGGCTTATCATCTCAAAAATGATTATAATTTCTATATATTTTAGTTGATATTTAATACTGATAACGGAGCTGGAATGATACAGACTGAATATACTCCAACTGCACAGAATGCATTATGTGATGGTAACTGGCATACAATTAAAGGTACCATGACATTGCCATCTTGAATTTTATCTACTTAATAACATCTCTCAGTTTCAAATGTCTTAATAATGAGTCCTTAAACGCCTGGTGTTGTGAGCCTTCCCTTGTCAAATCTGTGGTCTCTACTCAGGGCCCATACACCTAATGATTCTTAGAAACACCAGAATTATTCAGAATTTCTATCATTTCAAGTCCCAGTAAAGCTTAGACTTTGTGAATGTCTCAAACACAATATTCCATCAGATTTGGTCAGCATTTCCTTTGTCATGACCTTTGGTTTGATAACAGACTTGAATATATGATTTCTTATGATTATGATACCTTATTTCAGCAACAAAAGCTAAGAACGTTGCTTCATTAGAAGTTGATGGTGTACAAATGAAACAAGGTATTGGTAAAGCAGGATCATCAGAAGCTAATACTAATGATCCAATATATGTTGGTGGAGTACCAACAGGTAAGTAGATCTGGTTCATCTTGCTCGTGATCATTTGATACCATGTACAAATCTGCCAATATAGATTTTTCCTTGTTGGCAATACATGTCAGAAGAGCCTTAAGTGTTGGATTGGATCCCCAAAGTGCTGAAGGCTGAAAGAGTCTTCAGTTAGAAATTGAAACCACATAGACTATTACTGCTGCCCTGGTAAAACTGTTTAGTGCATTGCAATGCATAAAAGAAAACAGCCATTTTATTTTGTACTCATGTCATGTCTTCTGGATTCACTTTTTATGATATTTTTATTTTATAATCAGATGGAATACGTAAAGGATTGTTTACAGAAGAGAATTATGTTGGATGTATCAGAAATATGTGGATTGATGGAAAGGTTGAGTTTATTGGAAATGGTAAACCAATGGGCGATGTTCAAATACTTTCTTGTCCTCGATCTTAAACATAATAAGGTTAAAAATATGACAATATCTTTAAGTTTGGTATATGTTATAACATCAAAAAATGCGATATGTGATATTTTAGAAATTATGCAACTGATGAAAAGTTTTTCTTTGACAGACCTTGTTGGAAAAGATTTAAGTGTTTAAAAGAATTTTTTTATTATTGTCTTCTTGAATACATGAAATATTGAAACCTAACTAAAAACTAAAAGATGAAGACTTGCATGTTTTTAATCTAAATTCTTTTAAACATATTATTTTTTTCCCTAACATAGCATTTAATATAATAAATATAAACATGATTTATTTAGGTAAAGACTTTATGGAACAAATTTTGTTAATGATTGCAAATTAATGCTTCAGGTCGGACCATGGCGGAAGTTTATCTTTGTTTCAAGCCATGAACAATTTTGTGTTATATTCTATGAAGAAAAATTGAATTTCTAGGTCATGGTCACATACCATAAGATTTTATCATATTTTTAATTGAATTTAGTTCCATTGAACAAAAAACCACAGCATGTTTAGGTTAAATTTAGAATCCCAGTAGGTACATTTGGCTTTCATTCCCGATTATTTTTGAAGATTTTGCAGGCCTTCGAAATTCTTTTACAATTTGAAGGCCTGCTTTAGTTAACAAAAAAATCATTCTAAATTTTGTAACATTGTATAATTCCTTCAACTCAAATTCAGATGGTTTTAAAATTAAAATGAATGATCCAAATGTTCACATTCAAAGAGCAAATTGACAAAAATATCCAATTCAGTCATGGACCAGTCCAAGGAAAATATGGAATTCTGTTATTTTTCATGGTCTGAAATTGTTACCTTACTTTACATTAATTTTTGATGAACTTCAAAGTCATTTTTTATATAAAAATAATTTGAGTTGTAGGTCTATTACATGTAGTGTTCCCCACCCTTCCCCGTTTTCATATTTAGGTACATTATAAGTTCAAATTGTTAGCCCATGGTCTATTCCTCTGTCTTACTATTTAATTAATTGTGTTTAATTAATGCCATGTAGGTTACTTATTCAGTATAATCTCGTAAAAATTTGCCTGTGATTTCCAAATGAAAAATATTAAGAGCTTTGGCAAATAAAGATAGATCGTTATTGGAAATGTTGATCTTAGAATTCCACAGAATATTTTGGCTATCTATTATATGTTTCATTGAAAACATTTTGAGATGAAATCTTTTTGAAGGCTCTCTTTGCAATGGTGCTAATCTTTTATAATTTTTTTAATTTTTTGTGCAATTTTATGATTTTAATTGTGATTTTTTAAAACTAAGTGTACTTTTATGTCAAAACAAAATAAACTGAATATTAGCAAATGCATGTGTATTTACTTTCTATCATATCATTAAGTCTCCTGGAGTTATATAGCTTGAGATTGTGAAAATGGAATTGGATTGAGTTTTAAAAGCATTTTGAAACTTTGTATTATCCTTTGACTGCAATAGCCACCTTTCATGTGGAGGGCTCTGATTGGATGCATTAAAGAAAATTCATAGCACCCAATTGACCAGCAGACCACAGTACAACTCACTAGCTACTAAGCTATTCCATTTCCAATGGTGAAGAAAATTTACAGCATTAAAACTATCGTTATTTATGATTTTATTAACAAATAAATAATTTTTATAAATATACAGTAAAATGGATAGTTTCAGCCAATCAAAATTGAATTAATCACTACCAAAATAAAACTTAGCTTTTGTAAATTTCTATAAAAAGGATAAAATTATCAATAAATCTTAAGTGTTCACACTGTACAGCTACTAGCAGAGTTTATCATAAAGGATATTTTACCACAGTTGTTAAATCTATTGTAACTGAACAGGTATAGGATCAGCAACTTTATAAATTTGTCGTTTATAATGTGTATTATTATAGATACCACTTTCATCTTGCCATGTATTGCGTCCATTTCTTCTATAATCACTTGTATCAGTGAACTGGGAGTGACATTTTTTAAATGCTATAGATAAATCGGGTACCTCTATTTCTTGTGTCTGAAAAAGTTTAGAATGATGTCAACTGATATGTGTATACAAGGTTGTTTGGTATCATAAAGTACATAGGCATATCACTTGAAGGCCTGTTTGGGGCCAGGCAAACTAGTTTGCCTGAAAGGGTTGAGATGTCGGTGAAGCACGACTGGAGCACCACAGGCGCAAGTCTTCCTAAGGCATTTGGCCCACAGTCAATTGACTTTTTGTCACGTATCAAGCAACGTTGTCTTTTTTTTTGGCCTTGGTCTACTTGGGAAAAGGTCCCTAAAATTATGATTATGACCCTCCACTACAAATCCTGGATACACCGATGAATATTTAATTTGACAGTAGAAAATTTTTATCAAATAATTCAAAAATTTACCTGAGATGGTTGATAAGGGTATGGAGGAGTAAAATCTGCTCTATGTGTACTCTCTAGATAATATTTATTATGATCAGGATCATGTCTTGGTAATACTGATCCATAACCTTTATTTGGTGATCCAATATCTCTATAAAATAAAGTCCTCATTTTTACATTCGTTCTAGTAATAAAAAAAAAATCTTTCCAAAAAACTTGCATAGAATGAAGTAAAAATAAATTGAGAAAACAGATTATGTAACTAAAATAAAACAATCCAGCATTTACAATTTTAACTTTTTAACATAAAAAAGATGTTTGAAGATCACATAGCAGGAAATTCTGTGTAATCACGTAAAAATTCTGTTTGAATATTTCTTAAAAGAAATTCACATTAGCTTACTGTACCCATATAAACATCAAAACAACACAATTTACAATTCAATATGAAATTGATATTTTTTATAGGTTTATCATACCTGTCTATTTTTAAATTTGATACATTTTCTACTGTTATCATAGGTTTTGTTGTTTTCTTCTCTTCAAATTCTCTTTTCTTCAAGAATATTTCTTCTGAATGTTCTTGATAAGTAGTTTTTGGTAAAGACTAGAAAGTGAAATTAAAGTTTGAGAAGTTCAACTGCTAAAAACCAAGAATATTTTCCCCAACCTGATAAACAAAGAGATGTAGATATTTCGTGAAGATTTTTCTATGGTGTTTTCAAAGTGTTTTTGATAACTTATATCATATCGTATTGTTGGTTTCAATATGTGAAGAAAAAGTGCTGCTCTTATATTGTGATACATATCGTATGTGGATATAATCGTCGACACCCAACATTAGTACTGAATTTTGATTAAACACAAAATTTATTTGTAAATATCTGTTTGAAATATGTTAGAAAAGGTTAAAAATATATGCTGACCCCATCAGTAATATCTCCAATTCTATCATAAGTTGCTTTACATAAATCTCTAGTTGGATCTCTATTAATATCATAATTTTTAGGTTCAGCTTCTCTGGCTTGATTCCTGTCAACATAACATATATCATGTAGGTAGGCATACAGTTAATTCAATTTATAAGGTTAGGACCTAATTGTGTTCAGAAGAATAATGTTACAGCATCTTATCTATATTCTTTATGGAATGAGTGTTCAGACGAGTATTAAAGTTAAGCTAGATTAGGCAGCATTACCTCGATTAGGCAGCATTACCTCAGAAGTTATCAAGAGTGTTCAGAGATCACAATACCATAAAGACAAAAATAATAATAATTAAGTTAAGTCACTTCCGAAGTAGGTGCAAGTAATGGCAGCCTATGTTAAACTGGTAAATAAATACTGTCTCAAAGAACATTTGATTTCTAAGCTGCCTTAACTTTAGTCGTCTGAACACACTGTCAATATCAGATACACTGCCTGGAAGTGGAAAATTTCCAAATATTATAGTTGAGAAAACTCGACAAAGAACAACAATCAACATACCAATTTGATGTCAATGTGGCTCGAGCATAGTTCATGTGGTTAGATCTCAAAAACATTGAACCCTTCCTCTCCACAAAATCGGGAACTGCTGTGCTCCAAGACGTTGCCATTTTACTGTTTTATTATCTCAATTAAATATACACGAAGGAAAAGAACGCGAAAGTTATAACACCCAACTTATCAATATTAGTTCATTGTTTACATTGACAGCGGAAGTGAGGCGAACAACGCTTTGGTTATATTGTTACGCGATGTACTATTTTCAAATAAGTCCAATTTAAATCTTTAAACTTGTTTTGAGGGAATTCTAGGGCTAGTTATTAAAAATGTAAATAACTGAATTGGTTTTATAACTTTTTTTTTCGAACAGAAAAACATCTCCAGGTGTCATAAATATAATTTTTCTTGGATTATATATTCATACGCCAGAAAGTTCATTACAACACGATGGTTGTATGGTGGCCTGTTTAGGACATTCAGCTCTAGAAATTAAAAAAGCTATTATACTTACAAAAATGTTGGAATGAGATAAGATTGAATTACTAAAGCGGTACATTATGATTTTTGATATTTATTTGTGAGGCACTCTATTGTTAAGTCTATTAGGCAACTGTAAAGAAACATATTAACTATACAGGCCTTTAAGAGAACGTTTTCACTTTGTAGTTTGATTGAAAAATAATATCCAAAAGAAAAAAATATTTCCATCTGTAAAATCATATTTCTAGAACAAGGGCAATAACTCAATTGTAGTATTTACAGATTTTTTGGGGTTTTTTTTTTTTGATAGATTGAATCCTTTGATAATAAACAATTTCACCAAGTTTCATGTCATGTATGGTCTTTTCAGGGATTAAGGCATGCGTTTAATTAGTTATTCTCTAGAAAAGGGACAGAATGATGTCGATGGATTTTAAAAATTGTAATTTTAGGCCTCTAGCTGTGGGAGAGGTGAGCCAAGGGGGGGGGGGGGGGAGTGTTGGGCTAAATAATGCGTACCTTTATTGCCAAGATAATGTCCCAACCCCAAGTTCTTAATAGGGCCTATTTTAATAAGCCTGTTATTTCCATCAAAACAATGTAATTGTTTACCATGTGGTAGAGGGGGACGGGGGCATTTCGCACTCCCATGTTTTTATAACCAAAATAATTTTCCCAACCCTAAGTTCTTAATATGGCACAAGAAAATAGGCCTAATTTGATAAGCCTAGAACTATCTATAGACTCTTGCCGAAAGACGCGGGCTACTGACAGCATCCCTTTCATTCCCAATTACGCTGACCTATTTTCAGGGATTTCTAGCTTTAACGATGCACATGCATATCATTTTTATCAATATAATGGCAAGAAAACTCCCTTTACTGTGTTTAGTTTGGCTGATTTGTATTTTTCGAAATTTTAGCCTATTATTATAGTGCGCACTGTTTCGGACTACTCCATAGCCACACCCCTTTATTGAGTCGTGTGCATGCCGTCTGGTCCTTTTACAAGGACCCATTATTTTTGTACGATGTTGGCACTAAAAATTTATTTCTATCGCTTTATTTTCCACACAAAAATAGATTTTAATGATAAAAACAACAATAAAATAATATTTCAGGTGGGTCCATTCCAAAAATTTCCTATTTCTAGTGAGTAAAGCTTTATTTTTGAGCCTACAACAATAACTAGTCCATCTTTTCACTTGCAAAGAGCCTAGATCGAAAACGAGGCTACGTAAGCAGACGTCAAGAAAATTCAGATGACGGCCGAAAATTTAAGCAGCAAGACGTGCGGAAAGGTGTTTCCTTCGAAAAAAACATTCTGGAGCGCTTTTGACAGGTATTTCATGAACATTTTAACTAATTGAACCTCACAATACACGCCCAATATGAACTGAACGGTTTTTGAGAAAATTTGACGCCGATTTGCCTGAATACGCTTACTGTAGGCCTAACAACCCCCCCCCCCCCCTCCTCCATAGCACGGATGAAATATTTGTCTATTCAACTCCCTCCCTGTCCCAAAAATCTCTTGTGAAGACATAATGTCATGCATTGCGCACGGTAAGTAATTTGTACAGTTATTTAGGCCAGATGTTCGCTTAAAAAGCACCCCCCCCCCCCCCCTCGGCCGCAAATAGTTTATATTTTACCCGCCTTACCCAGTCTTTAATCTTAAAGTAAGTCCCTTTGCATTACATTTTACCCCAAAAATACAGGAGGAAAATTAATTGAAGGATTTCCTAAGAAAGTTTAACGGTAATTTTGCCTAAAAAGCAGGTCCCTATCCTACCTATAACATATTTTTTTCATTGTTTGCCCTCTTAAAATGCTTTGTTTTGCGGGGGCATATAGTGAAAATCAAATATTTTAAGGCCTGCCGTTCACACAAAATTAGCTTCAAATTTTCCCAGGAAATCGTTCAATTTATTTCTACTGTTTTGCGGGAAATGTGCTGCAATGGGGCAGATCATAGAGTGGACAAGGGTTGAAATCGAAAATTGTGCCGTGGAAGGAGAAGGGGAGAGGGAGGGGAGGTTTGGGGTGCTAATTATCTTAATGGAAAGGGAGATTAAGTTGTAATATTTCGGATGAATGACCTTTCTTTTTGATTCAATTTCAGCGGGAACCAAGTGTCAAGTATTGCGCAGTTAAGATTCTTTGTGAACAGAATATTTAAAGGTCGTCATTCGAATAATGAACATCAGATAAATGTGAGTATTTCGCTTCTTTATCATTGGTACAATTTGTGATTAAAGTTTATTCTTAAATTTAAAGAAAAATTAGACTTTAAATATGACAATTCTTGCCCCCAACCATTGTCTAGACATTGTCAGCCACAATCTAAAAAAAACTCCATAAAACGAATCTTTAAATATTAAAAGTTATAGCCAGTCAATAGTTGACGGATCGTTGACAGCTTTTTCCTCCAGAAATATTAAACAAAATTTGGCAGCACGGACTCCGACTGCAGGGCACGTGTTTGGTAAAAGACAGCAGATGATTGGTCCAAACTTGGCTGTCAATTTAAAAGTGGGCGGAGTAACGCGCACCGGTATCATTTGCATACACGAATCTGCAATTTTTAGCGGGCTTTTCATTAACTCAGCGGCATTTCTTTGAATAAGGAATATTTATTGGATTCTTTTGTGATATTTTGTAGGATTATTGAGTTCAAAGGATTAGATTTAAAGATTAAAAGAAAATAAACCACGGATTTCAATTCAAATAGTAAGTAGCCTACTAAGTTTTATCAAAATCATAATCGAAATCAAATCAGCAATACCTGGCCAACTGGCCCCTCTCTACCAGCATACACTCTCATGGCCACTTCTCATGCCATGGGTGCAATCCTCCTGTCCCCTATAATTGCATTACTGGCTTTCTCTTGCGGTGGGTTTGATTAGCCCTCCCGCCCTGCATAAAGCCCCTTCTCATGCCATGGGTGTAATTAGCCCTCCTGCATTCTCATTCATTGTCTATAGCCCCTTCCCATGCGGTGGGAATTATTCTTCCTGCCCACTCATTGCATCTCCTACTTGCACAAAGCAATAGAATTCCCCTTCAAATATACAGCTGTGGTTATTGAAAGGGCGAGATGGATGGGTAAAACTGTTCCGGAATAGCAAAGTAACTTCTACTTTCATTTGCAGATTAATATTCAACCACCAACCATCGCCTACAGTTGCCACTGTGAAGAAAGACCAATAGACCAGCACACTTGGTGAGTTTGAATTTGATGTTAAGTTATGTCTTTAACTGGGAAGATGTAACCTCCTCCCTCTTAGCAAGCCCTGCCACACCCTTCTGCACCCTATCGTGTTCTCCATCACCTACAAAGATGCACCAACCCCCTTTTGCCCACCCCATTTTACCCTTTACCATAGGCAGTGAGATCGCACTTTCAATGATTTAAAGCAACCCCCTGCATAGATGCACCTTGGAACTCTGGTCCCTTCCCCCATTCCTTACAGAGATGCATAATCATCAATTTACAAAGCAGTCATTTTTTGTTTGCAGAAAGTTGAAGCCAGTTCAGTGTGAAGCTTTAGTTTAAATTTTGTGTCTGCATCAACTTAAATGGTGAGTTTGAATTTTATTTTTCTATACCTACGGTTAAAATTTAGTCCATGGTCTGTTCTTATTGGCATGCAGAGTTGGAATACCACTGGAGAAGCTCAAGATGTGTATAACTAAAACTTGAGACAGACTAAAGGGAGACAATCCAATTTTATGAAAGAATTGAGTGCACCAACTATTTACATTGACAGGTTAATTGCCCAGGTAGAAGGGGAAGGGTGTCGTGGGGGTTGTGATATGTCCACAGTCCCTTTGACCTTCTAGAGGTGAGTGGTGGGGGGAGGAGGGGGTTACTATTCTGTGGTTCTGTAGTAATATTTTAACAGTTTTTAACGTTGTTCTTTAGGTATATCAAGTGACATCTTAATCTCAAAAATCATCAGTCATAAGATCTTCAATATTTGACCAACAACTTTGTGATGGTAAGTTGAATTATTTTAAAAATCTGTTTATGCCTTCATGCCCTCCCCCCATCTTCCCTCTTCTTTAATACAACTTAGCATTACACACGGCCTTGATGTCAATAAGTTAGATAGTAGGCCTATCACAATTCAGTGAAATGTCCCAAGTGCTTTTGTATTAAGCCTTTGTTGAATGATGCCTTGTATGACAGGAATCAAAGGCTTTGAGAGTAGGCAGTTTTTCCTGTTCTTAATAATCTTAGATAATTTTGTTCGTAGATATCCAAAGTCATATGTGGATTTAAGGGATTATAAAGAGATTTTCTCAAAATTGTATATGTTTAGGGGACACTGATAGCATCACATAGTACCATTCAACTTTTCAGTCAGATGTCTGTGGTGCGTGTCATTCCACTTAAGACTTTAAATGAATGCTTGGAATTCATATACCCCCTCTCTCTCAATAACAAACTATCTACCCTGATCAATCAGAACTCTTAGTCATGATTTTGAAAAATTATACCTCTAAAACAATATGCTTAATATTTTTGTTTATTCTTTTAGGTACAACAAACTTATATTGGAAAACAACAACAAGGACACATACAGAAAACCAAACCAAACTTAACATTAAGTTGTGGAGTTGTGAGTTAAACAATAGGGCACTAACCTTCTTTTTTTCTCGTGCATCACTACATTCAGCAGGCCCCTCCCTACTCCTTCACACTACAACTTAAAGGGATACATCGTAGTAAGACGGCAATTGACTACTGGATTCTGTGTAGCTGGCTCCATCTGTGCTGGATGTTTTGTGAAAGTATCCCTTTACACATGCATTACATGAACATACTACATTAAACCACATATCGACACTTGTTTTACGATTGTGCTTACTGCAGTCGTAGAACAAGTTCGATAAAGTCGTTCACTTCTCACGTGATGTATTTTTTTGAAATTGTCAGGGCTTGGTGTATATATTTTCCAAAATATACCAAACTTGTCGCCATTTTGAAGTCTCACTTTGGCGACTGAAATTGGTATAATGTGGTTTTTTTCTCATGTTTGTCCATTAAAGGAAGCATGTTAGGCTGCCCCCTTTCCCAAATGCTTCCGAGGACATCCGCCATCCGTCAAACCAATCTTGAATTTTGAATCCTAAATATTTGTATGTTTTCTCTTTTGAGAAAGTGATTATGTGGATGTGTATACCATATTTTTTTGAAAATTTATTAAGAGCACAATTTAGTAGATCAGTCTACTTCATTTTGCAACCTGTTTCATGTTTTTCACAAAACTATAGGGTCCCTTCGATCAAGGCGTTTCGTAATTCACGTGAAATCGATCCCTTACTTTATCTAGGATGACTCATTGGTGATATAAATTATCCAAAATAATGCATTAGCTTATTTGAAATTTTTGTAAATTCGAATCCTAAATAAAGTCCTAAAATTAAAGATATTTTTCAAAGAATTTTATAACTTTCAAATTAGTAGGTTTGCACAGGCAAGGATATAATCTGCAGATATCCAGTGGGATATTCTGCAGACACATCCTGCCTCTATATTTTGATGTGAGCTGTATGTTTGTTGGCAAATGGCCAACAGTTGGTAACGTATCGGAGGGTTTTAGACGACGACCACTCTTGTACCCCTTGGTCTAAAAATGATGATAGAGCCTCTTGGCATCACAGTTGTACATTGATTAGTTAAGACAAGTTAGGCGTTAGGAATTAGGTGTTAAGGATAGGCATTGTAGTGTATTATATCATGTAATGTGGACACGTGAGTAAAACTTGTGATGCCACAGGGTTTATTTTTGGATTTTTTGGACCATGTGTAGGACGAGATACACAGATGAAGAGGAAATCAATGAAGTCTAAGTTGTCTGGTAATCAGGGGCTTTTAGTATCAGACTCTGCTTTCTCAGTTTCGATTGTTGTTTGGCTTGGCTCTTTCAAATCCCGAAATAACCTAACACTGTTAGGCAGGGCCTCGCGTGCACCCCCTTTTCCTTTTTGGCTATTTTGTGATTTGCTAAAGTCGGCCCTCCCTCGATTGAAACTGGGTATAAAGTCAAAAAGAGTGATCCTCAGGGTTACTGTTGTTTTTCTTCCTCCATGCAGCAGGTCCCATGTCCCGTCCGTTCTGGAATCCGTCTGTCAGGGCGTATGTTATTGCACTGCCGGTCGTATAGACCAAGTCTGTCTGTCTCGGATGGTACGTTAAATTGGGCCAATTTACGGCATGTATTTGAATAAAACAACCGAATGAGTTTCAGTCAGTTAGTATGTTGATGTCCATATGTCTGGACTGAAACCAGGAATAGAGTTAAACCTGGCATCATTTTTACAAAGGTTAGATTAAACCTGGAATGATTTTACAAAGGTTACATTAAACCTGGAATGATTTTTATAAAGGTTTGATTGAACCTGGGATGATTTTTACTAAGGTTAAATGATTTTTAAGAACCTGATATGATTTTTAAAAATGTTTGTATTGAAAAGAGATGGTGAAAATGTATTAACCACAAAGTTAGACAAAAATGGTATTATTTTATAGAAAGGAACTTTAGGAGAAATCCCACAGGGAGGTCATCGTCCCTGCCCTGCCGAGATGGAATCTGGCCATCCTGGCCTATGTTATTGCACTGCTGGTCGTTTAGCCCAAGTCTGTCAATCTCGGATGGTATGTTAAATTGGGCCGATTTACGGCATGTATTTGAATGAAACAGAACCGAATCAGTATCAGTCGGTTACTATGGTAATGTCCATGTCACTGGACTAGTCGAACCAGGAATAGATTAAACCTGGGATGATTTTTACAAAGGTTAGTCTAAACCTAGAATGATTTTTACAAGATTTTAAAAAAAAAATAAGCAAGCTGTTTAGTCATTTACAAAGCCTAAATGTACACACAAATGTAGGTAGAAAAGGAATTGAAATCTGTCTTGAAACTGTTAAGGGCAATTTTGAAAACCGATAATGGTTAGATTAAACCTGGTGTAATTTTAAAGATAGCTGGTACAAGAACCTACTATAAGGTTCTATTCTAAACCATAATGGTTAGATTAAACCTGGTTTGATTTAAAAGATAGCTGGTACAAGAACCTACTATAAGATTCTATTATAAACCATAATGGTTAGATTAAACCTGGTGTAATTTTAAAGATAGCTGGTACAAGAACCCTCTATAAGGATCTATTCTAAACCACAAGGTAGATTAAACCTGGTTTGATTTTTAAAAATGTGATACAAATTTAGAAACTGCTGATATTGAAATGGTGAAAATATACTTTGGCAGAAAATTAAAAAAAACCAACATGTTATAGAAGTAAACCTGAGGGTAGGCGAGGAGAAATCCCTCAGGGAGGTCATCGTCCCTGCCCTGCCGAAATGGCCTTGTTATTTCACTGCTGGTCGTTTAGCCCTGTCTGTCAGCCTCGGATGGTATGTGAAATTCGGCCGATTTACGACATCTATTTCAATAAAACAGAACCGAACGAGTTTCAGTCGGTTACTATGGTAATGTCCATGTCACTGGACTAGATCCAGGGATAGAGTTGAACCTGGAATGATTTTTACAAAGGTAAGATTAAACCTGGAGTGATTTTTATAAAGGTTAGATTAAACCTGGAGTGATTTTTATAAAGGTTAGATTAAACCTAAAGTTATTTTTACAAAGGTTACATTAAACCTGGAGTGATTTTTATAATGGTTAGATTAAACCTGGAGTGATTTTTATAAAGGTAAGATTAAACCTGGGATTATTTTTACAAAGGCAAGATTAAACCTGGAGGGATTTTACAAAGGTTAGATTAAACCTGGGATTATTTTTACAAAAGCAAGATTAAACCGGGAGGGATTTTTATAAGGGTTAGATTAAACCTGGGATTATTTTTACAAATGCAAGATTAAACCTGGAGTGATTTTTACAAAGGTTAGATTGAACCTGGAATGATTTTATAGAAGTAAACCTGAGGGTAAGCAAGCTGAAATCCCACAGGGAGGTCATCGTCCCTGCCCTGCCGAGATGAAATCTGTCTGGGCGTATGTTATTGCACTGCCGGTCGTTTAGCCCAAGTCTGTCAGTCTGGAGTTGGATCTGATTCTTTTAGAAACCTAGAATGATTTGAAAATTGTTATTTCGATTGTTCCGGTGGTTAGGGCTGGACATTTCATGTTCCGACAGCCCGCTTAGTCCACCTATTGTATGATTTGAAAAGTAGCTGGTAATGAACTTGAAGTATTATTATGTGGATAGGAACCTGAGGGTAGGCAAGGAGAAATCCCACAGGGAGGTTATCGTCCCTGCTCTGCCGAGATGTAATCAGTCCGTCCGGGCCTTTGTTATTTCACTGTCGTTTAGCCCAAGTCTGTCAGTCTCGGATGGTGCGTTAAATTGGGATGATTTATGGCATGTATTTCAATGAAACAACCGAACGAGTATCAGTCGGTTACTATAGTAATGACCATGTCACTGGACTGAACCCAGGAATAGAGTTAGACCTGGGATAATTTTTTACAAAGGCTAGATTAAACCTTGGATGATTTTTACAAAGGTTAGATTAAACCTGGACTGATTTTTACAAATTTTGATTGAACCTGGGATGATTTTAAAGAAGTTAACCTGAGGGTAGGCAAGGAGAAATCCCACAGGGAGGTCATCGTCCCTGCCCTGCCGAGATGAAATCTGTCCGTCCGTCTGGGCATATGTTATTGCACTGCCGGTCGTTTAGCCCAAGTCTGTCAGTCTGGAATATACCTTAAGTTGGACCTGATTCTTTTAGAAACCGCATGTGATTTGAAAATTGTTATTTCGATTGTTCCGGTGGTTAGCGTTGGACATTTTATGTTCCGACAGCCCGCTAAGTCCACCTAGGGTATGATTTGAAAAGTAGCTGGTAATGAACTTGAAGTATTATTATGTGGATAGGAACCTGAGGGTAGGCAAGGAGAAATCCCACAGGAAGGTTATCGTCCCTGCTCTGCCGAGATGTAATCAAGCCGTCCGGGCCTTTGTTATTTCACTGTCGTTTAGCCCAAATCTGTCAGTCTCGGATGGTACGTTAAATTGGGATGATTTATGGCATGTATTTCAATGAAACAACCGAACGAGTATCAGTCGGTTACTATAGTAATGACCATGTCACTGGACTGAACCCAGGAATAGAGTTAGACCTGGGATGATTTTTACAAAGGTTAGATTGAACCTGGGATGATTTTAAAGAAGTTAACCTGAGGGTAGGCAAGGAGCAATCCCACAGGGATATCATCGTCCCTGCCCTGCCGAGATGGACCATGGAACCTGCTTTATCGAGATGCTCTCTGTCAGATTAATGATAGCAATTGATAACCATGGAACCTGCTCTGTCGAGATGCTCTCGGTCGGATTAATGATAGCAATTGATGACCATGGAACCTGCTCTGTCGAGATGCTCTCGGTCGGATTAATGATAGCAATTGATGACCATGGAACCTGCTCTGCCCAGATGCTCTATGTCAAATTAATAATAGCAATTGATGACCATGGACCCTGCTCTGTCGAGATGGTCTATGTCAAATTAATGATAGCAAGAATCCGAGTCTTTATGGAACCAATCTCTTCTACCACTCATATCAATGCTATTTTCTCTATTTTAGTGTATGGTAAACGAAATATGATAAAAGAAATTTGGTTAAAAGTGAAGTATTATGGGTAGATGGGGAGTAGATCCCTCAGGGAATTCATCGACCCTGCCTTGCCGAGATGGTCTGTCCATCAGCCCAGTGGGTGTATTTTGATAAACTACCAAATCTGATGGTGGTCAGTTGCGTTTGTCAGTTCTGTGGGTCTATTTTGTTGGAACTGCCAAGCCTGATGGTGTTCAGTTGTGTTTTTCAGTTCTGTGGGTCTATTTTGTTGGAACTGCCAAGTCTCATGGTGGTCACTTGCGTTTGTCAGTTGTATGGGTCTATCTTGTTGGAGCTGCAGAGTCTGTTAGTGGTAAGTTGCGTTTGTCAGTTCTGTGGGTCTATTTTGTTTGAACTGCCAAGTCTGTTGGTGGTCAGTTGTGTTTGTCAGTTCTGAGGGTCTATTTTGTTGGAACTGTCAAGTCTGTTGGTGGTCAGTTGTGTTTGTCAGTTCTGTGGGTCTGTTTTGTTGGAACTGCCAAGTCTGTTGGTGGTCAGTTGTGTTTGCCAGTTCTGTGGGTCTATTTTGTTAGATCTGCCAAATCTGTTGGTGGTCAGTTATGTTTGTCAGTTCTGTGGGTCTATTTTGTTAGAACTGCCAAGTCTGTTGGTGGTCAATTGTGTTTGTCAGTTCCCTCAGGGAACTCAACGATTCTGCCTTGAATTTGCTTTAACTGCTTAATATACTTATCTCTTTTATGATTATAGTAAAAGTTTAATGCATTATGGTAAAAAACTAATGGAACTATGTTAGATATGGTGAAAAGTTGGTAGAAATACAGCAACACATGATGAAGATTGGTAGGTATAGTTTTGATATATGTCTTAGTGAACGAGGTAGACAGAAAGACATATCCTATATAGAAACTATCCACGCTGCAAATTTGTGTTCACAAATTTTTTTTATTTGATAGAGTATGGTAAAATATTATGAAAATTATGTTGAACATGGTGGAAATATGGTATAAATATGGCAATTCTTGATGCAAAGTGGTAGGTGTAGTTTTACTAATTCAAATTCTTAACTGGTTAGGCAGACATCAAATCATGGAACCCAGCAACAGTCCCTTGTTGAGATGGTGTGCTAATTAACTATATAATGTTTTAATGCCATATTTGTTTATGATCATTCACATATGTTATGATTTTGATAAATTATTTTAAGGTTTTGGGGGATAATCAAATTAATTTGAAAGTATGGTAGCATGGTGGAAAAATATGGTGGAAATTTTGACAAACATGGTGGAAAATTGGTAGGTGTATTCATTTTTCAAATCAACCTTTCCTTGTCCATCCATTAGGATTATATTGTTTAAATACAACATATTTTTGTGTTTCCTCATATTTAATATTGGTAATTTTGTAGATCATGGTAAAATTTGGTGAAAATATTGTTTGGTTGAAACATGGTTAAATTGGTGGAAATATAGTTTAGATTATCGAAACACTTAATACGAAATTGGTAGGTGTATTAATTTTTCAAATCAACCTTTCCTTGTCCATCCTTTGGTTATAATATATATCAATTAAATACCACATATTTATGTATTCACTCCGTTCTTGTCTGAAAATATTGTAGGGAATATGGTAGATTATAGTTAAAGTGCAGCAGAAGGTACTTAATGAATAGTGTAATTATATTCCAATTACTGGACTGTTATATTCATGGTACCATCCTTACATCTCCATTGGGTGTATATCAATTAAATGTTGAAGATATTTGTATCCACACATTTCTTATTTTGATATTTTTGTAGATTGTGGTAAAATAGAGATGAAGATGGTAAAGATAGTTAAATAGTTGTTGATAGAAGAACCAGTATATCAGAACAGCTGAGTCTGTTAGTGGTCACTCATGTCCATCAGTCCAAGGGGTGTATATTATTTAAACAGCCGAGTCTGTTGGTAGTCATTCATGTCCATCAGTCCAGTGGGTGTATGTTTTACCACCTCCTCTGTGAGTGGAATCGTCATTTGTGTTTTTCTGTTCTATGTTTTGTGTATTATTGTTTATGTCTGTCAGTCAACTGATTTGTATATTTTTGTCCGTCAGTCCAGTGGGTGTGTATATTACTTAAACAGCCAAGTCTGTGAGAGTATATTACTTAAACAGCCGAGTCTGTTGGTGGTCACTTATGTCCGTCTGTCCAGTAGGTGTATATTGCTAAAACAGCCGAGTCTGTTGTTGGTCACTCATGTCCATCAGTCCAGTGGGTGTATATCATTTCTAATTCAAAGACTATTGGTGGTCACTATGTCCATCTTTCATGTGGGTGTATGATACTTAAACAGCTTAGTCTGTTGGTGGTCACTCATGTTCGTCAGTCCAGTGAGTGTATATTGCTTAAACAGCCGAGTCTGTTGGTGGTCACTCATGTCAATAGTCCAGTGGGTGTATATTGTTCAATCTACCAAGTCTGATGGTGGTCACTCATGTCCATCAGTCCAGTGTGTGTATATCATTTCTACTGCCAAGTCTGTGGGTTTTATATTACTTAAACAGCCGAGTCTGTTGGTGGTCACTTATATCCGTCAGTCCAGTGGGTGTATATTGCTTAAACAGCAGAGTCTGTTGTTGATCACTCATGTCCATCAGTCCAGTGGGTGTATATTGCTTAAACAGCCGAGTCTGTTGGTGGTCGCTTATGGCCGTCAGTCATGTGAGTGTATATTGTTTAAACAGCCGAGTCTGTTGGTGGTCATTCATGTCCATCAGTCCAGTGGGTGTATGTTTTACCACATCCTCTGTGGGTGGAATCATTTGTGTTTATCTGTTCTATGTTTTGTGTATTATTGTTATATCTGTCAGTGGACTGATTTGTATATTTTTGGAATTGTTATTAATTATTATGTAACTTTGTCACTAATCATATCTTTCCTTTAACTAATCAGTTTTTGTTTTTTACAGAAAATATATTGCAATATTTGTTTCTGAAATTGATGGTCTATTTTCCAAATACAGGTTGTAGTTTAGTTTGAAAATATTGACCTCAATTTTGATACAGATGTTCATTCCAATATGGTCTTTGCTCTGTTATTGTAGGGCAACTACCAACTTGTACAAGAAACAATTCTCGACGGATTTTGACAAAACTTGGTATTAGTGTTCGTAATCACCCAAGGATAAACCCTATTGAGAATCAGAAGAATCGAAAAATATTTAGTATGAGTTATTGTCCTTGTTCTTGAAAACGCGTTCAATTTTTAGCTCCTAAACATTCTAGAAGGCACAATTCTTGGTGGATTTTGACGAAACTCGACATGGTTGTTTTTTATCAACCAATGATAAACCCTATTGAAAATCAGTAAAATCGAAAAATATTTAGTATGAGTTATTGCCCTTGTTCTTGAAAACGCTTTCCATATTTAGCTTGTAAACATTCTAGAAGGGACAATTCTTGACGGATTTGATGAAACTTGGCATGAGTGTTTGTTATCACCCAAGGATAAACTCTAATCAAAATCAGAAAAATCGAAAAATAATTAGTATGAGTTTTTGCCCTTGCTATTGAAAACGCATTCAATTTTTAGCTCGTAATCACTCTAGAAGGCACAATTCTTGACAGATTTTGATGAAACTTTGTGTGAATGTTCGTATTACCCAAGGATGAACCCTATTGAAAATCAGAAGAATTGAAAAATATTTAGTATGAGTTATTGCCCTTGTTCTTGAAAACGCTTTCAAATTTAGCTAAACTAAAAGGCATGATTCTTGATGGATTTTGACAAAACTTGGTTTTATTATTCAGGCCTGCACTGACGATTGAATATTTGCCTTCTGGAGTTTTCACGACCTAAAAATTGAACACGTTTTCAAGAACAAGGGCAATCACTCATACTCAATATTATTCAGTATTGCGCTAAAAAAGTGTATGACTGAAGGTTGAATATTTCATACTGATTGAACTGTACTGCTACATATTTTTATTCAAAATCAAAGCTGCGAGTGGGCGTATATTACCTTGCCTGGCAAGCTATCTTAAAGAAATGCTGTTATTTATATGAAAAAAGATTAAAAGTGAAAAAAAGGATATTTTTATGGAAGGAAACTTGTGGGTAGGCAAGGAGAAATCCCACAGGGAGGTCATCGTCCCTGCCGAGATGAAATCTGTCCATCCTTCCGTCTGGGTGTATGTTATGGCACTGCCGGTCGTTTTGCCCATGTCTGTCAGTCTTGAGTATGCCTTAAGTTGGTCCTGATTCTTTCGATTGTTCTGGTGGTTAGGGCTGGACATTTTTTGTTCCGACAGCCCGCTTAATCTACCTAGGGTATGATTTAAAAAGCAGCTGGTAATGAAATTAAAGTATTATTATGTGAATAGGAACCTGAGAGTAGGCAAGGAGAAATTCCACAGGGTCACTGCCCTGCCGAGATTATTTCACTGCCGGTCGTGTAGCCCAAGCCTGTCAGTCTTGGATGGTACGTTAAAGTGGGCCGATTTACGGTATGTATTTCAATAAAACAACCGAACGAGTATCAGTTGGTTACTATGGTAATGTCCATGTCACTGGACTGAAACCAGGAATAGAGTTAAACCTGGGATGATTTTTACAAGGTTAGATTAAACCTGGAGTGAGTTTACAAAGGTTAAATTAAACCTGATATGATTTTATATAAGTTAACCTGAGGGTAGGCAAGGAGAAATCCCACAGGGAAGTCATCGTCCCTGCCCTGCCGAGATGAAATCTGTCCATCGTCCTCTGGGCGTATGTTATTGCACTGCTGGTTGTTTAGCTTAAGTCTGTCTTTTTTTTTTTTTTTGACTGAAAACAAAGTAATGTCTTTATTGGGTAGTAAGTTGTGAGTTTTGAGCTTTCATTTTTGCTGATTGAAGTTATGAAGCCTGTTGTGATTCAAAAATATTTTAATGGATCAAAAGAATTTTCTCAGAATTAAGGGTAGGCAAGGTGCTATCAATAGTTACCCACAGAGAGCTCATCGACCCTGCCCTGCCGAGATGGTCTCCATCAAATTTATGATGCCCCTGAAGACAGTGGAACCTGTTATATCAAGATGCTCTCCATCAAATTAATGCTGTGAATTAAAGATTTTTTTTTAAATTGGAAACAAAGTAATGTCTTTTTTTTTTGACTGAAAACAAAGTAATGTCTTTATTCAAAAATATTTTATTAGACCAAAGGAATTTTCTCAGAATTAAGGGTAGGCAAGGTGCTATCAATAGTAACCCACATGGAGGTCATCGACCCTGCCCTGCCGAGATGATCTCCATCAAATTCATGATGCCCCTGAAGACAGCGGAACCTGTTATATCAAGATGCTCTCCCATCAAATTACTGCTTTGAATTAAAGATTTTTTTTAAATTGGAAACAAAGTAATGTCTTTTTTTTTTGACTGAAAACAAAGTAATGTCTTTATTGGGTAGTAAGTTGTGAGTTTTGAGCTGTTATTTTTTGCTTATTGAAGTTATGAAGCCTGTTGTGATTCAAAAATATTTTAATGGATCAAAAGAATTTTCTCAGAATTAAGGGTAGGCTAGGTGCTATCAATAGTTACCCACAGGGAGGTCATCGACCCTGCCCTGCCGAGATGATCTCCATCAAATTCATGATGCCCCTGAAGACAGCGGAACCTGTTATATCAAGATGCTCTCCATCAAATTTACGATGCCCCTGAGGACAGTGTAACCTATTATATCAAGATGCTCTCCATCAAATTAATGCTGTGAATTAAAGATTTTTTTTTTAATTGGAAACAAAGTAATGTCTTTTTTTTTTGACTGAAAACAAAGTAATGTCTATATTGGGTAGTAAGTTGTGAGGTTTGAGCTGTCATTTTTTGCTGATTGAAGTTATGAAGCCTTTTGTGATTAAAAAATATTTTAATGGACCAAAGGAATTTTCTCAGAATTAAGGGTAGGCAAGGTGCTATCAATAGTTACCCACAGGGAGGTCATCGACCCTGCCCTGCCGAGATGATCTCCATCAAATTCATGATGCCCCTGAAGACATCGGAACCTGTTATATCAAGATGATCTCCATCAACTTTATGATGCCCCTGAGGACAGTGGAACCTGTTATATCAAGATGCTCTCCATCAAATTAATGCTGTGAATTAAGGATTTTTTTTTCAATTGGAAACAAAGTAATGTCTTTTTTTTTGACTGAAAACAAAGTAATGTCTTTATTGGGTAGTAAGTTGTGAGTTTTGAGCTGTCATTTTTGCTGATTGAAGTTATGAAGCCTGTTGTGAGTTAAAAATATTTTAATGGACCAAAGGAATTTTCTCAGAATTAAGGGTAGGCAAGGAGCTGTCAATAGTTACCCACAGGGAGCTCATCTACCCTGCCCTGCCAAGATGCTCTCCATCACATTTATGATGCCCCTGAAGACTGGAACCTGTTATATCAAGATGCTCTCCATCAAA